AACAATGGACCGCGAGGCCCCTAAAAATTCATCGGAGCCTTTTTCAAAGGCCAGAAATGGAAAGTACGCAAAAAAATACGTAGGATTGACCACGTGAAGCTGAAGGAAGGGAGTGTGCAGACGACTCAGAGCGGCGAGCGGCGCCCGGATTCCAGTCGGCGCGCGCGGAGCGTAAACTTAGATTGATCATATCTCCGTTACCAATCGTTTCCCTGGGAGCTATAATATATCAAAAGAAATGGAAACGTACGAATAGTAGAATGAATAGTATTTTTTTCGAATCGAGAATCCGGCATTTGACGATGTACTAGGGTTGAAAAAAAATTGACCCTTACGAAAGTGTAAAAAATGGCATCATTGCAATCTTAAATTACCTAAACGATCAAAATGAGTACACATTTCAAAAGAACGCAGTTTTTGAAGAATTTTAGCGCAAACCGCACCTCAATATCTATTTTCGTTCAAAAGATATGGAACTCGACAGTTTTCAACTTGGCAACGCTGCTACGTGGAAAGAAATTCATTTCAGGCCTTGAAATTTTGGGAAAAGGCGTATCCCATAGTGAGGAATTACATACTGAAAATTGGTCAACATCCATGAAGGGGGAATTTTTGTCGATTTTGCATACACCCCTTTCACTGTTCTTCATCTCTTTTTATTCTAAATTGTTGTGAAGGTAGATGTTGTGATGGCTCAACAAATTGAGTAGAAGATTTATAATGAATAAGATAGATGGACTCCATTTTGCAATTAGGAACCAAAATTTCTGGCTAAATTTAGAAACAACATATGTACCTTCAGTTTCCCTAAGCGTATACATGCATTTATAGCTGAGCCAGAAATTTCGGTTCTTAATTGCAAAACGCAGTCCAAATATTAACTTACATGTAAAGAGAACCAGCAAAGTACGGAAAATGTACTCTCCAAAATACTGGCGTTCTTCTGGTTGGAGGAATGCAAACCTTGACACTAATTGAGGCCAAATGATATTTGCAGGAACATAAAACTGAAGACAGTACGAGAGGAAAATTGCCAGAGCCATGGTTAATCTCACAACGTGAGAAGCACTGCAACAACAAACGAAACCTGGGTTAGATTCTATGCCTGAGTGTTTCACAGCAAATGCTGCAATCCAGGGTGTCTAGCAAATCTCAAAAAAAAAAAAAAAAATTCCCTGAAATTTCCCTGCCAAAAGACCGGGGAAAAATCCCCTGACAAACGGAAAAAATAATTCCCTGACATTTCCCAGACAAAAAGGAAAAATATTCCCGATTTTTCGACACATTTGAACTGACTAGGTGTGAGAAAGAACTTTTTCATGTTTTCAGGGTATAATGCAATAAATAAAGCAAAATATATGAAGCATAAAACTATGCGAGACATTTTTGCCTCATTTTTAAAATTTAAAAGACATCGGCAGAAATTCTAGTGGAAATTTTGGTAAAAATCTCTGCTGGAGTAAAATTCGCGGAACATTTTCCGAAAAATCCGTGTTTTACGAATTCCCTGACATTTCACTGACACAGAAATCGCTTGCAAAATAAAATCCGAATTTTTGTGGATTCCCTGACGTTTTCCCTGATTTTCCTGACACACAAAAAAAAAAATTCCCTGTCATTTCCCGGTTCTCTCTGTTGCTAGAAACCCTGCGATCTTGTAAGGTGGGATGATTTTTCTCTTAAAATAAATCGTTGTCACTTGTGCTGGAAACAAAGATGATGAGATGCATAGAATAAAAGTCGATCCCTGCATAACCGGCTACCAGACAAAGTCTGAGCTAAATAGAGGCACGTCTTCAAATTCTTGCGTAGAAAACGATTTGCGCCGGAAGAAGTTCGGAAATCAATCTCTGAGCGAGATGTTAACAAGTGTTTTTAACATAGATCAAATGGTAATTAGTTAACACAAAGTACTTCACTTGTATTTTTATCATTTGACGAATTTTAATGGTGAACTTTGATATCTTCTCCAGGAGTTGATTTCAAGACTTGCTGTTGTGTAGTTCTTTTCCTAATAAAATTTTGAAGAGAGAATGCGCAGAGCTTTAATCCATACCTTGTCTAGTGGCCAATTTTCCTACGTACTAAGAGTTGATTTTCAACATAAAAAAAAAAAAAAAACTTTGGTAGATTGTAACAAGGGATACTGAATGAGAAATGGACCGCGTTAAACAGAAAGGAACCAAGCCACATCAGCTATTGCCTAATTTAATTGGGCAATTTAATTTTTTACATGAAATCGGTTGTGCAGATTTTCGTGCAAAATTCAGTGAAAATTCTCCATGGTACGAAGCAAATTCCTTAAAATTTTCAAAAAAATCCGAACAAACGTTCTCTCGTATAAAATTCAATTGCCCAGTTAAACTTGGCAATAGCTGATGTGGCTTGGTTCTTTTCTGTTAAACTCCGTCCAAATGAGAAGTGACAATTTAGAAATTTCAAGCCCAATCGTCCTGTTTAATTTTGCATTTAACTTGTTCTATACCTCTACTGCATGGCAATTTTCCCCATTCGAATTATACAGTAAACATTTTCATGGAATAAAATTGGAAGAGAAGTTGAATCAAAAGTTGAACTGTGTGAATGGGGCTTTATCTAATCCTTCTCTTGCTTTTTCATTTTACTAATTCACCATAAAAAAAACTAATAAGCACCAACTCAAAATGAATACAAGAGTGTGGAAAAAATGGAAAATGAAAAGAGAATAACGGTTGATAGAATGAAGAGGACCCGTGACCCCGTTAGGAAAAGACTTACAATAGTTCAGCACCCATGTAGAAGGTAATAGAGCCTCGAGTCGCCGCATCACCATATTTGAGGTAGCCGAAGAATCCAACTGCTGTGTAGAGGCAGGTCACAATTACCATTCCAGTGTTGAGAATACCAACGTAACCTCTCATATGTTCTGGACTCTTCATACTATTCTCTAAAGGCAAGATCTGAAAAATTCAAATGGTTTTACTCTTTCCGAATCAAACTTGTCTAATTTACAGTCCAAAAAACGAACTAAATACATACCTAAGTTACTATGCTATAAACAAGACTTTGAAATTTCTATTTATATTTCTGACGTTCTCAAAATGATTTTCGTGCAATTTTACCTCTACAAGCCTTCTCAGTTAGCTACATTTATTCTTTACAACAGACTCATTCTGCAGTGCTACGGGAGAACGCCGTACGAGCCTTCCGACGTTGCCATATTCTCTTTGATAAAAAACGAATTGAATGGGATTTTTTGTTATTTTTCTAAAATTTTCCAGACATTTTCATTTGCAATTTGATATAAAATATTAGAAAACTTCATGGAAAAAGATGTATAACTTTCCCCAAAAATTCATACTTTAACCAGGGACATTTGAAAACTCTGGATTGTTCATACTGCGTTCTACCTTAGCGCAGCAATACTATACATCAGATTTTTTTTGCCTCTTAGGATGTTGCCTGTCGAGGATTCAACCTCATAAAAACTTGTACCCTCTAGTCAAACTATGTATCAATGATCCAATAGCTAAAAGTGGCAATTGCAGCATTTAAAAGTAGTCTTTATTTATGTTATATTTTCTTCCAGGGAGAGTAATAAAAATGTTTCTTTGCAATTATGTGTAGTTTTTAGAGCGAGCAAAGAAAATTAACAACAAATTTTGATGGAAACTGTCGGTCTGTCTTCCTTTAAATATAAAATGTGGACACAGACTTAAAATGATGTAATATGAGGGGCCCAATTTTTAAATTTAGCCATCAATATGTTTGGAATTTACTACAGGGTGTCTACAAGATTTTCAAAATGAAATTCCCTGACAATTCCAGGTTTTCCATGACAAAAAATTACAAAATTCTCTGACTTTTTGGGTTTAACCATACGATGAACTAGTTAGAAAATATAAAAAAAAAACTATCCTTAGGAATGACCCCGTAAAGTCATATTCTGAATTACCATGGCGTTGGAAGGAGTTGAGTAATACTTTTGAAAGGAACGAGATCCTAAATACTCAAAATAAAACTAATTCCAAAATGGTATACTCAGACTAAAATTCACCTTCAAAATTTAATTTTTAAGCTCTATTACGCTCTCTTTGTGACATACTGCCTCGTATACTTTTGAAAATTCCAACTATAGTTCACCCTGGTGGTTTCATATATTGGCATATTACTTAGTGTCCTGAAAAAACAAGTCTCTTTTTCTTAAAATATAAAACAAGAGTTGTAAATGTGCCTAACTCAGGTAGATTTTGCTATAATCAAGAGGAAATATGAGTCTCTTCTTGATTTTAGATAAATTTCCTTGATTCGTTTTTTTTTTTTTTTTTTTTTTTTTTTTTTTTTTTTTTCAAGGTCAATTAATTCAGTGGATTCCAGAACCTATTGTTGGTATTGAATTTGTCTTATACTCAACAAGCGTTGGCTCTTTAGAATATAATCCACCAATAATATTTCTACAAGGTGGATGCACCAGTTGTGAACATGATGATTTAAGAACCAGAAAAATTTCACGCAAAATGCAGTTGACATTAAATATTTCTTTACTCAGTTAAAGAAAAACTAAAATTCTAGCACTTTCATTAAATTTCCTAACTTATTGAAAAAATTGATTAACCATCTGCTCAAAACTTAGTTTCCTATTATTATTTACTGTAATTTTCTGCTGTTAGCAAGTTAACTTCATTCAAATCTATTTAGTCTATCTTGCCATTTGGCATGAATTAAGTAGATAAATTAAATAGGGCAGATCGATTCGATCTTTAAAGTTAGCGAACACACATTAGTGAACCTAGCGGCCGTGTTGCAAACTGGTTGAACAGAGCAGTTTACCTTATCAGCCACGCGAGCGTGCTACTCGGCCAATTCGGCAGTGACGAGCAAAAATAGCCGCGAAATGTTCGAATTGCGAAAATTCCCTGACTTTCACCGGTTTTCGATCGAATTCCCTGACTTTTCCCGGTTTTCCAGACAGTGATCAAATTCCCTGATTTTTCCCGGTTTTCCCGGTTTTCCAGACCTGCAGACACCCTGTACTAGGATGTGTACAAACAACAATTCTATATTATTCTGTAAACCCTTACCATTTCAATAATATCATTTGAAGAGTTTTGGCTTGATGAATATTAGGCTCTTTCCAGGGGCAAAGATGGTGATTTCTTACCATGCTAGGAAAACTTTTGAATCTCGAGTAATAAGTGAAAGCCAAATTGACTTTGCTGGAAACAAAGTTAGAGGTCACTAATATTGGTTGTGGATAGAAAATTACTTACAACACCGATGCCTTCAAAGGCATAAACAGCAGTGCCAAAATATAGAGGTAACTGACCCCAAGACGCAACCTTGGGAACTGTATTTGTGTTGGGCAAATCTTGCAGCACGTAGTAGAAAATGATGCCCAGACCTGAAGTTGTCAGGATGGATGCCAGAAGGGAAATCGGCATCATATACTTAAGTGATTTTATCCAATTCAATAAGATCATTGGAACGAGCATAAGTATCAGCACCCAGATAAGCTCGATATCGAAGAAGAAATATTTTATTTCCTGCAACAAAAAATTCCGAAGGTTAAACACAATTACAAGCTATGGAGGCCCTTGTATAAATTTTTTATTTGTACGAAGATTGTGACGTTTTCAGGAGAGAGGAACTCACTTCTTGGGGCAAAATTGTTAGGAAAACAAATTCTGTCCAATAAGGCAGTTGCACTTTTTTAAAAAAGTTTATTTTAAAATTGAAATTAATTCTGCCATCTATGATTACCTACTGTTTTGGTTGCTGTCAAAATCTGTTGCACTTTTGTAACATTTATAATTGTCTCTGTTGCTAAATTGGTAGGTCTTAGTTAGTTGCCCTAATTTTTCTGTATTCTTTGTTATATGATGGGTTCTTCACCTGTTTATGAGTAAAACGCAAGGATGCTAGAAAATAATTGTTGATATTTTTAGGTACTTCTAGCTTGAAATATTCTAGATATTTTTTAACATCCTTCAGGTCTATCAATCTCAATTTTGCCTTTCAAGACATTATCGAAGAGGGTACCGCCTCCCTCGAAACGTCACAATTCTTAACTTTGAAATTGGACTGCATTTTGCTATTTGGAGCTATTAATTCCGACTCATCTGAAAAAACACGTATGTGTATAAGGAAACTAATGGCACATACGTTGTTTTTAAACCGGGCCGGAATTTACAGTTCCAAATTGCAAAATGCAGTCCAATTATTCGCTTTCAATGATCATTGAAGACTGAAAAATCAATTTTTTTTCAAGTCCAATGGTAGATATGGAAATAAACCCAACATTTTTTTTATAATAGAAAACCCTGTATTTGTCAATATGTTTGTTTGTTTGTTTTTGTTTGGAAATTCTTAATGACCTTTAAAGGCTCAGGGAGAAAATTTTTAAATTACCACGAGCAGGATGATATAGGATTAATGCAAGAAATTTGGACGTTGATTGATCAGAATTTGACAGTTTGTACAGGCGCTTTGACTGACAGGAACAGTCACGGCACTGGAAATATAAAAAAATTAACAAACAAAAAAGTTGCAATGGTCTTGATACCAAGAATTAAGGTGAATTTTCGCCAGAATTAAAGAACGTTGAGTAAATTAACAAATTTTTCGTTTTAAAAAGTTTTAGGTTTTAAAATACCTGTTTTCTTCTAAAATATCCGTAAAAATCGAGGCCATTATGCCTGGAAGCACATTTTAACTGGTTATTCTTTAAATACTTCTTGGAATTTAAGCTTGAGGCAAGGCGTAAAAAAGAAAGAAAAGAATATGTATAAAATTTGTGTAGTAAGATGAATTTTTCGTTTTATTTTATATTTTGAGTCGAGGAGTTTTTAAATTTCGATATTTTTTTACTTCTTGTTTAAGATTTTAAGAACAAGGTTTTCAGGAATAGCTAGCTAAAACATGTTCCTTGATGTGTTACTTCAATTTTCAACTTAACTCTAAAAGAAAAACCAGGATTTAAGCATGATTCATTCTGAATACATCTCAAGGTTTGTTTATTTCTGGCAAAGATTCATCATGGTTTTGTGTTGTTCTGGAACTCTTTGTTCTGAGGACTTAAATAAAAATTTAACAAAGTATTATTCATGATCCTTACTGAAAGGTTGCTAAAACATTGACATTTTTGAAATCATTGTGGTAGGTTTATAAACTTAAAGCCAAGAAAGTTTTGGCATAAAGTTGGCTTACATTCGGTGCTGATAGCTACAAACTCTTTTCTGAAGCACAAATGGTAAATTTTTAGGCAACTGAATCAATTTTCGTTTGGTAATTCACCCGCAGAAAAAGGTTTCTAAGTTTCTCGATGTATTGGAGCATTTTCTGAAGGAAATACACTACTTTTTACTTTGAAGGTGATTCATAAAAATTTTGTACAGCAAACATCACCGAGTGACCTGCATTGAAGGAAAAACATGGTGGCAATCATTGTATAAAGATTCCATTCAAAAAAAGGAACTTTGAGGAACTGTAGGCTTCTATACATTACAAGTTTTTACTTACATCATGCAAGTTCTGCGAGACAAAAACGAAGTAGGCACAGCAAAACCCAATCTGAGTTATGATTAAAAATGTATTTACAAGCATTCTGAAACAACAAACAAATTCATTAGGAATGATATTGCAAACATCATGAATAAAAAAGGCCCAGAATAAAAAAACAAAATGGAGGGGAGAACGTTATTTATTTTGACATCTGATGCACTCATAACTGAGAATTTTAAAATTTTGAAAAAATAAAAAATTTTCTTGGTTTTTTTTCGCCAGAATTTTGAAAGGACTACTTTACTTGACAAGGTAGAAAGGTAAGCACAACAATGTGCGTTTCTTTTTACAACATTTTCTGGAGACGGCAGTAAATGAATTAATTTTTTCTACATCAAAGTTATAAGCGAGCAAAAAATATTTTTTGTACATGTCAATTTTCATTTCTTGCTCTTCAAAAACCAAAGTCTACTCTAATTAAATCGAGCATTAAACTATCCCTGGTGGCATTGACTCTTAAATTTAGACTTTTAAAATTTAAAAAAATTGTTCAAATGTACGAGTTAAACCTTTTTGTTTTTCAAAAAAAGTAAAACAAGACAACAGGAGAAAATGAAATAAAAAAGAAAAAAGATGAAATAAAAATGATAAGGAGTTAAAAACTAAATTTTAGGTTTTGTAACATTGATTGAAATTTTATGTGAGCCATGAGTCTCAATGTGGTTTTTGAACTTAGAACAAGTATTTCTAGAAATCATAAAAACTTACTTGCCTTATTCACTCACTGGCGACTCCCCTTATTAAGGAGTTATTCATGCATGCCCTCTCCTTAAACATAATTTAATTTAGCAGGGTATTCGGTTTGGGTGCTTCTTCTTGTTATTATTGCTTATTCGATGAATGTAATAAGCACTGATGTATAATTTGATTTTCAGAGAGTGGAACATTCTGAAGATGGGTCTTCAGCACTTCAGAGAGCAATTCAATAGTCAAACGATCAATCCATAATTTCTGGATTCTAGGATATTTATTAAAAAATCTCCACACATCACATCATGCCCAGGTTTGTCCAAAGTTTGTAAACAAGATTTGATCAAAAAATTTTTTAAAATAGCTTTAAAAGTACAGCCTGCGTGATTATCACAAATCAATAGGGAAAACAATTTGCAATATTCCTGTGCGTTTGTTAAATCTTGTGTACATATACCTGACAGACTATAGCATTATGTGATCCTCAGAGATTTTTGAAGAAAGGTTTTAATGTAAAAATTATCGATTGATCGATTGATTGGCTATCCGTTCGTTCTTCAAAAGCAAATATATTCACCCGAGAGAAGTAAAAGCGGACCTGTCTGAGGGAGGTTTCTGATCAATGTGCTTTTCTCCAGCTATCTAAAATTCACCTTTAGAATAATATAAATGACATCATAGATGATGAAAACAGTACAGATTGGTGGAAATTTACCTAAACACAGTTGAAAATTTCCGTAACCTTTCAGGACCTGTCGCAAAAGCTGTCTCTGCAACTTCCGCAAAGTCCAGGGCAGGAACGCTGGTTCGTTCACATAGCTCTTTTTCACATCCAATCTAGAAGAGAAAAGCAATGAGTTTAGGAAAATGAAGTTACTTCAAAAAAGCTATTTCTACTGACAGGTTGTAAACAGGATTGTTCTTGTCCAGGGTGAAATGATCTGACCATTAAACCCCAGAGGAAATTTCTAAAATAGGATGGGTGTAGAAAAGAATGGACATTAATCATCATGATAAAGCACTTGAGTGGGAGGGGGTGTAAATCTGTGTTTGCCTGTTTGCAAGATCTTTTGCAAAATAGATGTGTGCATCAATTGGGTATTACACAGCCTGATTCAACTGGCAGCTATGCAACACATCATCTTTTAAAGGCTAAACCTCTTCAAACAGTTGACCAAAAAATCTTGAGAGATCTTGCTAGAACTAATTATGTCCTCTAAAGCCCTCTTAAAAACTGCATATCAACATCTTTTCTCGTTCTCTCAAAACTTTGATAACACATTACTTTTGGGACAACCTATGAATTTTTTGGCTGAGCGTGTTAAGAGAAGGGATTTTTAAACCCTAATGTATGCGATGAGTAATATTCAATCCTCCAAGGTCATTGAAAGGAGGAAAAACAGGGGAAAAGAACAAATTTTACAGAACATTTGAACTGTTTCTGGCTTATCCATAGAATCACCTATCTGCAGAAAGCTACTTATGGCACATATGCTGTTTCTAGATTGGTCTAGAAATTGTACTCTCAACTGCAAAATGGAGCAAAATAATTGCAAATGTTGTCAACTTATTAGTTATCAACCAGAGAATCAAAAAGAAAATTAGGACATAGAGCAAACTGCAACATAGTAGTCCTAAGACTGCAGTGAGTGGTGTACTTCCTCCTAGCTTCTACACTATACAAAACGATTAAATCTTATAATGAGACAGAAAGACAATGGATCCTGCACAAAAATTTTTTGTTTTTTTAATTGGAATTGCTCATACTTTTTGATTGTTCCGAGCTGAACTGATAGTGAGCAATTAACTGAGCTCATAAAGCGATTGTTCACTAAGTATGAAGAGGAATATGATATGCTCAATGTCTGAGATGAGCCAAGTTGATTCATAATAATTGATGACATAATTTAACGGTGTTACATTCAGCCAAAGCCAGTGACTACAGCACTGTCATCCAAAGTATAAACGCCGTATCTCCATTCAACACTTTATCAATATTTTTCTGACAAAGTGCTGTTTTGCAAAAAAAACCTGACAAATATACATCCTTCATTTTTTCAATACATCTCCGCCATATCGATGGGAACTAAAAATGAAGGTTTGTGGAAATTGAATTTTCTTGTAATAGATCAGCGCATGCTGGAAAAAAGGAAACAATTTTGAGTGGAGTTACGACGTTTTTGCTGCAGACGGCAGAGCAGGCAAGGCCGATTTTAACAAGGATAACTTCACACCTGCACCCCTGCAATTGTCTTACTTACCAACATATGCATGCAATGTGTACAGATTGCTCCCAGACAAAGGGTACACACTAGCCCAAGGTAAAGACCAGCATTTCTGAATGCATCAGCCATTGCAAGGATGCCAGTCCCAATGTTACCTTTCAGTAAATGTATGAGCGTATCCAAATTCCTGTGGAAAAAGAGGAAAGAAAGGATCATGTTTCAACAGCACAAGAAAGCTTTCAACTCAAGGCAAGATCAGCAAAAACATAAAACAGAAATCTTGGACTTTTTCTCTTGGGAAATATTGGAAGAGGAGGAAGAGTGTGTACTTCAAAAAATTTCATTTTTCTATGTATCACTTCAGGTGATCATTCACTGGGAAAAGGACCTCAGTTTCTGGAGACTTAACTTAATTACAGCATCAAAAGATGTCTCAGATGATGTGATCAGCAGGTGTCCGAACGACCTCATCAACAAATGCCCTGATGACTACATCAATGAAAGCCTCAATCAAATCATCCTGTGTCCTGATGACATCATGAGCAGATGCATTTTAGGACATTATCAAGGGTCGCAAGTTAGCAGTTTCTAATCATAGCTTTCTTTTGTTTGAAGAAAAAGCTACATATTTACAATTTTAATCTGCCATGTTGCACCTTAAAGTTAAGTTGTCTGATACAAATGCAACATCAAGTATTCAAATCAGGAAACAAAGATCAAAGTAGCTTACAACTTGTTCTTTGGGATCTTAAAGAAAGGGTCCTTTAATAACTTAAATATTCATTTTCATCCAACAAAACTTCACAAATCACTCTGCTAAAGAATTTGCATCCTTTCACTAAAGTCCCTCTTTCTGTTAACCGTCACATACTGTCATAGTTCCGAACATTTCAGATCTTTGAAAAATGAAAAAAAATTACAAATGCCAAAGTAGTTTGATGACAGAAAAATACAGAAAATATTTTTGAAAATTCTTCCAACATTTTCTTTTAGGTATACTGGGAATTAAAATTTATGGAAAAATGAAAAAACTTACGAAGTAGGATGAGCTAAATCCCTTGCCGATTGAAAATCATTCTTAACTTCCTCCTCTTTCGTTGCATTGACAAACTGATCGTTCATTGGTCCACCGTCAATATTCACGCTCAAGTTTTCTGGTGAATCTCTGATATCTGGCCTCGGCATGGCTCGACTGTTGGCAAGCAAAAACGAATACACATGAGACACTTTGTTTTTGTGAATGAAAAGAAAAAATCAGAGTTTTCCATTAAATTCTGAACAGTTGGAAAACGTTAAGCAAGGATAATGGAAAACAAAAACAATACTTCGGGCACTTTATCAAAATGAACTGAAAGCTGAAAAGCTAAAAAGCTTAAATTATTTTTTTCAAAATATTTTTCTCCGAAGATCGATGAATATTTTTAAAAAGATTTTAGAGGATACAGAACAATTTTGGGTTCTAGAGCAAGCAATATAAAAATGTGAAGTTTTTTCTTTGGAGTTCTTTCTCCCAAAGATCCATGAATATTTTCTGGATAATTTTACAGATTTGAAAAAATTTTGATCTCCAGAAATTTCTCCCGAGCAAAAAAAAAGAAGAAAAAAACCAAAAAGTGACCACAAACCCTTGCATTTTTTCAAACAACGATTAAGTACCTTCAGAGTTTAAGACTCAAAAAATAAAAATTTAATGAAACCGCTTTGAACAAAAAAAATTGAATAAGGAAAAGCTAATAATTTGTTCCGGTACTTTAAGTCAAGATGTAAAATCATACAGAGAAAAAAAATAAATTACAAGTGGTTGGAGCCATTAAGCGGAGGGATTTTTTCCAATTCCATATCTCTGACCGATGTAACAGCTGGAATCCGAGAGGGCACCCGCACAAGAGGGAAGTTCTCACTGACGCGAGGCTTCGACTGACGTGATATCTTTCCCATTTTGCCAAAAATCTCCAGATTAAAGAACAATGACTGTGCTTTACACTAAACAATGAGGGGAGGAGAGGCAAGGAGGAAATAGCACAGATAATTAATTCGGTGGACAAATTTACACTGTTGTCAAGGAGACAAATTTAACAATTTTCCTTTTTTTCCTTCACTAATCTATTGTTTATTTCCAACACTAAGTTATTTCTACGTTTAAGCTTTGGATTTCACTCCTGGGTCTAAAAACAATGCACACTCGTTAGTGATATGATTGACGATTGAGACTATCCGAGATGAAAATGAAAAAATCACCAAAAAAAAGTTGTTGCGGTGAAAAAAACACTTTAGAGCTCGTGAAAAATGAGTTCATAAAACACGAAATAGGGAGGAAGGAATGACGTAAAATAAATGATACTTTAAACAGGAAAATGAAAGATGCAAACAAGTGTTCAGTGGACAAATGGAGGAAATTAAAAACACTTTGTGGACAGTTAAAACACGAGTTCCAGGCTAACGTGGCACCACAGGTACATCAATCACGGCTTCTTTACTTACAGCAGGTGTGTTTCAGCCAACTAAACATGGGGGCTGGTTCCATTAAGCTACATCGTTAGCTCGGATATGAATCTGTATCTGGAGTCACACCTCCAGTGACTAAGAGCGATGATTGATAGATTAGGGTTACCCAATTCCATGGAAAAGCTCCAAATTCCACCAAACCATAAAACATTGTGCAATCTTAAATGGAGGACCCTGGCTGGCTGACTCAGAGAAGACACGCCTCAATGCTCCTACTAGTTGTGTTCTCCAAATTTATCTCCTTGTGTTATACTCTTGTAAACTGTGTTTTAACACTGATAGCAGTGAGTAAAATTATTTGCCTATAAGAACTACAGTAGATTATGATTGAAGTATGCATTTTAATTACTTCCAAGGATGATAAATACTTACTGTGGATACTCTGTTCCTTTCGAATACTTGGCATATGCCTTGAGCTTTCTCCTTCCAAATAGTTGAAAAATGCTTTTTGTGATAAATTTATGGTTCTAGCCACAAGATTCTCATGCTGTAGCAGTCAAATTCAGTGTAGCCAGTTTACTTAGTTTAGTATTATTATTATTATCTTTCAATTATTTATTTATTTATTTTTTTTTTGTAAATTTTCCGAATATAAAGTAACACATTTATCTAGGAGAGATTGAATTTATATTTTGATTCAAGGATCTTGCAGAAGGAGTGAAGGGGGGGGGGCGGCAAGAAATATTTCTTTAGTTAAGAAAATAGACAATATTCATGGAAAAAAAGAAAAAAAAACCAACTTAACCATTGGTAGATTTTTTAAGTATTCATGTAAAAAACAACGTTAAGTAATCTTCCTGGGTATTAATATAAATATTTTTAAATATTTTGAGAGCAAATGATTTGATTGAACTAGTAAGGGGGGACTGTTTTAAAAGCATTATAACTCCATGGCTTGAAATACTTAAAAATTGGATTTGTTCAAGTGAATCCTAATATTAAAATTAATTTAATCAGATAGATGTATAGGTGGATAGATAAAAGTATTTTACTTCACCCAATTTTTTTAGGTCTACAAAAAGAGTTTGCATTATTTCACAATAAAATTTTACAAAACGAAGTATCTACTGTAGTCATTTATCAAACAGTCAGAACTTTCTTTAGTATACTGGGCAGAAGAGATCTCTGAAAACAGATGTTCATTTCCAGGAAAAATGGTCATGGAGCAACCCATTTCACAATCAATTACTGTAAAGACAGCCTACTTACTCATCAAAATTTTCACTGATGGGAATGGGGTAGGCCACCCCAATGAGAGGTTGCCGTTCTTCCGGTTTCATTTTCTTCAATTTTATGCCCAAGTTGGTTTTCAACTGCAACATGAAAGAATTAGATTAGTGGCGGCTATTAAATGAGACTATGGAAGAATGAGCGGGAACAGAATAGAATTTTACAGCTCAAGAGCACACATCCAGTGAGGACAACTACTGTAAGTAAAGCATATCATCATCAAGGTGATTTACATTACATATTCTTTAAATTATTCAATTCAGGGTGTCTATAGAAATCTAATTTTGGATTTTCCTGATATTTTCCTTAATTTTCCTGATATGGTCATGCTGATGAATATTTCCCTCTCAGAATGGAAAAGAAACACTAAATAAATGATGCTACCACCGACCCAAGTGGCAAGGGGTTCTATTTTTTGTCTGGCACAAATTTAGAAATTGTCGATTTTCTAGACAGAAAAATAAAATTGAAAGAAAATGGATGTATCAAATAGAAAAAAATGATTAAAAAACCTCTATTTTGTGTCTATGTTCAGGACACTAAATAAAGGAAATATACAATTTTGTTGTCTACATTCTGAGTTTTTTCTATCTGTTTCTAAATTTTAAATTTCCAAGAGATACATAAAAAAATATCCAATTTTTCTCTATTTTCTATCAGGTTTTTGGATATTTTTTCTTAACGAAATAGCCCCATCAATTTTGTAGATGGAAAATAGATCCATTTTGTAGACAGGAAATAGACACATGATAAATAGGGACACTCACTTTAATGTTAGCTACTTTTTCTTTGTTTTCGAAATTTTTTTTCATTAATTTTTTTTTCCATAAAATATTTTCATTTTGCTACTTGGGAGACTCTTAATCAAACTACTGTACAAAAAATTGATGCAAAAACAGGAAGCTTACAAGATACTTACTAGGTTTGCACAAAAGAGCTTTTCTAAGCTCCCAATGCAGGAAAGATATTAACTACATCTATAAGGTACGACATCAAATACAAGCAATAGCCAAAAGTTTATGAGTGAAAATAAGAACCAAAACCAAGAATACTGGAAATAAATGTCATCTACCGAGCTGTTTTATGATTTAGAAGACATTGTGGTGACCTTTCTTTGCTGCACAAAAAAAGGAGGAGGCAACGTATACGTTGCCCTTGCATGCACAGTTATCGATGAATTACCCATAATTTGTGATTGAGATGTGTGCGAAATGCAAATAAAAAATATAAATGTTTTGTGGTTAAAGAGTGCTTGATTTTCATAATTAATGATGTGTTGTTGACAGCTAAATGACAATGACAAGGCTATATGCTTTGCCAAACAAAGAAGCAGATGATGGCCTGAAAGACCAGTGAGCTTTTAAAAATGAGGATTTAGGTAAGTAACTACGACAGGACTGTACATGTAAATGACAAGAATGTACGAATCCAGGGACTTACAATGCGCAGAGGAGTGTTATCACTCATTTTCAAGACTGATACACCTCTTTTCAGAGTGCGTATACCTGATTCAAACATAGGAGAAACAAATTCAAGTTTATAGAGATAATTATAAAGACATTATAAGAAGTATGTAAAAGTTCGTACGTAAGAGAGACAAGAATAAATATTGTTAGGATAAACAAGAAACCTAGGATAAAAGGTTTCAAATAGGACAGTGAGTGAAGATGATTTCATTAAATTGATTGCTGAATGAAAGGATGGCAATTTAATTTGACAATATGAATAATTTAGCACTTAGATGGTGCAAGGAAATTATGTGCCTCAATCTTTGAAAATAATTATAAAACACTGGCAAAGGCCGAAGTGATTCCTTGGCTTCGATAAAAATGTCTTCATTCTGATTCAATATCTTTGCAACACTAAGAAGGTTACGACATGATAAGCACCCCAGGAATGACCCTTTTTTTTAGTCTTGATAGGTGGCTAATAATAACTCATTACTGAACATAATCTTGAGTTGCTCGGAGGTGCAATGCTGCAGAGATAATGTTTGGAATATTGACTGAAGATTACGGAGTATCATTGATTTACTGCATATGTCACATATCGTTTGATTCATATGTCACAGATAGGTGTTGATTTATTTGTATTGGTGGTATTTGAGGAAATTTAGTTGTTAACAATCCAATTCCTCTATGAGGAATCGCCGCATGAACCTCTTCATAGAATCCCTACATTATGGTCTTGGACTGGCATTAACATCTATTTCATTCAGTGGGCAAGAGACTCTAGAGCCCTTCAAATCTCTGACAAGAACCAGCATTATCTTGCACAAAAGAGCTTGTAGTTGGTTGAGAATTTGAGAAGTGATTTAAAATATGGCATGAGAGGTGGCTGTGAGACACAGCTTCAAAAAGGGGCAATAATGTGCACTTTCCTGAACACAATACAGCCATGCGAGTAGGAGAGGCGAGACAACACGGGTTTTAAAAGAGACGTATAATTGCAGGTAATTGATATTCAATTGCTTGCTTAAAACTTTTACCTGAGTGAAATCAATGACAAAACACAAAACTAGGTTAACACCTTGCGACACTAGGAAGCCTTTATGTATCAAGACAACTGGTGGACACACTAAGGCTAAGGTGAAAGAAACGATGAAGTGTGATGTTCACCCAGGTCTGTAAAGGTAAATTAATTGTAAACAATTGCAGTACGTGAGTCTGTTGAGGGGTGCAAAAGATAAAATAGTGATTGACACCCGTAAAGTGTAAACAAAGGAACAACGAACCTGATAAGGAATTCCTGATTGCTCACAGCTCAAAACTGCTCGGCGATCATTTTTATTGTAAGGGGAAACTTGCGAGCCACATTAGGGGATCAAGTAAATGAGATGAAATTCACAAGAAATTTAAAATTTTGGCGAAACTTGGAGGTATATCTAAAGGTAAACAAAAAGTAGCTCAATCCTCAATCGCTTTCCGCAATTCGCAGGTGACGGCAACGCAGATATAAGCGGAGAATCAGCGAATCAGCATCCAGGAAATTAACAGCACTACATACGTCATTCTGGACAATATTACGAAGACGGNGGGGGGGGGGGGGTGTTAGCTTTTTGCTCTGAAATCCAGATTCTTTCGAAGTTATTTAAGTATTTTATATTTTTCTTTCGAAAAATTTTAAATTTTCCGTATTTTGTCCGCTTCTCTCTCCTTTTCTCTAATTTCTATTCTCGCTTCCTGCTAGGGATGTCGATACTCAGGGAAGTATCGATACTCGGTATCGATTCTGGTATCGACTCTAAGCATCGATACCGGTATCGAGCATCGAGCTGAAACATCGATACTTATGAGGTATCGATACCATCGATACTATTTCTGAATTATGCCGTGATTCTGAGTGTGCGTATGTCTGTCGGCCGTTAAATTCCGCCAGATTTACGCCTCTCTCGAAAAAGCCCTGTTCGCGTCCTTAGTCAGCTATTTTGAGCCTTTAACTACACTTATCGAACTGAGCTTTTAACGTTTTTATTGAAGTATAATCATTTTGAGAAACTTAATTACTCCGTCGTTTGTCACAGTGCATCTTGAAGGTGAAATAGTGGGGAGAGAATTTTTTAAAAAAGAAAAAGAGGCCTTCTTCATGGCCAAATCAGATTAAGTATCGATACCGTCGATACTGGGGTCTTGGCATCGATACCGCATGGTATCGATATCGTGGAGTATCGATGCCGAGTATCGTTAAGTATCGATCGAAAGTATCGATACTTTGCAAGTATCGGATAAGTATCGACATCCCTACTTCCTGCTGTTCCGCGCTTCAAACTGTGCGCCTCCAAAATCGAAAATGGTCCCTTTGTGCAATATTTCGTACAACTTTCATCGAAATGACAAAGGCTTCTGTAAGGAATTCATGGAGCATTTAGGCCATGGGTAACTCTCTGAAAATGAACTTAAAAATGCCTTCGAGGTTTCGATTTTCAAAACGGTTACTTCAGTGTGTCATTCAGGCATTTAGGAACTAAGTATGTCGACGGCGCCCATACCAGAAAATTGCGGAAGGAAAAGGAAAGTAGATGCTGAAATAAACCGTATCAAACAGGTTGCAAAAAACAAACTTTCGCTCTTTCGATGAATCAATGAATCCCCGTCCTTACCTAGAAAGGTTTGATGCAACCTTGCGCCTTGCACCCCTTTCCCCTCTCGCCTTAAACCTCATCCTTTTCATGTCATGGCCACGGCCGTCACCTACGATTCAACAGGGTTGTCAGATTGGCAAAATTACAATCAACAGCCACAGCTAGCAAATTATCTCACTTTTTTTGTTACAGTGAGGAACAGATTATTAATCTAGTAGAAGCATGACAAAATTTACATGAAGAGCTGAGCAGAGTGTTTGGTGCCATCGAAATAATAAATTCGACAAAACTAAACAGCAACAGCGCTTCTCTCTGGCCTTCCGCTCTTACCCCTCTTCTCGCGAGAAAACCTCCTGTCTCGCCGCCATCCCCCTCCCCCCCTCGCGGTTCCCATGCGTGCGTGTTCCTCTCCATGTTTACCTTTTACGAATTTGATAAAGTTCTTCGCCTGCAATCTTTTTGTCCGGACATAATGGATGATTTTGTGTGGTGTTTCAAAATTCCGAAGCTCTGAACTTCATCGGGAATTACTTCGATTTCCTTAGCTGTGTTACGTGTTCTTGTTGTTGCCCAATGTTGTAAATGTGCGTGTGATCTTGACCTTTTCCTTTAAAACTGATTCGGTGTTTGCTTAACCTCAGTGCCGAGATTGTACGCTCGGAAAATTACACTCGATTATGGGAAGATGTAAGTCGAATCACTCTCCAATACTTCCACGTTATACGCCAGCAATAGGTCTGTACTGACTTTGGAGCTCCTCTCAATTGATTGGCTTTGCTCCTGCTCATCTCCGCAAGGTCCCAACGCTTGGGATTCCCAATGAGATGTTTGCGATGGGGATGTCGCATTTGCTCTATATTATTATCCCGCCTCTTAAAGTGGATGGAGTCGCAGGAGTTTACTGTTGATGTTTTGATAGCTTAGCGTTCAATTTAATCCTTAGGCTGGAACATCCTTCCGAGATAAAAGACATTAGGAAGTTCATGGGTTAGAACGAGAGCTGTAACCATTATTTGTTTTGAAGGGACTTCTATCGAGTCAGAAGAATATGGCCAATTTACTGGTGTTCTGGAGTGGGTTACGGTATAAACTGTTAAGAGAGTGAGCAAACGTATGACAGGTGGAAAATAGAGATAGACATAGAACTATTTTGCCCCTGATTTGTTAGCTTAACTCTCATATCATAGGTCTTCCTAGAATGTTCGTGGACATGTGTCCTGCTAAGGTTTCAATAAGAGATCGTCTGACTCATGGATGTTTACATGAGCTTTGTCAATGTGTCAGTGAGAGAAGGTGTCTATGTCACTAAGTTACCACTAGAGGACTTTTTCCGATAAAGTTCAGCAACAGCTGCTCTGTGCTTAACTACTTTTTTTCACCATTGAGAAAATAGCTCGCATTTTATCGCTAAGATCTCTTTAGCTCTCACTAAAAAATTTCACTGAGACTCATGTCAGCTTACAACTTTGCTGCACATAGATGTTGGGAGCTGGAAATTGAGTTTTTGGTGTCAAAGTTAGGCTTAGCTCGGTTTGAAATAAGATTTTGTGAAAGTGTTCATGGTCTCAATTTTTTTTAAAAATGTCATTTACCTTAACTCAAGGTTCAATTTTATTGAGTTAGTTCTAACAATAGTAAAGATATTGTATCCAAATTTGCTACCAACTGTAAGTGTTGAAATTGCATATTACCTACTATCGCTTTTTGCAATAACTAAATAGAAATCTGTATCTTGAAATAACGTTCTGTTTGCTTTCAGATGAGTGAGAATTCAAATCGCTGAGTGTGAAGTACAGAGATCGCAACCATGTTGGAGCCCAACCTTCAAAAGAAATTCCTTCTCAATGACTTCTCAAACTCTCATCTTTCAACAATATTGTCAAATATTGACAGTGCGGATCCAAGTATGTTGTTTGATCCTTAGTTCACACTGCTTTCATCTCCTGGGATTGTAAATGTGATGTTAATCAAACTTGAGTGTTGCTGAAATAATGTTTTATTTGTCAAAGAAATTATTGTTTTCCAAACAATGAGGATTCCCTTCACTTTTATTTTATATATTTTTATTTTCTCAATTCAGTACATAATCAGCCGCAACAGTCTGACAGTGGTACAGGTCAAGTTAAATTATGACACAATACATCACATTACATGCATTACAATATATACATGTGGGGCTTTTTACTATCATGAAAATTCAGTTCAACTCTGAACTTCCAGGAATTCATTTAATAGGCCATAAAGATCCTTTTCAATTAAGAATTTCCTAAGGGAAGAAAAGAATGTTGTAAAGTCTGAGTTCTTCAAATAAAGTTTAATTTTTATAGGTAATGTAGGTATTGATTATTTGAATACAGGATTATTTAATACATAGATTCCAAAATTTTAATGATATCTGTCGAAAAGTATTTAATTTAATCTTTGAATGGTAACCACTAGAAAAGCTAAGGCTTGTAAAGAAATCATCCAAGAAATAGAATTCATCTCAAGCCAGCTCTTTGGTCTCTGAGCCCTATCGGGTCTTCTATTCAATAATGGTTTAATTTTTCCTCTTCGAGCCAATTTTTTGCAGCGTGTCTACAGGTCAGGAAAATCAGGATAAAGTGAGAGATTCTCATGAAAAATACTTGTTTTCTTCTCAGAGTGCCTCAAGTTTTTTCATTAATACATTTTGTCATATTTTTCATGTCCTCCCTTAAATTTTGCTTTTGTTTTAAAAGCAATAGGTATGAATATAGTTTTTATAAATTTACCTTCAAGTCTCCAAGCCGTCCATAACTCAATGATTGCACTTAACACGACACACGCAGGTTTTTTTTCACCAGAAAGTAAGTTAAATGCCTCTCATGCCTGGACAGAACTAGTAGATTTTGACGACAGCCACCTAATTGAAGTTTTATTTGCACCATTTTAAAAAGTAGGTGTTGCTTATCAAGGAAGACTCGTTTGAAAAACCCTACTTAAAAATGCTGGCTGTCATTCAGGGATCAATTAACGAAAAAACATATCCTCAGGAGCTGTCGGCTAAGAGAATTTGCATAAAATCAAGCCCATAATAATACCGAACTTATACATCAACACGAGTCATTGTGCATGCTGACCATTTTTCACTGATTTTATTCAATTTGTTCTTTTCTGCTTTCTAAATGCCCTCCATTTAATTTGTTTTAGTGGTTGCAAATACCTGGCTGGAAACATTACTGGATCTGCTCAAAGTATTACCCAAAGACACCATAATTTCCAAAGTGAGTCTTTTATTTTATTATAAATTTTTAAAAATTATTTTTATTTTACTTTTGTACTATTGTAGTCAGGGCTGGATTAACGATTTTGCCGCTGTGGACACGCGGAAATTTGCCGCCTTGGAGGGGTGGCCGGGTTTTTCCCAAGAAAAAAATGAATTGTGACGGGCAGTCTGCAATGTTGCTAACATATGTGGCTTTGCTTTTTGGCCTATGAAATAAAACAATACTAGGTTTTACTCACCACCATCCAACGTTGTACTCTTTTCATTATGTTGGTCACTCAACGCAATCGCTTATACCACCCACCTGTTGTATCAGTAAATGCTGATAACACACTGACTCCATGCTGCTAATCCATCGGATAAGCATGCACTGCTGCATCTATGACCTGTTTACCTCATTATCTTATCTCTGGGTGAGGAATTTTCTCCCCTGATTTGTTTTTTCTTTCCTACATAGAAACTGAAAACCAATTAGCTCTCCATTATTTTTTTCTTTTCCATTGGAAATCTCTGCCTTTCCTTATCTTTTGATCTTTTTATTTCTGTTAAGAATTTTTGAAACTGCTCATCATGAATTTTGAGTGGGAAATTCAGCTCAGTTACAATCATATCATTGCTCCAAGGTATCAGTCTAAAATTGCTGAGAACTTCTCAAGAGAGGCTGTTTTTCCCAAAGTTTTTAACTTTTTTCATGGGGTTTTCTTTTTGTATAGCTCTAGGCCTCCGAAAACTTTTGCTGAAGCCTCCACAATTTTCGGGAATGTGTTCGGTTTTGGCTATAAATTGATCACCCTTTGTTTTTCAGAAAAATACATTTTTAAGGAAATTGGAAATTCTAGAGTTTTCTAGAATCTCAATTTTTGCTGGTAATTTTGACAATTAGTACTATAAATCCCTAAGGACAATTTTTCTAAGAAAGCCTCCTTGTTTGAAAATTCATTTGAGATAGTGTAAACATGTCTACACTTAACTTCTAACATGCATACCTCCTGTATCTCTCTTTCAGTAATCTTTGAAGTGTCTGTTTTTTTTTTTTTTTTTTTTTTTTTTTACTAAAATACTTACCTACCTTATGATTTCTTATCAATGTGTCACTTTTCAAATAATGAAAATGTATTGATTTTTTTAATACAGATTTTCCCATTTGCCATCACCAAAGGACAAAGATCTCAGTCACTGCAGTCAAAACTGGCAGCGATTAAAATTTTATCCAGCATCTGCTATTTCTTAGATAATGATAAGTAAGTTTTTTTATTTTTTTATTGGTCCTGTTTATCTTTTTTTTATTTTCTTTGATGGAACTAACTAAATCAAACATTTCCTCATAATTTTGTATGGTTTTTTACTAATGAGTGAAGAAAATCCTCAAAAAATTTCGTTAGATATAGTTGGTTAGTTTGACCTTAAATAAATTAAACATGAAAGGAAACTTTGAAATTCATCAACTGAGGAACGCATTTTTTAACTTCAGCAATCCTAATGTTACCATTTTCAGATGAAAGGACCTCAGTTGGACGTAGTTCTACCAAACAGACCTATGTGGAAGTGAGAAATATGGGGTGTGCTCGTTAGTCTCTGGCCGTAAGAGTGAATGAGAATAATAAAGCGCCAGTGACGTCAGCGGCAATGAAAAAGCGGGGGTGAGACGTCGACGTCGTCGTCGGGGCTCTTTAACTCATGAGCCCTGTTCACAACGCTCTCATGCCGTGCCTGCGGCTCATGACTCCCGCATTCAGATGGCACATAGGTCTGTTTGATAGAATGCAATATCCCGCTTTTCCAATTCTTCAAAAGGAATCATGCACACTTTTACATTGCTTCTTATGCAGATTTCTAGAGCACACCCCACATTTCTCATCGCCACATAGGTCTGTTTGGTAGAAATACGTCCAGTTCTATAAAAAAAATTCAAAATTTAAGTATTTATACCAGAGCAATGAGACATTTTCTAGGTGCAATTGGGGACAAAAAATGCCTGAGCATGTCAAATCAAGTCATAATTCTGGTTGTTAGAAGATAGCAGTTATAAACTTATATTTTTGAACCAAAGCTATTTAAATGCTATTTCACCATGTTCAGGGCACAAAAACACTGAATTTTTATCACACTCTCTATTGTCACAAAAATGATTTGTCCCGATAGCAATTGATTCTTGAGGACATCAGAGATAGTTTTCCCCTGCAATCTTGAGATTCATCAACATAATTAGCTGTATTAGGTATTAATTAAAGCACCAAGCAACATATTTTCTCCTTAAAATCTTACTTAGAAGATGGTTTACTCAACTGGAGGCCTGGAAATCAACTCCTAAACAACACAACAGTGTTAGCAATCATAAGGCAAAAATACATATGACATCATTTGTATAATCTAACTTCCATTTGATCTGTGCTGAAAATATTTGTTAATCTCTCATTCAACGTAAGATTTTGCGAAGAAAATAAGTGATGTTTTTGTTTTGTTCAGACCTTGTCCAGTGGTTCTTTGTTACAACTCACCTCTCTGATCCAAATATACAAATATTTGTACTTAATAACTGTTCCTATGATTTAATAGGTTGCTGGAAGACCTTCTACCGCTGGTTCGATCTCTTTCTCAAGATGAAGAAATTGATGTTCGAGTTGCTACTTGCAGTTTGTTCAACCTGATCTACGTAAAATTGGACTCTCAATTCTTAGAAAGCGGCTACTTTGTTCTGCTCGTAGGGCTGTTCCAAGATCAATCTCTAGTCGTTCGAAATGCCATTTTCACGATCTGTTCAGACATGATCTCTCTGTTTTACAATGGTATGTAGTGAAAACAGTACATGATTCGTCTGTGGAATACTAAATCAAAGACAGACCCTTCCACATTCAAGTAGGATTTTTTAACAGTAGGTTAGGAATCGGGTGATAAGTTGTGAAAAAACAAATCACACAGCCTTTTGTTATAGATGTGCTATTTACTCAGTAAGGGTGCTCAAATTTGGGAAATTTTCTAATTTCAGAGAGAAGCAGCTGTAAAAAGTTGCATTTTGGCGGAAGAATGAAATTGATGGTTACCTAAACAACTTTTGGGGTGATTTATATTTGAACTGTGTTAAAATGGGGTGCTAAGTGACCTTCCTAGATATAAGGGACGTATTCCAAAGGTTCTCATTGGATGCTGAATATTCAAAATTGTAACATCTGAAGTCAACATAAAATTAAGAAAATTGAACTTCTTTCAAAAGTTGAAGTTGGAAAATTCAAGATTTTTGGCAAACCTCCGAATCGTCCTAGTTTTTCAGACAAATTTATTTTTGTGAATTTTTCCAGAAACTAAAATTGCTTCTCAGCCAGTGCATAGCTTACCTTTATTGCTACGTATGATACCAAAAAATGACGAAAATTTTGAAGCTCTTGAAGGATTTCTTGTACATTCATTGTTTAGGAAGGAATGTTTTTCTTCAATTCTGGACTCTTCATTAGAATCTCTCACTAGCATTAGGCGTGTAAAAGGAAAAAAATTTAGTATTCATCGCTTCTATCTTCCAATCCCCTTTATATGTAGTTGCCTGGAGGGTAAGTTCTTGGAGTGGTAAATAAAAAATCGCAGTAATCCACTCAATTGGTTTCTCATCATGCTATGCTGTTTGTTCATCTCTTGTAGGCAATAATTTTTTATTTATCAATATTTTGCAGAGCAATTCATGATGAGTATTAACGTGTTATTTAAGGATCACATAGAAGCAGCCATTGAATTTGAACCAAAATTGCTCCCTCAGGTTTCCAAAAACTTATGCGTTTATGCCTCTGCAAATAAGGGTGAGTCAATAAATAAGGTAACTTTTTTATTTCAAAGTGATTCTATAAATTATCTTGAGTTTCAATTTCTAGCTGATTTTATTACAATAGTTCAGGATTGAAAAACAGGTGTCCGTTAAATTCAACCTAATCTGACCAATCCCTCAGTGTCTTGATAATATCCGATTTTAGTTTATAGTGAAATTATCACAAGTCCTGAGATTTTTGATGTGACCAAATTATTTAACCGAAAATTTTGATGTGAAGGTGTGGTCTTTGTGCCATTAAAACTTAACTCCTGAGTTTCTGAAGGTGTAATTAGTCGAGGTCCATGTGACAGCTTGAAACAAGACACATTTCTTGTAGGTAATATAGATATTGAAGATTCTCAAGAAACATTTCACTGCGGCAAGGGACAAGTTCACAATTGCACATTAACTCAAAACTTAATTTTATGAAAGAACATGTTGGCAGTAAATGACCTTATATTACTGTATATTTAATCATCATGCCAGTTCTATGTCTGTTGTATTTTTCCTCTCTATAATTTATCCTTGTTCAAAAGTTCCAGATTCGGCTAGCACAGCAGATAAAATGTGGTACATTGATTGTTTTGTCAAAATCGCCCGACTGACTGAGAAGAACATTATTCATCCTGACAGTGTTTGCGTAAGTTCAGTTCTCTTCTTGCTAATTTATGGACGGAATTTCAAAGTTCTTAAAATCAGCTTGCAAAAATTTGGAAGGAAAAAAATTGTAGCATCTCTGAATTCAGTCACCAAGTTTTCAGAATTTATTTGGATGTATTCAGTGGAAATCAGCTTAGTTGCATTCCATGTTGCTTAATGGATCTGTTGTACACCAGAGATACAGCCAACTAAACGTTGAGTACATAAAAAGAGTCTGAAATCTGCGTAGTTTGTAACACGCTTTTTCAAATTTACCGCTTATACAGGCAGTTTTTCTTGGAGGCCGGCAGTCAGGTTTGCCCCGAGAAAGGTCTCACCTATATGAACAAACAATCTCGTGAACTGTTTTGAACTCTCACTGCGAACGATTTCAATTTATTCAAGACTTTTCGCAAAGTAAAGAAAGAAGAAAAAAAATGCTCGAAAACGATTGAATTTATACAATAGAAAAGTAAGTGAAATCGTTTGTTTACTAATATTAGTTTTTCGGACTCCTCTGCTTGTGGAAACCTGGTCAGCAGTGACTGAAAAACTGCTCGGAGACGCTCAAACTCGAGAAAAGTGTGTTACAAACTTCACAGATTGCGCACTAAGGAATTACTTTTTTGATGCGCTGAAGTTGATTTTAATGCGATTTTACCCGTAAAGAGTATACATATTTGGCTAAATCTCTTGCGTGCATCAGACTTATTTTCTCTCATTTTAAATTTTTTAAACAGAAGACTAAACTAATTTTAATGCTTTCAAACTCTCTGTGAATTTATAATATATTATGAAGAAAACATTCACAGACTTTTATGTTTGAGTGTAGCTTAGTTCTCTGTTTAAAACATGTGACATCAGAGAAAATTAGGCAACATCTGATTTTGTTAGGCTGATTTTTCGGTTAAATCTGTTCAGTCGTACGTTATTTAAGAACCATCTGTCTTTACTGGAAAATCTAGTTCCGCTCAAACATTTTTCCAAGTTTGAAAATAGAGTGTCCTTTGATGTATAATGTAAGGCGTTTCTTTAATTACATCAGCAATCGAAAAGATTAATAAAATTCTAATTTGGAATAATCTAATCATTTTGTGTGGGATGAAAGCTTTTAATCAAGAAGATTGTCACCAACATACACACCTAAACTCTGACTGATAAGCTTTAATGAAGCTTAACTATCAAATTGAACTTTGTTTGAAGCTTACAGTTTGATCCAATATTCAATTTTATCAAGAGTGACTCCGTAATGTTTTTATCAAAACGGCAAATAGGAGGAACTGAAGGTTCAGGGTTTTTTGATTGCTCCACTTGTTTGCTGAACCCATCAGCAGGCAACCACCACTAATAACCAATCACTAATACTTAAACAAGAAAATGAAATCAGAAAACATCACTAAGGAAACAGGTTTTGTAAACAAGTTTTTGCCCGAAATTAGATGTTAATTAGAAATGAATTTGATAATGGAGTGCAGGGAGCTCTATAAAGCCAAATGTTTGCTGCAATCCCACGTTTCCTCCTCATGGCCAAATGACGGATTTTATGGTAAAATGCCCAACTTTACGATAAATGTGTTGTTTGCTTCACTTCGTGAATAATCGAAAATTGAGGCATCAGTACATACCACTGATTTGATACCACTTTTTAGAACATTTTACAACAATTTTGCCAGAAAAGGTCCTTAAAAATGGGAAACTTAACCAGAACCATGATGGTGTAAAGTTTGCAGTTCAAAAAATATAATTTCATCTTGTATTGGTCACTGCTCATATCATTGGATTTCAATGCTTTATGCCTTCTTTATGCTTAACAATGAATGATTCTGCTTTTGTCGAGGCTCTAAAGATTGTTTTCTAATATAATATCTAATCCCATTATGTATTACTAAACTAACTTTATGCAAAATTGCTCACCTGCAGTATTTAACTTCCCATACTGAGGTCCTTTTCCTGTGAGCAGTCGTATGTATGTATCCTTTTAATATACTATTCTTTTTATAACTTACCCTTATCAGGTTATAATTGTGTAAATCTCTCTAATTTCAGTTGCCATCAGAGATACCCCTAGAAAATGATTTGCACAGTTTATACCTACAGTGCAGATCGAATCTGGCCAGTAACTTCGACTACGTAGCGAAACTTAGTTCATCAATCAGTCGAGTAAATTTGCTGTGTCCGTTTCTTGAAAATTTTGCTCTGGACTCCCATTGCATCGTCCGTCAAAGGATCGCTGAGAAACTAGGACAGGTATGTATTTTGTTTTTTCAACCCTTATTTTTGTGCTTCAGTTTTTTATTCATTTTGGTAATTTTACTGCAAAGGAAAGTGATTGATTCAGCCTGTTTTAAATGAAAATAAGCTTTTTTTTTAGAATTAGGTAAACAAAGAAGCAGTGACCAAAAAGAGGACACTTTCGTGGAACACAGTTTAGTGTCATGTTTGTGAGCTGCCAATTCCAGATGGATGGCATTCATGAGAATCAACAGAACTGAATTTTACATTTCCTCCTTTTCTTTAAAAAAAAAATAAACCAAGCAGCTCAGTACCTTCAAGCTTTCTGTGAAATATTTCCATTGAAAAATATATTTACAAAATTTTAAGGCAGAATACCACTCCGTTTTCTGTTTAAAAGATGAAACATTATAGGAATTCAGGCACCGTGAAATACAGGAAATCTGATTCTAGCTCAAACTTGTCCAGATGATTGTTGGATCCTACATTTAGGAGTTTTGTAGAGTGAATCATCAAAGGTTGACTTAAACTAGGTAAAAGGGTAACTAGGGTAACTAGGTAAACTAGGTAAGATTAAATACCTCAGAAAAACTGATGCAGTATACAGTTCTTGATTCCTTAAGGTTTTCTTATTAAATATTCTTCAATTTCAACTCAGAGAAAATTTAATTCCCAATTATTATTTTTCAGATTGCACCATGCTTCAAAGACCATTCTTCATTACTTTTCGATGTATTTAATCGGTTGCTTAAAGACTCATCAATCGAAGTACTTAAAAGTCTAGTCCCTCAGATCGCGGATGTGTTGCGTGTTTTAAATGAAGCAAAAGTCATTGGCCGGACAATAGATGTGAGTTCTAGATAACAGATTACAATTTTTTTTTTTCTGGTCAGGAAATCAAGATCATTGTACTATAAGCACACAATGTCTTAAATACTGGTGTATATTGTGTCATATTCTTGCTTAATTATTTAAACTTATGTAATGACACTTTTATAGATACATATTTTGGAAAAGCACGGTACTAAAGTTACCTTCATCACCTTATTTCTAACGAAAGATGCCATGAAATATGTTACAATTTTTTTAAATCACAGAAATTTTTACAGAGTGTTGGAAACTTTAAATTATGATTACATCAATACTTTTTCATGGAATAGATCATCAACCACTGTGGCGCAAGATCAGGAGACCCGAGAAGATTCTTGAAGCAGTGAACTAATTCGTTTAGTTCAGAAATACTTGCAAAACAAGGAGCGCATTCCAATTGATTTTAGTCCTGATTCAAACGCACTCTTAGGTCTGTAACAACAAATTCAGAAAAAAACGAAATAAAATTGAAACTAATGAAAAAACAGCCCAAACAACAACCACCCAGTCAGAATTTCAGCCTTGAATACGTGACCGCAGAATCCAGAAACATGTTTGCGTTTAATTTTATTTACTACATGAGTTTGAGTTATTCAATTTTCTGATTATCTTTTTTTCTTATGTGTCTACAAGTGTTTGATTTTTTTCTCCATGTTTTATCTTTGCAGTCTAAACAAACGGAAGAAATATGCAAGAGTTTGATTCAGTGCGAATTAAAAATCTTCTCGGAAACGTTGAGTTGGCAGCTTTATGAAAATTTTACGGAGCAGTGTGCATCTTTTCCCAAACATTTTCCATCAAGTATTGTATACAGTTGTTTTTGCAAACTATTTGCTGAAAGAATGACACAATGTGTAAGTCATTTGTCGCAAGTTATTTTTTGCTTTTCAGTGTTTAATTTCTGAACCAAAATATCCAAAATTAATCAATTCATCCTCCTAACTATTTTTGTTTTGAATCAGGAAGCTTCAGATATATTCTTAGCGATGATAATCCTGTTAGTGAAGGGCAATTTGGATATTTCAATTAAAATTCACCTCTCGAGACTTATTGTTTGGATGACCGGAAAAAATGAAATTTTTGTGTTAAGTTGCCTTCATTTAACCTTTATTAGATGTGTTTTAGAATTGTTCATTTATTCATTTCAAAAGTTTACACAAAGAAAACTGCCTAGCTTAGTTAGATGCAAGTAAATGGTTTATCGTAAAAAGTAATACCTCGGAAATTTAGCGATGAAAGTAGAGCTCATTTTTCATTTATTCACCTTTATTTCTTTCCTATTTACAGAGAGCTCTTCCCAGCAGACTGGCATGTACCAGGACGTTGTTAATATTCCTTAGACATAATGATAATCCTAAGCAGTGTAATGAAATTAGAAGACAATTAATAGGTAAGATTTTTATCTTTTTTTGTTGTTTTTGGTCCCTCTGTATTTCTGCATGGAAAAGGGTGTGTTGGTGGCTAAAGGAGAAAAATGTGTTTCTCTATTGCAGCGTCTCTCGCTAGGAACATATCGACGGTGTAAGTCGGCAATCACATAACTCGATTTGCGACGTCGCAGACTTCCTATCTAACTTTACTTTTTAAAAGGAAAACTACTCAACGGCTATTCTTTAAAACTCCAGTGATTTTTCTTCTCTATGCGAAGAAAATTCTGCAAAAACTTCAAGGAATCATGTCAATTTGTTCTCCTCTAAAAAAATAACATAGAGGCAGAGATTTTCAGACACCGCAAACGAGTTATGTGATTGCTGACTTACACCGTCGATATGTAAATTCTAAAAATCATTCATTTGCTGAACGTTGAACATGACTGAAAAATTTGCAAATTGTGAATAATGGGGGGGGGGGGAACTAATCAAAATCTCCTCTTGTAATGTAAATATCTTTAAATGAGTGAAGGAAATTCACAGTAAATTTCAAGGAAAACTGTTTTTAAGTTTTCTTCAGAAACAATTAAACATATACGGAGACTTGCACCATTGCGAATAGAGAGATGCATTTATTGACTTTAGCCATTGATATGCAATTAAGAAATGAGCTAGGACCAGTAGCTGGTTAGTATCAAAAATGTGATTTTCAACTTTATGAACTTCATATCCAGTTTCTTGTGTAACATACTTAACTTTTGAAGTGTTAATACACTTTGAACTTCTTCCAGGTAATTCAAAATTTCAAGAAGCTTGATTTTTTTCAAACTGTTAGTCATATCTCAAAGCTACAAACAAGGATTAAAGCTACAGACAGATAAGTTCTTGAATAAATTCTGTAAATCAATTTAATTGATTCTGTAATTCTAGGTAGTATTACTTTTATGGTTGCAGCATGATTGTTTGAATAATCTGATACTCTGTTTCAATTCACAGATTTAAGCTACAGTGATAATTTCTACGAACGGATGCTGTACGTGAAAACATGTTCGACCATCATAGACTTGTTCTCAAGTTTCTATTTCAATAGTTATTTTCTTCCAAGCATTTTTAGATTAGCCGGTGAGTCAAGCCTTCTTAGTCCTTATGTTTGAGCCAAAGATTTCTTAAAAATAATCAGAGCCCTTAAAAGCTTTTCCTATCATGTAAAAATGTTCATAAATTATGTTGTTTCTAAAATGAACCGGAAATAAAGGCTCTTTTCTGCAAAATGCAGTTCAATATTAGTAGAAGAACAAAGGTCCTAAAATTATCCCCTTGATATCTATTACAATCAGAATAGCTTCTGTCTAAATCCCAATGAGAGTTAGGTGACATTATTTGCAAATTAGACATAGTTTAACTGAAATGCTCCAAGTTGAGCTGAAAAAAAGAGGTATGAAATTTTATTCCTCCACAAGAATCAAGGTTGAGAACAAAGTTTAATGATTATTTTCATGTTCAAAATATTCCTTCTTGGTTTTGAAATTTTACGACCAGTTGAATTCAAAACTACAGTAAGATCCCAATTTATTGAATTTCACAGGACTGAAGAATTAACCTGTTAAATTGCGGAATCTGTTAATTTGAATTAGCTTGAAGCTCTTTAAGGGATCAGAAAATCGATCTGTTAAATCGAGATCGAATGAATCGAGATCTTACTGTACTTCTAACTCATCTTTATTTCAAAATGCAACTTGTTGCATTTCTTTTAAACCTTGTTCAATTTGACAATGCTTGGGTTTATTTTATCTTGTATTGCTTCTCTTTCAGGTGACAAAGTGGCAAATATTAGATTAGCGGTCGTGTTCCTCCTACCTCGCATCATAACGGTCATGCAGCTGAATAAATCATCTTTTGATCCTTTAGAAAATGTTCTAGCAAAACTTAGGAAAGACTTTGATTCAGAAATTCGATACCAAGTAGAATTATTGGACTCCACCAGTTTAGACGTAAGTGCATTGAAGATAACCATCAACCTTTCCTTCTTACAATACTGTCACTATTTTGGGTCCCTTGGTTTAATGAAATATATTANCATTAAAATCATATTATGAGTCTTGTTTGGAATTATTTGTTGTAGAAAATAGATTAAATCACGTTTTAAAACTCGAAATTACTCGAACTCGACTCGAGCTCGACTCGGCTTGAGGGTCATTTTCAAAGCTCGAAAAAGCTCGAACTCGGCTCGACTTAGTGAAAAAATACTCGAACTCGGCTCGAATCCAAAAAACCAGGCTCGCACAGCCCTAAAATATATCATGATTTCAAATTTTATTTTATTTTCTTGATTCAAAGAATGGTAAGATCAACATCAAATTCATCAATCATTTTGTTTAGCAGAGCAGAAAACCATACATTAATACTACAGCAAACTTTTATTTTAGATAACGCAGTTACATCTGTCGCAAATCCCCTTAACAGAAGAGTTAGATGCTTTTACAGTGCTTTTTTGATTACATTCAGTGTTCGGCTTGAAAAGCGCAGAGGGGCCTTTCTCAAGAAATTATTCTTGATTGCTATCAAAATCCTGTCACTTAAAACTTTCCTCCTTGTTTCTTGTTTCATTGGAAATTCATCACCACTCTTGTTTTCCATTTCACAGCTCTTGCCATCTAGTGTCATTAAAGAAAACGAAAATAAGTTGGAAGAAGAAGAAGCACTTTTTCGTCGAAAAGATACTGCTGAAGTTGCAATAAGTAAGTTTTATGCTTTCGAATCGTTCTTTTTTTGTTCTCTATCATGGTTTGCCAAATTGATAGGGAATCGCTAGGCTGAATATATTGGTAGTGAAACAGAAGTAAGAAATTGTTCAGTTGAAGTGATCTTTGGTTTTCCATACAATTTTGGAGAATTTGTTATCATATCCCTTGTCACCTGTAAATTCTACCAGTGTAGAGTGTAAATACGTAGATAAATTGATAAATAATAATATGTATTGGCTAGTTACTCTTTTTAAAAATACAATTTGACCAATAATTCCTCACCTTTCTAAATCAAGATATTGATTTTTTATGTTTATTTGCCCTGTAACAGTAAATTTGACCGTTGCCTTTTCAGACCTTTCACTATCTAGTGAACCAAAAAAAAACCGGTGGGCAGTCTTGTCTAGAAGCAGCAAAACCCCTGTAAATGGCTCCAAAGCAACGTCTGTCATTTCAGCTAATAGTAACAGGTGAGAATATTTATGATGTTCTGAATGCCTCTTTCCATAATTTGAATTCTAGTGATGGACTTTTTGTCTAAACTTAGGCAAAATTCAGCTCTTCCAAAGAGAATATCATGAAATGAAATTTTTGTCCAAAAGTTGGGGAAAGCAAGAACTTTAAAAAAAAAAAAAATAAATAATGAGTCGGGAGAAAGTAAAAAAAATCATGGAAAGTCAGGAAATTGACAATATGAAGAGGTCATGGAAGCCTTGTAGTAAAATCCAATTTTCTACTCACAATAACATAAAAATGAATGAAGCCATCGAAAAATGTACATACTGGAAAATGTGTTTCATCACTTAAACCTCTGACAGTAATCAAGTAGACTCAATTTTTAAATTTAAACACACAGAAAGCATTTGCTGTTTTGAGTTGTACTTGAAATTTTTTATTTTCTCACTAAATTCCATGTAATTCTGAAAAGGGAGCACATATTGTAGTGCTGACTTTTTGACCCTGTCTATCCATCCATTTAATTGGACACTGAAGTATACAAGGTTGATTCAGTTTGGCTTACTGCCAAAATGAGTAAAAATACTTATAGGTTTAATTCCTTCCATTTCAATGCTGCTGTATTATTTGGATTTTCGTTGGTGGTTTTATTGACTGACAAGGAGCACTGCAATGATGAGCTAATTTTCATTGAATTTTTAGAGAAAAAGAACAATGTTTTTTGATCCTCATTGTGAGTTTTGTTCAAATTTAGAAAAATCAAAGGAAAGCAAGGCTTTATTGTTATATTGTTCATCACTAATGCCTAGGCGACTTTTCCTGTTTCAGGTTTCCGTTGGCCGACTCAGACATGGAGTTCATGATTGATGCTGGTGTGCCCTTCTCGAAAACTGTCTCTTCGCGAATTCCTTCCATCTCCCACAAACCATCCTCAGAGCACTACGACTCCGCCCACCCTTTTCCCAACTGCTCTTATATTCCTATTATCTCGACAAGTATCTCCCCTTCTTACCAGTTTTCTCCGCTTGCATACGTGTCGTCCAACTGCAGCGATCAACGCTATTCTGACATCGATACTTTCAACCACTTCTCCAAAGTCTTTGCACGCCCTAAACTCTCACTCGTTTCCGGGTCGAACTATTTTGACCACGACCCTAAATTTGCTTCGATCGGTCATGTCCAATACCGCCACGGACTGCCACCCGCTGAAAAGGTTACAATAAAATCCTACTCATCTATCCCGAAAAGTAAAGTCTTCAAAATCTCAAGCGCAAAAAATGACTCCTTGTTCAACTTTAACGAGCAACGCAAGCCAAAATCACAACCTTTGGATCGCCCCAGCTCAAATGTCAAGACTGCGTCCCCTGCAAGCAATAAAAACGGAAGCAATTCTTTCTCCAATAGCAATAGAGACATGCTCTTAAGCAGTGGCTCGTATTACTCAAAGGGACGACCCAAGGTACATTTATTTGGGGGATCTCCTTTAGGAATTTCATTTCATGGGCCATCCACCCAATCTACAAGTCAGTCTTACACCCCGATCAGCTACTTTACGATTCAGGACCCCAATTTGAATCATCCTCACTCAAGGTACAGCGTGACTGAACCTCAAGAGACTAATCTCAACGCCCCTCTTCCACGCTTCGGATCGAGTGAGAATATGAATCGGCAAAAAAAATACAGTAGTCGGCTACCTGTCCGGTACGTTCCTTTCCTTTACTTATACTTAATCTAATTTCGAAAAAAATTAAACAATTGAATACAAAAATCATAAGATATGCAAGTAAATTTGGTAATCTTGATGAGCACTGGTGTGAACAGAATTTTTCTTCCTTCTTTTCAGGTATGCTACAAAGCAACTTAACAAGCAGAGATCTGAAAGAAAGACATTTTCTTTCATTGAAAAGATGGCAAGATTTTATCTAAAATTTGACTCCATACTAGCTTTTTGCTAGGAGCCATCGAATCTACATTCCTATGTTTTTGCATGTCTTCTCACAAACAAACATGTTTCTTTCCTAAAACTCTCTAAAAAAATTGCATCCATCAAGGTATTATAGGTTGTTCGGAGAATCAAAATTTGATATATAGCTGTAAAATTTTTGTTTCCAACGATTTTTTTATTCCAAAGTTTGATCAATGCACTGAACTCTCTTTTCTAATATCAAAATATTCTTTTACAATTTGTGTAATGAAGCACATTACCTGACGGTGTAAATACAAGCAATGTGACGTTTGTCTTCTCATCAAAATTTTCTGCAGCTTAAAAATAAGACAACCTTGATCTCAGCAATTTAGCTCAGCTGTTGCTGGTTGTTGAATTATTGAAAGTAACTTCTAGCAATGATAAATATTAATGTATTTTTATTCATTAATTGAAACTTCCCCCCTCTCAAGAAAAAGAGGAATCTACTTGAGTTAAATCGGACGCTAAACGTTACCACAACAATTTCTGACGTATGAAAATATGACATTCCCAGTCTCAGCACCTCGGCTCAGGTTGTTTACTCTATGAAGAATATAGAATGGGAAAGGAACACTGCTAAATTAAGAAGCTTGCTAAAACCGTTTTAGTGCGCGGTTGGATTTACGTAAACTCCGGTTTTTCTTGTGAGCAGGGAATTCAAATTTTTGGAGTGCCATATGAAAATTTTATATTCTAGGTTAGCAGTTGATCTCAGTAATTTTTGCTGTATGATGTGTTTTACGTTGAATTTCAAAGAGGGAAAACATCAGAATGCTTAAATTCGTTTCTTGTCTAGTGGTCCATTGTCAAAAGGTTTCACCCATTCTCTTCTTGAAAGATGAGAAACAAAAATAAAAAAAATAAGCATAAATCTGCAGCAAGTTTTACAACTCTAACGAGTCATAATCATTGGAAATTCCACACTTGATCGTTTCTTTTCATTTGCATGCATCTATTAGTTTTGATCGAATAATATTAGTTCACTTATGTTATGAAATACTTTGGAATTTTTAGTTGATGCCTAATTTTACTTAAACTCTTCCAGGTCCACGAAGAAGGACAGCCGAAATGGAAGTCAATAATGCTGAAAATCGAGAAGTTGACAAAAAAGTACTTACAGGCCATCACCATTCTAGCTCATCAACCGGTGGTTATACCTTCACCCTTTGTTCCTCTCTTTATTTTCAGTGTCTACCACTTTAACTACGTTATTTTGACTAGAGTCTATTTTTGTGATAAATAAGTTATTTTATTTATTTTATTTTTTTTAAATCGGTGCTGAGAAACTTTTTCTTTTGTCTTTACATTTTTTAATTAAGTTTATTTTTTCCTCTCTTTGCCTAGTTTGTAAGAAATTATTTTTGTGAGACCTATTCTTGTCTCCGACAAGAATTGAAAAATAACAGTGATTTTAATAATCAAGGGTTCTGACTTAAGATGCCAGTGTTGTCTCAAATAGAGTTATTGATTTTTTATCAGATGATGCTATTTTTGGATAATTTATTGCATAGGTTAAGAAATTTTGACCTCAATCGAAATAGCTGTAGTTGCAAAAGCGTTCATAATTTACAATTGATGGTAAATTTTATCGCATGGGATGTTGAAATTATCAAGTTGAAGCGTTAAGATAGAAGCAATCTATTTGATGAAAAAATAATTTTGTAAGTAGAACTTTTGTCAGATAAGTTAACAGTAGAGATTGTTCACTTCTAACTGTCATTAATCGTTTATCGGTTTATGTATTTGTGCACACAGAGTTGGTCAGTCTTTGGTAGCCATTGGACAACAGCATAAATGGAAGGTTATCAACCACCATTTTATCAGACATAAGTTCTACTTCTCAGGTTTATTTCAATTTTCCTCCCAGTTTGCTCCCGATTAATTTTTCTTTTTTTTAATTCAATATAATCAACCTTTTCTAAGTTGAAAATGGTACAAAATTATATAAATTTCATGCCAAAAGGCGAAACAGAAAATAACATACATTGTTGTTTGAGACATTGTGATCAAAATTAGTTACAAGTACAACAAATTGTCATTATCAGTGACTTGTTAAAAAAAATTCGGTGCTCAATGCGATAAAGATGGACCTTGTGGACTTCTGAGAACGATTTTTGTTTTGTGGTATTCACCCAGATTTTCTTTTAAAGATATTTCCAAATGTTTTTTGGTCAGATTTTGAGTACAAGTGCCTGACAAACTTCAGTTTCAGATGTGATATTCGGAGATTTTTGAAAGAATGTCCTGAAATGCAGAAATTATGGATTGATTATCAAATCGTTCTGCTGTGTTTTGAAGATCTATCTTTAGTTAAGGCTGAAACCGCATAAACTTTGCTCTATTTTTTCAGATAATCAAGAATTTGGTATCATATTTTTTTAAGATGAATTAAGAAATGGCCATGGTGCAGAAGTTAACACTAAATCTATTTTTTTATATTTAAAATTAGCACGAAATGCTTATCCTTACTGAGCCTTTGCCTTCTTAAAAAAATTTTCAGGATCAAAAAATGGTGAAGGGGGTGTGAAGTCATCAATATTTTACGTAATGCTACATTTACAGCTATTAAACACCTGCCAAAGCCTCTATAATGCTTCAGCAGCTACAAACTTTCCTTTCACCCTCTTCCCAAAATTACTCTTCAAGTTTTGTAAATTAGTTAAATATACGGAAGTTGCTTTTAAGTATGAAGAAATAAAGAAAATAGTCAGGTAGAATAGAAGATGATAAGTTATCGATTGCTCAGTTTATTTTTCAGGTAAAACTTGAGTAAGAAATGTGTCAAGTAATGCTCCCCTCAATATCCCCTTATCCTTGGAATCTATTTGCAAGAACAGTGGAAATACCCACCGATGCCTTCGAGCGACACATAATTTATTGACGACTTAATTCAATTGAGTTACTTTTTTTCAGGAATAAACAGACACAAAAAAATATTTATCCAAGAATTAAAATGGGTGCCACTAAGCAGAATAGATCTATCTCTAAAGAAGAGTATAAAACAACATGGTAACCGCATTAATTATCTTAGCAGATACACCTTTCTTAAAGCTTTTCGAGATAAATCTATTTGCTGCATGACATTCAAATATTCATGGTGGGTAACTGTGTTCAGTCCTGCCTGCTAATAATTATTTTCTGTCCCCTTCAGCAATATACCCAATCGGTAATAATATTTTTTTAATGTTTGTTGAATAAATATTTTTATCACTTGTTATTTACTACATAACTTAAACTTATTGTATCACTCATTACTCATCTACTGTAAGTGGCATTGTACTTTTTAATTTCCTCTGAATTATATTTAAGTTTCAAAAACTTGCTCAGGGTGTCTTCAGGTCTGGAGAACCAGAGGTCAGGGAAATGAAGAAAGGAATGAGTTTAAATGAGGAATTCCCATTTAAGTTAATTGACTAATTCATACCTGAAGGATGAAGGCTGGCATGCATTTGTCATTGCAGTGAAATGAATGCTCAAAATCTTTTTACGTTTGTAAATTGTCGGTGAAAAAAGTCGGGTAATTATGATTTTTTCAGTACGGAAAAACCTGGAAAATTCGGGAAATTTTTCCCTGCCAAGTCTGTAGACACCCTGTTTCTATGCCTCCTTATGTTTTTTTTTTTTCTTATAAGAAATATCCCACTATGATATGCCTCTTAAGTGAGCTCTGCCTTGCAGAAGATGTTTAGTCACTTCTCGAGTGAGGATTTCATTTTTACAATTTTAGTTCTCTGCAGATTATGTGGATAATCGACTAAAATTGTAACAATATAAAATTCAAAACAAGCAAACCTAGCTTAATGATCATTTGTTTCTTATTTTTCATTTTATATTATTTAGACTTATGTATTTAAGCATGAAGGAACGGAAAGCTATGGAATGCTGCAGAGTTTCCTCTCATATGGCACTTTTTAGAGGAAAAATAAGCAAAATTGCATTGACTTTCCTGTGAATTTTTAGCATTTGGTGGGAAATATTTCCTCAAGATTTTAAGAAAAATCTTGAGCAAGTCACACTCAAATAAATTAGACAATAAATGCCTCTATGAGAGGTCTGCTCATGAACCCCTGGTCTCCAGCTTCTTAAGGTATATTTCAAAGGGATTAAGAGCTTTGATTTAAAGACTCAGCTCATCAAATGCTTCTGCTGAATTTTTAGCCTGAAACATTACATCTAAAAAAGACTGGAGAATCAGCGGAGTATTCATTGAGAATGAAGTTAAGCAAAAACTTCCTGCCTCCAAGTTCTGCATGTAATGTGATGTTGCTGTGTTGAAACTTCACTTCACAGAAGTTTCTTTTTGCTTAAATCTATTTTTATCCAAATCTATTGATTCATACTACTCTCATTCTATTCAATTGGACCACATAATAAGTAGCTCATGCCATGTTTTGTTTTTTATTCCCTCTCTATAAGCTACTTCTCATTGTGACAAATTATTTTCCCCATGTTGAGGGCAGTTATTAAATTAGAAATCTCATTTTTCCATGATTTTCATGTCAATTTTCTATTATGTATAACAAAAAACAAAACACCATAGAATCTTTGAAAATAATGATCTGTTTCTGTCTTTCTTTTTTTTTCTTTTTTTTTCCCCCTCAAAAAAGTGTATATGCCAGAATATTAAATTGTTTAAAGTCCTTCTGATTTGAGGGATTAACTTTCGTGTGCCATTTTCATTTATTTTATGAATACTCCAAGATAAGAGTGGAGTGGGAAAAGATACCAACAGCCAAGTGGGTAAACGAGAAGCAATCAAGATCGAAAATGTTGGGCCTGTGTACAATCGTGCCTTCAACAAGAATTGCGATACTTTTCTCTGAGCACGCTAAAATATTTGCTCCATGCAAAAAGATCCGTTTTTCCTTGGACGATCACACATTATTTTCTTTTCGAAACCTCCAATTAGTGACTTTTGTAATTTGATTCATCATATGAACAATTTGTGCAATGTGTAAGAGATTAAGGTAATGATTTGAAGAATAAGTCAGGCTCAATCCGGAAAATAAAAAAAATTAACGGTGGGATTAGATTTTTTTTGTTTTGTTTTTGGAGCAATCGTATGTTCAAAGGATTTTTATGAGGATGCAAACTCCTGTGATTGTCTCCACTTGTGAATTATGGTAACCTTTTACTCAATGGACCCAAAGCAAACTAACAATGTAGAAATATTAAAAGCAATGAATATGGTTACCGATTGCTTCCATGGAATTTTATAATAATTTTTGTTAAATCTGAGAAATAAATTTATTTTCGTTTGATTTTGATAAATTTCACTTTTCTTCTTTTTCCTTTACCCTATGAAGAAAAATTCATGCGCTCTCTTTTGAGATCCAAAAATATGACAAACGAATTTCAGGACAGAATTAGTATTTTAATGGTGAAACTGCTAAAATGCGTATCTTGGTTGCAGTGTTTCAAAATCTCCGCTCATACTTTATTTTTTAAAAGGAGGCCAAACCAACATCATGGCTTGAAGTTTTCAAATAATATTTTTTATAAAAAGAAAAAAAAAATCACTAAAATTTTCAAAAAATGGTGTATAGTAGTTAACCATGTTGAAAATAAAGTATGACAGGAAGTCTGCAATGCCCCAAAATGAAATAACCATCTCCGCAGTTTCACTATCGATGTAGATGTCAAATGTAGTTTGGTGGCTTACAGGTTTTGTTCTTGGTGTTCAGCTGAAAGTGGACGAATTACATTTAGAAGCACATTATTGCCTTCTGTCCTCATGGAATTCATTTTAGAAACCCTTAATCGTTCAAACACAAAACTGTTTGCTTGATTTGATCGGCTGAATTGAATATTTCCGTTCAGGTAATTTTGGTTCCAAATGTTCCAATGCATAAGTTCTGGACAGATCACTGTATAAGGTACGAAGAATCTGCTGGAGAAAGCTCCTTGAAGTAATAGATTTGTCCAAAACAAAACCAGTATTCTAAAAAAATTTGATTGATTTATCTCCATTATTCTGGTCTGCTAATCGTTCCATGAAGGCCCATACGTCAACAGAGCTTTGTCATGATTCATTCATTGATGTCTTGTTCCAGCATTCTAGGTGCATTCCGTTAGAAAAAAAGGTAACATAACTTTTCCAATCCTAACTAAAAATGTGCTATCCTGAGACACAATTGAGCGTTACCTATTTCAACAAGTGTTTTAATGAGAAATTTGTGCAACAAGTAAAAATTTGACTCCTAAACTTAGGTATTAAAAAAGAATTCCAAGAGGTAGAGATTACCTCTACTCAATGTAAGTTCTAGTTGCTACATCTTTTACCTTGATTTCAAATTTTTGAATATGTAGGTATGGCATGGTAGGTTGAAATTTGCGTTTCAAGACAAAATATGGTTTCTTCGTTACTATATTAATCCTAGTTGAGATATCTCACCATTAATTTTCCCCTTTAATACATTTCATCCCAACTTCATAATTTGGCGCCATTTCAAGCTTAAATTTAATTGGCCAGTTGACGTAATCGTTAAATTTAAGAAGTTGCCAAGTCGTACTTCCTCTAGGCCCGTGGAGAAAACTGAGAAAACCATACTGATAATTATAAATCGTTGCATATATTCCTATTCCTGTAAAATAATTTCCTTGATTTGTAATCATTTTGTAATCAGCTAACTTCTGGCGGCCGCACCGAGTCCTCGGTCCTAGGATCCATTTGGTTATCTCCGGTAAAATTCCAATTTTATCGTTACTTGTTGCAACAGTGGGTGTACAGACGCCGGATGCTGCCAATAACCGGCCATTTTGTTTATGATATTTGCGCGTCTTCTGATATCCGATTATCAAGTTCGAAATGCCGTGAATGCCGCACGAATTTCTTACCGAAGATTTAACCCTTTTTCCGATTACATTTTATTGTTCAATCGACTAAAGTTCTTTCTCACCGAATGAGACCAGCTATTACACGTCCAAGCAGTCTGAATTGTAAGTTTAAGAAGTTTTGGTTTTCCCTTTCCTCCTCGATCTTAGCCGTTCCTAAACTGCGATTCATGCAGATTTTTTCCGACGATCAGTAAGTGCTCACGTTCTTCGGTACAGATATTCTAAACGGAAACTCTGACCTTTGAATTTGGCTTTCTTATAAGGCCGTGGTTTGCCAATTTGTTGAGTTTTGTATCCATAATTATCAGGCTTGATTCCCTGATTCATGTGCCTATTATTATTAAGTAGACTTGTCAGGAGCATTGCCGCATGTCACTGACAATTTATTCACGATAGATGTCCCCCCTTCGCAGAATATCTAATTCTGCAAGTCAGTTCTACACAGCAGTATCCTTGTATCCACTTATTAGCTCCTTGGATGTCATTGAGGGTGTTGGAAGCATGTGACCAAGCACTGCAGCACTTACTGTTGCGGCCATTAAGATGTGAAAAAGTATTTACCTTCAAAGCTTATTCCTTAACCATACTCCATATAGCCGGGAAGATAATTTTAGATTCCTTGGTGAAGGGATGTTATTAGGGTTATTTCTGGACGTAATACCGTGGTACCGTCTCCTTTGTGTTGTGGACAAGAGTGGATATTGGGCACATCCTATGTTGCCTGAGGCTTTGGCATGAACCTCATGTTGCTCGAGGCCAGCGAAGGCTATTCGTGATGCGCCCACGGTCTTTTGGATTAATTGACATCTTGGAATGTAAAATGTTTACCTGCGAAATTCTACAGTAATGAAATTGTATGTCTAGTCGATTATGACTGGTCAGTAGCGGAAGAGCATACGCTTGTCTCACTCACCTCAACTTGGCTCCTTTAGATGCGTGGAAATCATTCTACAAGGTTTTCACCATTAGTCCGCAGGTAGAAAGCAGCCAAGGATAGAAAGCGGTACTGAACCACACAAGTAAACCCAGTTTATCAACTCCCTTGCACCTCCTTGACTGAATTCTCTTCCCCCCCATTCCCTTAAGTATTGTGGGTGTCAGTTCTTACAGGAGATTTCTCAAAATTTCTTGTGTTCACTGACAATGTGCCACCTTTCTGTTAATTTTTTTTTTTCAGCAGGTATCCTGCAAACATCAAACTTGTCTCAAGTACTTTCCAGTTGAATTAATAGTTTTTGATTTGTTTCTTTTTAGATTTTAACCCCTGAATCTCCTCATAATGGCACCCTACGGTGGTGGTGATGATGACAGGGACGATTATGAGGTAGGCATTTTTTCTTTATTATAATTTCTTTTTTACTTATTAATTTACCTCATCCTGTCATGAAGAGAGAGAGCGAAAAAAAATGCAAGAATCTTAGACTCCAGTGTGGATTTACTGGCTCTCTGTATATTTTGATGAAACTTCAATTGGTTTTTATAAGGTACCTACTTTTTTATTGGACGGAAGCCCTGAAGAAAGATGATGTAGTGCGATAGGAGCCTGAGATATCCATGATTGAACATGCCAATTGCTCTGCATTTTTGCAAGAGGTTTTTCTTATTTTGTTCCTGAGCCCCATCCATCCAATCTTGCAAAAAAAAAAGAAAGAAAAAAAAAAATATCAAACCATTTCAATTGAAACATGCAAAATTTTATTTACGTTTACTTACTTAGTACGAGGTTTCATATCATGTTGGTCTAACATTTCACTCAATATTACTCAACACCTTTTCTTACAGCATTTTTGCTAAAATGTTGATAAAACACTCTCTAACAGAGTGTAACCAGTGCACGAACTTAGATGTAACACAAACTGATTGCGGTGGACGCACGGGTCGCAAGACGGTATGTTGGAGTTTTTCAGCCAACATGAGTTAAATTCAGCATAAAGCTGATATTTCACTACAGAGAAAAAAACTCACACACAAACACAATTTTCCCTCAAAGAGATACGCTGTTTGGTGCAACACTAGTGACTACCATTCAGGAAGGCAACTGCAGATGCGTTGCGGCCTTGTTGGGCCAATCCTCAGTGCAGCGCAGCCTCCTGAATTTTCTGCTACCAAGCTCGGAGAGGTCGTGAAAACAAGCCTGAGACTTGAGCGAGCGGTTGCTGGCTGCAAGTAAACTTGCGTCATCTAGTGAATGATTATCCAAACAACTCTGCATATGCATGCCTCGCATATGCATTTGTTGTCACTAGTGTTGCACCAAACAGCGTATCTCTTTAAGGGAAAATTGCGCTTGTGTGTGAGCTTTTTTCTTGTGTAGTGTGATATTAGCTTTATGCTCAATTTAACGCACGTTGGCTAAAAAACTCCAACATAACTTAGATGAAGTTCAATACCAAGATCTCTTTCATCATGGAAAGAGAGAGGTTGCAAATATATGTCAGCTTTGTCCATATCACCCTTCTTTGCAATGCCCTCAACTGACCTCTTTGTGATTACTATTTTTTACAGAGTCGTGGCCCAAGAGGAACAAGAGTGTATGTCGGTGGACTGAGTGATGTCGTCAAGAAAGACGATCTCCAAGCTGAATTTGAAAAATTCGGGAAACTCAACAGCGTTTGGGTCGCTTTCAACCCACCTGGTTTTGCCTTTGTTGAATTCGCAGAACGCACCGATGCTGAGGCTGCTTGTGACAGTATGAACGACTACGATCTAATGGGCTCCAAGCTCCGAGTCGAAATCTCCCGAGGCCGAGGTAGGGGACGTGGTGGTGGCCGAGGTGGACCACGCGGTAGAGGAGACTTCAGAGACAGCCGCGGAGGTGGAGGCTTCCGAGGTTCTCGAGGTGGTGGCTTCCGTGGAGGCCGCGACAGCTTCGGAAGCAGAGGTGGTGGCCGAGGTGGCGGTCGCTACGGAGATGACTACGAAGACAGAAGAGGCTCTTCCAGCTTCCGAGGAGGAAGAGACTCAAGAGATTCCTATGGTTCAGGAGGAAGGAGTTATGGAGGAGGTGGCGGTGGATACCGAGGCGGCAAAGATTCGTCCAGGTTCCGATCTCGCTCACCCGTCGGCCGCGGAAGGTATTATCAGCCGTTTGATTTTGTCACTTGAACAACCTTGAATCTCATCGAGACTCTTGCATGAATTTTCTGACTGCACCTGAAAATGATGAACATTTTCTGTGTTTTAATACCAAAAATTAGGAGACGTGGTCCTGAGCTCGTATGTTACACTGCTAATACCAGACTAATTTGTGAAGGACCTTAGAACGTCAAAAAATTTACTGCCTAAAGCAGGGTTGCAGAAATTCCTAGATCCTGCGATCTTGGAGTCACACAAAAAGTGAGTACCCTTAACACCTTTTTAGAAAGTGAAACAGCATGATTGAACAACTTATGAATCATGAAAGACATGAAAAAAATGTGTCGTCAGCTTTACATTATCTTATTCCGGAAAATTAAGTATTTCACAAAAGGTAGGCTTAAAACTTTCTGCATCCCTGGCTGAAAGCAGCTTCTATTTAAATGTGCGTAACAACTTGTCATTAACTGATGGAATTCATTGGGTAGCAGGTGTTAGCAGAAGTTTTAAAGTTTAAAAAATTATTATGTTTCAGACTTCAAGCTATTTCTTCATTGAACACTCTTTGAGAAATTTGGATGGCATTTCCAAGTTTCTAAATAAACTATCAGTAGTGCCCAGTAAACTTTTAAAAATCCTTGGTTCGGTCTTTTCAGCCATAATTAATCATGTAGTTTGATTATCTAAAATGTTACCTCAGCTAACCCTAAACAACCTGATCAATTCTAGTGTTGCTAAATACGAATGCCAATGGCTAAAACTTCGGTCTCAAGTATAAACCAACTAGATTCTACCCATAAGTGCCAAAATAAACAGTTTTTATCCTAAAATTTCAGAGAAAGATCGAAATTATCCTGTACCCTTCTAGTTTCCATGACTGTCCAAATTAAAAATTGAGAACTATGAGGTCAACTTGTAAAGAAAACTATTGTTCCTGTTTTCTATGCATCTCAAAATGACCACCATGATATTGATACTCTTAAAAATTAACTTTTCATTTCCTCCCTCTGAGAATCTTACTAAGTATTTTGTTTCTTAGCTTTTACCAGTTTCTTATAGATAAAATTTGAAACAACTTGACATGCAGTATTAAGTAGTGAATGAACAATCAAATGGTTTAAAAGTACAATGTGGTGAAGGTTTCAAATGGAGGGTATCATAAATGTGAAAGTAAAGTGACCTCTCGGTTATTTCAAGATAATCGTGTCGGAAGTGGTAAAATTGTGTAGGAGCTGTTGATATGATTCCCCCTTTTCTTGCCCATACACGTGTTGCATAAGATGGTTTCAAAATTTCCAAGGAAACGCTCAGTTCTATACATTAGATTTTGCCAGCAATCAAAACTTCTAGATATATTGAAGTAGATTAAAAGCTCTTGTATTCAGTATATTCGCAAAATATACTTTAAGTTGCAGGGGTGCAGAAACTTCTAGGCTATGCAATCAATATAAAGGAACCCCCATGATCATGAAACACGAGGGAGCCTCTGTAAAAATGTGACAAATTAAGGGAGCACTTTCTTAGTATTTTTGAACTTACTGCTTTTACAGTTCTAGTGGTTACAGCTCACATTATTGGAGGAATTTTTTTTTCTTTTCTTTTTTCTTTTTCTCTTGTTCTCTCAGAAGGATTAGTCATGAATTTTAATCATCCAAGGTCAGAAGGCCAATCAAGTTTGAGAAAAGGCTTTGAAATTTCTGCACCCTCTCTAAAATGAGTTCTATCCAAGTCTTATATCTCAATTTTTCCCTAAATGTCACTCAACTTATTTGTTTGTGATACCCTTCATTCAATTAGCTTTTGTAATGTATTAGTTAAGTATTCAGTGTAGCTTAGTAATGGGTTAGGTTAGCATTGAGGATTCATGGACTTGTTCAGTGGAAAAGTGAACTTTCTTGCTCACCCACTGTTTCAAAATGATACGAGTAATTTTTTACTTGATTGACCCATGTGACCATCCATGGGAAACCAAGGCTTCTCTTCTGGAACACTCAAAATTGAATTTGTGGATGGAAATCCTTTAAAAATGTCGTACCAATATTCCTTTCAGGCAGTTTGAAGTTGGCAGATCAAAAGACGTATTTCTGCAAAGTTCTCTAGTTTGGCACATTCAGAGTACGCAATCGTTGGATCAAATTGCAACTTTGATGTATGTACTAAACTGCTTGCAGTTCATTCTTTAGAACACCACAGAGAATACCCCATCAAAATCTCTAAATTAAATGTCAAGACCTAACTTGACAATGACTGCTATACTGCAGATTTCTTCTTTGCGGACTCAGCTCCATTTCCAATGGATGGTCACCCATTGCGCTTACAATGCTGATTTGTTCGAAAATTCTTGATGAATTTATAAAGACATTGAATCCCGAAGAACGTGCATCCTGTGTTACGGAAGGCGAGACAACTTTTAAAAATTCGCATGCTGATTAGTGTTAGCACCGACCCGCATCGATGAGTTTGTGTGTCCTAATTGCGCAGTAGCGGCTCCAGTGAATTTTTGTTGGATTGTGAGGCTTTTTTTCTTGATTAATAATTAGTTCAGAAAAATGAAACATTGCTATCCGGTTGTAAAATAATATGTTCTAAAACAAAACTTTGCTTCCTATGAATTTTGTCCGAAAATGGACTGTAAACGAGATATTCGTGAAAAACTGAGCGCGCGAATGAATTTACCATTGCCTCTCTGCAGTCTCTTTGAGTGCTTGAGACACACGCTCTCTTCCCTTCCCCGCCCGCCCATAATGGGGCTCCGAGAGACTTGTCTTGCTCCGCCTGCACTAAACCGAGCCGGACGCACAGTCCACTTGATTCAATGTCTTAGTGAATTTATCAAGCTAATTGTAATATTTTTTTTTGATGTCCTGCCCTACCTTTCTTCACAACATTCTTCATACTAAGGAATTGTTGTTCCTAAGGATTCAGATCTGTTTCCTCCAGGTTTCATATTTTTATTGCTTTAGACTCGTCCCGTCTGACCCATATCTCATCCATTTTATATTGTCTTAAGTCAATGCTCTGTCAGGTCCCTCCATTTCTTCTGATCTTAAGTTTCCTTGAATTTGTTGTCATTACAACTCCGAACACAGTGTACAGTGCAGATTCAGGGACTTGACCCCTCTTGAACTTTAAAGAGGCAGAAAAAAGGTACTTATGAAGAAGTAAGCAAGCAAGACCCCAATTTTGAAAAGAAAAGAAAAGAACGGGGGCATCTTATCTCGATTTGAGAGCCGAAATTTTGAAAAAAAGGTGCATACAATATGCGGGTAAATTAAGTAGGTAAAGAATCATTTGCACAACTGAAAAATGGAAATTTTTATATTTTTATCGTGCTTGCAATGAGAAAAAAGGAGAGACAAATCCATTACTTTTTTAAACCTCGTACTTTGAACCTGTAGCACACTGCTGTTTTGTTTCTTTAATGAGTGCTTACGGATGATGTACACATATTGATAGAATTTTAAGTTCAAGATAATTTATTCCGCAAAATGATTTAATCAGTCCACTGAAGAAATCTAACTATCTGTCATGTCTTTTTGATGAAGTAGGTCAAACGGCACAGTTGTTTAGAGCTTGCTTCGGTGAGGTTACGTTTGTTGTACCAAGCTGTGGCGCTCCAATTGTGGATTGAAGAATGAGCACCATACCACCCAGCTTTGATGAAGTACTAAATGGCTTACTGCAAACGACAGTCAAAAGTGAACAGACTTCATATTATCTGCTGTTAGTTCTAGTAGAGAAAGGGAATTAAAATGCGCTACACTTGGCTAAAATCCTTGATCAAGAAAATTTTTGAAAAGCTACCTTAGTTTTTGAAATTAATTGTAAATTTTAACGATATCTCTCCAGAAAAAAAAACCCCAACCTCGGAACGATTCATTTCTGCACATACGCGGTCGAACCTCTCTGAAGAATACTAAGAGAATTCTCTCAATTTTTAGTGAGTCAGTCTTTGCACCTACGTACGGAAAATGCCCCAGTTGCCTTGCATCATCCATCTTTAGACAAGATAACTTCTTTTCAGCATCGATAGCACAGAAAAATTAAGGTTCCCATAACATCATGATGTGTTCTATCTCAATTCAGAATCTCCGTATCAAGTTTAAGAAACTGCACTTGAGTTCTAGAACTAAGTCTGTTATCCGTAAGCTTAATTTTTACAGGAGGACCCTCAAGACATTTATTTTCAGTTGGAACATTGTACTGTATTTCATTTATTTTGGAATTAGCCATTAGTTTTAGGACATAACCAAATGAAATAAACCAGTCGCCTCCAGGATTTTTGTCGTAAACAGAACACGTAGATTTCACCTCCCTACAGTCACTAGAATGATTTTTGTTTTCAACAAAATGGCACAAAAAACATGACTTGGCCAAGCGGTTCAATAGCAACACTAGTGAAGTGCAAAAACGGTTAATACGGTAGATAAACTGGTTCACTGGAGGCACAATAAACAAAATCTTATCGAAGCTTACGCTGACTTGGGAGTAGATGCCAACCCACAAGAGCTCGTTTGAATCTCCTTGCTCCGCAGTATTGCTTCCCCGGCTAGATGACCTAATCCACCTTTTACTCAGAAGTTATAGTTATATTGTAAAACTTAAAAATATTTTAAAGGAAAAATCATCCTCATCCAGACCATTTAATTCAAACATAAGTGTCCAGAAAAGCTTCCAAACAACTTTCAGACTGGAGTACCTGTTTGTATTGCAATGCTCGCTTCTATTCGGCAGTGAACCATCAATGCATCTCACCTCTCCATAATCTTTGAAACATTTTGAAAATCTCCGGCAAGCCAAACTCTTCCGCCTCAGTGAAATGCCTGGTCCCACAGATTTACGATTGATCTATTTCTTATAGAAGACTCATTCCAAGAATTCCTTGAGCCAATTAAAATCTGCTCCGGATTGCAAAACAACATGGAGATTTTATGCCCTTTAAATTAGACTTGGATGCAGTAGGGTCTACAAGTGTAAAACAGTTTTCAGCCGTCAAAGTTATATACATGTGCAGAAGGCTCCTAGTACTTAACCACTAGTGGCACACGCGCTGATCATGGACTGAACCTCTCAACAAAATTCTTGAACTGAGTCTATTCTTACCAGGCTTTTGTGAACGAGTGAAAAGAATGGAATACTTATAACAGTTGCAGATGGCACAGCTGCACAAAATTTTGCTGTGCTCCTACAAAGTTGCTCTCTGTAGAAGTATCAACGATTTACTCCGAATGAAGTAGAACATTATAAACTTCATCATCCCCAGATCGAGCAAGTATGGAAACTTTTCAGAGAATGCAATTATTTTAACTAATGCTGGTAAAGATTCTTCAGCAGAAAATATCCAAGACCATTTCTTTAAATAGTAGAAATCATCCTTTGTTTCTGCCAAACTTCATGAATGCAGCAGTCTTGGGAAATCAAACACAGAACAATGAAAGACTGCTTTGCAGAGGTATCATTCTTTCAAAATTCAAATTGATGAATGTTAAACTTTCGGAACACATTAGATCTGGATTAAAGCTCTCTGCTACCCTTTTCAGTGCAAGAGCTTTGGGAGCATGAAAGCATCCAGTTTGTGCACATGGAAATTCAACGACGCTGAAAGAATATCTTTTACTCCTTCTGTCGACCACTGTAATCATATGAGCCCTCAAATTTCCACCGACCAATCATTAATTGATAAGTTTTTATTCGACTACCCACTCCCTCAAAAAATTCTAAAATGACAACATAATAATGTTTTATTCTGTTCTCTTTAAATGCATCCCCTTAATCTGAAATTTTTGGCACCGATGTATGGATCTGTTATTGAGAAACTTGTATAATTCAGAATCTTCTCTCTATAATATCTTCGTTTCAGCCTTCAATTGATTAATATTATCTCAGGAATGGTTTTATCTTCTTCACTCATAATTCCTAATGAAAGCCTTGATTCTTTGCATGATAACACTTAAAACCATTTTACTGTGAAGCACGGATGATGATAATTAAGGATTACAACATTATACAACTTCATTACTATTCAAACTTCGAATTTATACAAACGTCGTACGTCGATAAATTTTACGTCGCTGCGTTGATATAACTGCGTTCTGCGATTAATTTAAATCAAGTTTTCTTCGTTATTGCGTTCATTTCTGTTAGTAAATTTCTGCCACGTCTAATTACTTCGAAGTATAACTCGCCATTTTTTCATGAACAGACTTGTTCATTCTTCGTCTTTTTGCAAAAAAAAATGCATCGTTGATTTTGCACTCCGTGTTTCACCGCAATGGTTTTCACCTAGTTTGGCTCATTATCCTAGTGAAACTTTTCTGCGTTATCGTAAATTGAAAATACGACGATTGAACAATGATTACAGCTCCGGGCGTGACTCCTACGGCGGAAACAGTTATGGAGGCGACGGTGGTTTTGGCCGATCAAGTTCTTACTCACGCAGCGGCTACGGCGGTGGTGCCCCATATTAAAAGACACCAGTTTACAGGTACTTGCGAGTTCTAATCTACGTTCATTTGAGTGGTGTATGACCACCGATTATCTGACTGGGTATCAAGGTGATGAAAACAGGGTGTCTAGTGGAGAGGAAAAATACATTTTCTAACTTAAAGAAGACTTCGTATCTCAGCCACTACAAGCGCACTTTTTTTTCACATGTATACCTACCTATATTCTGTCGTTTTTTTCAAAATTAGGCTATTAATCAAGCTTCAGAATTCTACACATAATTTACTACATGCAATCTTCTAAAGTATTTACCAATTCAAATGCAAGAATTTCGTTAAGAGAAATAAATTGAAATTCCGTCAGTTGAAGTTGTGCAGATTGAGTGCCATGAAGTACTAATGAATAGACACCATCAGCGAACAAATAAAATCAAACTAGACACCATGTGAACATCAAACTTAGTCACTAATTATCGACAAGCATGATGATCAATTGAGAATCATGGGAAGTCAAACCTATGGAAGTTTTACCAAAGTTCCACGTGTAACTAATACTGCTCGTGTGCCTCAGTAAAGAGTGGTATCGGCCTTAGATTAACATGTTTAGTGGATGCATCGACAATTTTATTTTGGCTGTGTACTCTGTGTGGTTTCACCTTGGTATTGCCTCTTCAGTAAGCTATTCCATTCTAATTGGACCATTTTTTCTGCAAAGGGGGGGGGGGTTATTTGAGCACTAATGCACTAATTGATGAATATTCAAGAGTTATTATTTCAAAGAATACTTGACTGCAGCCTCTTTCTCATAAATCAAGCACTGAAATATTCATCTTTATCAAGTATGACTAAGTTCCTTTCAGAATTCTGAATAGTCTCCTTTCTACGTAGAAAATTCAGCTCTGAAATATTCTTCAATGTTTCTCTTGTGAAGTTTTCTACAGAGGTTTCATATCTATATCTGACTCCAATTACTTCTGTTCACATCCTTGTAAAGGAATGGGAAATTCATTTCATTACAATCCAACCTTTTTTTATTTAAATTCTATCCACCCATTTCAGACGCTATAAAAATCTCCTCGCCAGAAAAGCAAGGCATCCAGTTTCATATCATTTTCATCAAGCAATGATTTTCCATAAAAACTTTCACTTTTACACTCATCTCCCCATCCATTTGCTTTCAAAGCACTGTTGATTGCAGAATGCAGAGTTTATCTACAGTTCGGAAACCACTTAACATTCCTCCTTCCGGCGCTTAAAAACTTGTGCATTAGTGTTTGGACTGAGCCTCATCAATCCTGAACTATGCATAGTAAATCCCCTATCTTTCGACAAACTCAGCTTTTGATTCAAAGAATCATCTAACAGGCGTTCCCATTAATTTTCATGTCCTATGAATTTTTCACTTTTGGAAGTTCCTCTCAATTTAGATTCAAATTTTACCCAGCCAATCTTTTGCGACCAAAGTTATCCAATTTTGAAACTGCTCTGGTTTGCAAGCAAAGCCTTTGAAACTAAATGCCTAAGTACAGAAATATTTGAATTATTGCAGCTAGAGACAATTTCAAGTGTATGTCCAGATGCATTTAAGTACCTTAGCTTAATTACTCTAGTATGGTTTTACCTTAATATGTCTAATTGGTTTGTGCATATCATTCTTGATGGCCGTTGAAATTATATAGATTTAAGTTCTGTAGCGCCTAAAACTTTTTTTGTCGTCCAAGCAGAAGCTTCAAATGCTAATCAGACACTTGATGTTGAGGCGTTGAGTTTTTCCCCCTTTACAAGGAGAATCCACTCTCATCAAAATTTAAAATACTCCCCATTACATGGTATTTTGACGTTCAACATAAAGAAGAACATTATTTCCAAAGAGGAAGCGGTATCTCAACTTGCTCATGTTTCCTGATCCAACTGTATAATAATTTTAATGTCATCTTCTTGCTGGAATCTTGCAAACTCATTTAGTTTTGTTTTCACCACGTTTGTTTTACAGTATTACGTAAGTCTTCGCCGCAATGACGCTGAGATGTTTCAGCCATGCTTCAGCCCTCACGAAAACTCATTAGGCAGTCGTCGTACATCGTATCAGAAAATCTCTCATTTCTTGTGAGGCTGGCTACAATATTTTTAAACTATTTTAAGCTTAACTTAGGTTCCTTTCTGAATCGCCCTCAATGATTTTATTTGCTAGTTTTCAACTGCTTCTCTCATTTTTATGACAAAATGTTCTCGCACTATTAACACTGGAAAGTCATTTTGCTAATGATTACCAACTTCTTTTGACTGACAAATCTCTCCTGATTAATGAAGAAGAGATTCATTTGCCGGAATGAATTAAAGAAAATATGTCTCCCAATTGCTCTGTGTCTTCCCCTACCTAGTTGTGATATCGTCAGTCTAAAGTTGTCGTTAATTATTCGTGAAGTGATCCTCCCATTTTTTGTGTATCTTAGCTGTACTTAACCTTCACCAAGGCTCAGAGTTAAAAGACTCACTCAGCACTGATGTAACCTCTGGTGACATATTCATGTTCACCATTTTCCTCTCCAGTGTACTCATGGAATTTATCTAAGAGAATTTTGAAGAAGAGACTGTTAGCACTGAAACATAGTCAGGATGTTCCCTCCTGGACCTCTTTTTTTTTACTCAATATTTATACCTCATGTACTCTCTGAATGTTTTTGTTCCCTAGTATTCACGGTTTCCGAGTCCAGCTGACCTGGTTCATTATCCTCTATCATCCACATTTTGTACGTTCATCATTGGTTTAATTTCTTTTTATTTTCTTCTCAGTAGTTGATGTATTGTATCAAATTCTTTTTTTCCTTCTATCCCTGTAACAGATTAATGATAGCCTGAGGGAAACACAAGCCCAGTGGTATTAGCTTCTGTCTTAGTCATTACTCATTTGCAAGGAGCTTAAATGACTTGTGCCAACCGTGTGTTTAGTTTATTAAGGATATCGCATTATGACTGCAACATGGAATCTTCAGTTTTGTCATTGATAGTATTTAAAAGCATCTTCAAGCAAATTACTCAAACAGTTGCGGCCAATGAATGTTGGTAACTAAATCATTTTGCAATGTCCTGGATATCATGGTGCATACCTCATGCTTTAATTCTATCCTTCTTGGGTTGATTTTTGAGATGTTTTGTGATGTCTCCTTCCTTAAATCTTGCCTTTGATTTTTGTCAAATTTTGACTCCAAGAGATCTTCGGTAGCCGCCTGATAAGCCTCCATAACTATCAAGTGACTTTTTGGCATGGTATCATTCTAGATATTTCCAGCAACTGTTAATTCTGCACTATCGTCCCGGTCCTGAAGTTTTGGACTCTGGTATGTTTCAAAAAAATTCAAAACTCTTTTCAGGAACTCTTAATAACACGTTTTTCATTTTCTCATGCAATTTTTGTTTCAAAATTTTGCCCTCTATTGTAACTTGAGTGTTACTGTTGGATCTTGGTGGTTGCCATCTAGCTGGGAAAATATAATGTTCCATCGCAATTTGAATTTATCAAATGAGGTATCTAGAATGCTATCGATTTAGTTGTGGACAGATGCTAGGAGGTTTATTAATTTCTCAAAGATAAACTTTAATTCACGCAGCGCTGACTCAAGACCCAAGAAGTTTCATTTTTTAGTGGTTGTCACTTAATTTTTGCAATGAGATTATATTATTCATAAGTCAATAAGTTTTTTGTTGACAATAAGAATGTGAATATTTATCAATTCTGAGAGCCATCAAGAGAATGCAATGTTTCTATTTTCTCAAAATTTCGTCTCTCATGACGTTCAAACTTTTTTCACTGGCTAGACAAATACATGTAGACTCTTATACCTATTTATTTTTTCCTTATGTAGTCTTTGTTCTGTTTCCTAAGTTTTTTTTACCGTTTTTATAATTGAATTAAAACATTCTTTGATTGTAGAAAAATTTGACCTCTCTTCTCAATAATAAAACCATCCATTTACAATTTGTTTCGCTTTATTTAGATTTTTGATCAGCATAAATGAATCAGATTGATATCATCTAACACATCTTTCAGTATTTTACTTACAAAAGAAAGACCAAATTCTTACTTAACAAAGAAGTGTAGAGGTGTCGTCAGCTAAGTTGACGGTTGTTTACTTTCGGTTTGCAGGCGTTTTTGAGTCACTACTATCCACATGAAAACTTCTGACTCTCAGAAGCAAGAACACAAGCTTAGATAAGTTTTCAAACCTTGTAATACTTTAATTTTTAGCCACACAGAAATCACAACCACAAAAAAGTCGCAAATCATAACTGATAAGTATTTTTTTCACGATACGATCATGAGACTGATGTTTTCAGTGTGGATAGTAGCGAACGCCGCTTTGTTCAGAGGCCCAAATTCGTCGTTGGTGCTTGCAAACTGAAAGTAAACAACTGTCAACTTAGCTGATGACACCTCTAACCAAAATCAGTCCAAAAACACCAGCCTTTGCCTAATTTTATCATGTGTCTATGTTTTAATATGGAAACTCAGCAATACTGGGACTTGAAATTTTGTGCGTATTCACCTCATGATCGAAGGCAAATTCACAGGAAGTATTAGTAATTTAGTTTTCTGCTTTAATAAATAGATCAGTAGAGGAAATTAAGCAATGAGAATTGCAGTGGGCTGATTCTAATTCATTCTTCCATTTACTGCTCCCCACAGTGTGTAGACATTGTCATCTTCAATATTGACAATCTTTCTTAATTTGCATAAAATCTTGAACTCGTTAGATTCTTGCCTTGAGTGGCCCATAAAGGTGATTCTCGCTTCGAAGAACGTCAAAATAGTTTTTCTTCTAATCCTTACACACAACATGTGTTTTCCGTGTTAAAATTTGTTTGCAAATAGATCATTTCTCAAGTTTTGGACTTGTTGATCTCAGAATCGTCTAATTCCAATTACTTCCTTAACTTGGTTGAATAACCACATCACCCTCTAACGATCCTGTGTTACAGTGTTGCAATTTTTCGGGAAAGTTAAATTTCTAAAATTTCACGTGAATAACATTATGAATTTCAGAAAAATATGGAAGGCATCGAAAAATAATTTTTGAAATTAAATGCAAAATAATTAAATGAAAGGCAACTCATTTTTAGCTTATGGTGTTTTGTACTGTGCCTTGCAAACCTAGCCCCTGAAACTGTGTTTCATATTTTTCATAGCTTCGCAATATTTCATGAAATATTTTACTGAATTTACCAATTTTACATATTTTTCATTTTACTTGAGCAAACTTATTCTTATATCCTCCTTCGATTTTATTTCAAGTTGATCAGAGAGTGAGTTAACTCATTATTGCTCAAGTTCAATAATTTGCCAAAAGTAAAGTCAGTGTTGATGTCCTGACGAAATTAGCCCAGAGAGCACCGACAACTACTTATTGTTATTAAGAAATAAAAATGGCCAAAATCCAGGGTGACACAACGAACATTTATTTCCACACCCTCTCTTCTTGAAATCAATACTTATAATTAAATTAAGGTAAAATGACTTAGAGTTTTTACAACAGAATTTTTCCTCTCTTGCTAGAAATACAAGAGAGGAGTTCTCATTTAATTCCAACGTCAAGGAAATCAAGTTAATAATTTTCAGAGGATTAAAAACAACCTAAGATTGTAATTGAAAAATAGATTACAATAATGTACAGTTCGTTCTCCCCTCAGGGAGGTAAAAATTAAATTAAATGAAATTTTGGTAAAAAAAAATAGTTTTTAGGGGGTGTTAGCAAAAAAAGAGGATTTCCTACACAAAAAAGAAAAAAAAAACAGATGAAGAGGGAAAAAAAATAAATAGAGAAAGCAGGTAAGTAAGCAACATTCATCTGAGCCAGAGTTTCAATCGAAGGGCGTCTACACCATTTAAATAGTATCGAAATAATCGCTTGTCCCGGACAAATCCAAGATTTTCATACAACCTTAAGGCAGATTGATTGGTTATTTCCGTTTCTAGAACAACCTGGAAGAGCACAAAAAAAACTGATGAGAACAACATAGTGCATAAATCCACCCTTCCTAAAAGTAAACAAAAGTACAAAGCCACCCTCCCAGCTTGCTGATCGGCTGAAGAGCATTAAGTTTGATTTACTAGAACACCAGCGAAGTAGATTTACAAGCAGTGTAAAAGACAAAAATCTTGAGAAGTATTCTTGAATGACTCATATTTTAAGAACAGGCTGCTCCAAGAAAAATTTTCAAAAGATCAACATCAATTTCTGACATTTTCAACACTAAAAAGTACATTTTTTTAAAGCTTCGTTTCAACCGTTCCTTAACAAAGGAATGTATCTCAATTGCGCTGTTCCAGTATTTCTTACGAACATTCTATAAAAAACCAAATTTTTTGTAGCAATACTGAAACAGCTTAATAGAGATCCGTTTCTTTGTGCAGGAGATGACGGTTTTCAAAACATGCTGTGCTTTTTTGATAACATGGCAGATGTTATTGAAGCCTTTCAAATGGAGTAGACGATTATAATGGCTGCTTCGATCAATTTTCTAACGGCTTGATTACTCCTCAGTAAGAGAGGTCCATGCAGATATCTTCTATTTTCTGTGCTACTCTGAGTCTCAAGTACTGTAGTTATTGTAAAGAAACAGGGACTTTACCTCATCCGCCATATCGGCAACCATTGCTTTGATAGCTTTCAATACCAAATTGGAACCTGAAAACAGGACAAGTTGAGCAATCAATATATTTGTCTCCTGCAAATCATTACAAACTGAAGAATATTTCAAGCAATAATAACACTAAAATACTGCCAGGTGTCTGTATCTTTATCGGCATTCATTCTCCGAGGGAAAATCAGTAAATCAATAGCTAAAGAGGTGAAATACGTGTCCTGGAGTGGGATGCAACAATCCGCTAATTATTATTAATATTTTTTTTTTTAAGGAAACCTAACAAACAATTTTTACACAAATTTTCGGTGAATTTTCTTCTCTCATTTTTCAAAAAGAAAATATCAGCAGTTGTTTAGTTCAGACCTTGTCCAGTGTTCCATTCTGTAATTAGGGAGACGAACCAAAAATTCAATAAGTTCTGAATCTAAATTGTATGCACAATGGAAGGATATTCTACTTTCTAGGTTTCTACATCACCAATGAAATTCCAAGTTTTCTTTTTTTTCTGTTCCATTCCTTGGTCCAAGTTTGAGACTAAAATGGTGAAAAAGTTACAAATAATGTAAGTAATCCAGACTCATTAGAGCAAGGGAAGAAAAGATTCTGTAAAATCAGCTGTACTTACCTATTTTTCTTTTTCTATATTTTTCATCAACAGCTAACATAGCAATATAGCCTCTTTTAACCACTTTCCGATGCATGTCTAATTTACAAACTATTGCTCCGACACATTCTGTTTTGTGCATTGCCTGCAAAAAAACAATGAAAAATTGAGGGTATGAAATAAAGAATTTTGAATCACATTCCTAGTATGATACTCCCTACACAGTGTCTATTAAAACAGGCAAGCCAAAAATCAGCTCTTTAACGGTCCTTTTTCAGTACATTTCCAAAAAATTCAGTGCTTACCTCCTAAACTGAAAAATTCAGGGCTTTTTCAGTAAGTATCTCCAATTGATGAAATTCGAAAAATTTCAAAAATTTGAATTTCTCGCTCGAATTGCGATGAAATTCCGGTCCTTCTTTAGGAATTTCTACACTTTTTCAGTGCTTCCGGACCACCCTTAAAAAATCAGCACTATTTTCGGACTTTCTGAAAATTCCGGAATAGTGGATACCCTGCCCTGAACACAAAGTTACCAAACCAAAATTCACAGGAAATGAATCTTTTAAGATTTCATGCAAACTCAAAATAAGCACTGCTCATCATATAAAATAAGTTTTGTCCATACTTATAGTTTACATAAACATAAGTTAGAACAAATACAGGGGAACTTGAGGCGAAAAAGTAGGCAATTACATAACTCGGTTTGCGACATCGCAGACTTCCTGCCATACTTTATTTTTTAAACGGAAAACTACTCAATGGCAATTCTTTAAAACTGTCATGATTTCTCTTCTCTATGCGAAAAAAATTCTGCAAAAACTTCAAGAAATAATGTCAATTTGTTATCCTTTAAAAAAATAACATTGAGGCGGAGATTTTCAGACACCGCAAACGAGTTATGTGATTGCCGACTTACACCGTCGATATGACATTATTACCATGCCACTCAAATAATCTTCTTCCCCACTTAATGTACTGAAAGTTGAGTCATTGTTGAGCTGGAAGGAGCAATACTAAAAGACTGAGTTATTAGAAAATCGCTTACACCAGCTCAGAATTTCATACCTCCGAAACACTTTACTATTTAATAATAAATTAAAAATACCATCTCTGGTATTACTTTCAAGCATTCTTGTTTGAAGAGCCAAGCTACGACTACCTGAAAGCACTCTCTACTTTTTAAAAATGCAAGAGTTGTATACTCCTAAATAATAGGAATGCATTTCATGAGTACTCACCAGAAAGCAGAGGTTGGGCCAATTATGAATAAAATATCTATAGGTGTAGATAGAATAAGGTTCGGACAGGTCTTTTTGGATTAATCGCATGATGTCCGGCATTTGCAGCTCCGACTCATAGAGAACATATCTAATGTCTGAAGAGTCATCCGATACTTCTTTCACTTCAACTGGGCAGCCATCTGAAATGCCCCTAAGAACTTCCACACAGTTTTCTGATTCTACGTTATTGTGATTTTCTTCACAATTACAAACAGATGCATGCATGGTGTCTTCTGCATCTTCTGAACAAGATTGGTATTGACTAGATTTTTCTACATTAATATCATCCATTGGATGGCTTGAACTACTCCTGTGTTTTTCATCAGGTACAAAATTAATTGCATGAGCTACACCGTTATGACTTGCGTGCGCCTGCGATGTGTGCTTCTTACTTTTGACCGAATCATCCTGAACAGTCAAATTTCTTAGGTCCTCTGCCAAAGTGGGATTAGGGTGGATATTGTTAGGGAAATTTTCTGGCACCTGAGAAAGTTTTCCAGGTGTTATCCCTATTGAAATCACATTTTTACCTATCTCCTCATGATTTGAAACATGAACACTGTCCATTTTAACTTAGGAACAAACCGAACAGCACATTTAAGAGTACAAAAAACTAAGAATTAATACTTTGTACACACTTGAGCGAGCGCAACTTTTTAAAATGCATCCTAAGTAGTTGGTCGAATATTTTAATTAAAATATTGCAATGAAATTGGGCTCGACACTAAAATTATGTGAGAAAATTGGGATAAAAAAGAAAGAAATTGGAGAGAGATAACACATAACCTCCTAAAGCTTCCGAGTTCTAATTTCCGTAGAACTCCAATGCATCATGGGATTAAAAATCAGCTGATGACAATGTTGCCGCTAACTTTAAGAATACTATTATCTCTTTTATTAATTAATTATTTTGTCTTATAAATTTGGCAACGGTGCGAACTATAAAATTTCTTTAGCCGCCATATTCAGCCCCCGCGATCGCCGCCATTGTGACATTTCATTCGGCGTTTCTGCGCGTCTCTTTTGTTTGTCGCTCGTAGATCCTAGATATTACATCGATTTCATTTTTGGTAAGTGTTTTAAACCTTGTCTGAAGGCGGCCTTGACTTTTGCGAATATTATTAAGTTTGATTTTCATCATTATCAGCAAACTCTGTCATTTTTTCTTCGGGGAAGCAACTCTAACCTAGCGTCCTAACAGGCCATTTTGCGGCATCCGAGTGGTCTTCCAGTGAACTTTGCCCTTACGACTGTCCCACGTTGCTGTTTATAGTTCAATTCTCGTTGTTTCTCCGAGTCTTTCGAAGCAAATCCTCGTTTTACCTCTCTACCGCTTCACTGTCTTTCTAGGTATCTATTTCCTCACAATGTGCAACAAACTTGATGAGGGTGCATGCATCTCCGCTGGCATCACTCCACTTGGCCCAGTCCTTTTCCCATCCTCATTTCTCTCCTGGCTCGTTGGAGTGGCAGAATCATTCTCCAGAGCTTTTGATTACTCTCAAGCAGTGTCAGCGAAGGATATCGCCTGTAGGCCGTCCTTAGCAGGTCACTGACCTCTGAGGGGATGTTGAAAGGTTTGCCCCATCTCATGAATTTTGAAATTAACGATTCATGCTTCCTAAGTAAACCTCATATCCCAACAAATTTTCCAACTTCAGAGTGTGACCCCAAAACTGTTGGACGTCTTTACTTCCATCTTTCATCGATTTGAAATGGAAGTCAGTGCCTCTCATGTTATTTCTGATAGGAATCACATTGATGTTCATGTCATGGAAACAAGGCTCATAGAGACCTGTTTACTTACTTAGCATGGAAACCATGCTGTAGGTTACATGCTGACTCACTGTAGAAGCAGGGTTCCAAGTGGCACATAAATTTCCGTCAATGACTCAATAACAAAGGGTATCCAGGGGAACCCTCAAAGCAAGAGATGTGTTCAGACATGTTATTGCTGATAATGTTAAGTTTCTGTCTACCTAAACAGTCAATTGCTAATGCCATGGGTTTTCCCCGTGCTTGTGGAGAGGATTCTCAAGTCTGGTAATACCCCAAACTTGGGGAGCTTCATGCATTTTCTAAAGATCGGTGTTCATAGAAAGTGCCGCTTGTGCGATCCTGACCATTTTGACAGGTTACCTTTAACTGTTGTAAGTAAGTGAAGTGTAACACATGTGCATTTCTTGTGTGGTTCATTCAAGTAAGGTTCTCTCACTTTTACATTGTTGCCTATTTAGTTTTCTAAAGCACACCTCACATTTCCCACTTGTCTGCAGTTCCGCTTGGCAGAAACATGACCAGTACATTCTCTTGAAGTTATATCACTTTAATAACTTTAGGTAGAACTGGGGTAAGAAAGGAATAGATGCGAGTCACATCAGTCTGCATGCATCAATCATCAGTTGGCCGATCGGTTAGCTTGAAATATCTGCTGAATGGTGCAATTTTTAGATGTGACATTTGTCTATTCTTCTCTTTCCCCAGTTCTACCAAAGTTTTTATCAGAAATTTAACTTATCTCCCTTGTTATTTTCAGGAAGTTGGACAAAGTTAATCAACCAAAATGCCGGGATTTTCATCGCATGCTGGCACCTTCAAGATTTTTGTCGGAAATCTATCTGACAAAACAACTGGAGCCGACCTGAAGCCTCTGTTTGAAGAGTTTGGAAAAGTTGTAGAATGCGATGTCGTCAAGAACTTCGGATTTGTGGTAAGACTCAACTTCTCTCCATTTGCTTAATTTACTCTCTCTTCAATAATTTTGCAGCTGAATGAAGTTAGTACTGGGCTCTTAACAGTCTTTCATCATCTTATTGAAAATTAAGTCATTGATAGCACAGGAAGTGCCAGCTAGAGCTCTGAACTGAAGCTTTTAAAAACTTTCACTTTGATTACCAATCAGAATCCGGCCCTACATTAAAGTTTGCACTGTCATCCAAGTAATTTTCCAAACATCCTGAGTTCAGTATTCTACTGGGGAAGTGAATTCAGCAACTGCGAACCCCAACTATTGAGGCAGAGAATGTACTAGTATCTGGAGACTTCCTATGATTGAAGTTGTTTTCATTTCTGTTTACTTATTCACATACTTGTTTCTCCTTTCAAACTTAGTTGTTCACTGAAAAGTTTTTTATTCTTCTAGAAGCCCCAATTTCAATTTTTTTATTTCTCTACCTTACAGCCCCCCCTCCCCCCCTTCAGCTCAAACCCAGGAACTCTGTGACTCAGGGTACATATTTTAAAGAGTTTCCACTGTCATTAATACAGGAAGAACGCAGGGAAAACGCCAAGAATTGAGGTTATCTGGAGACTCTAAGGGAAAGAAGTTTCATTCCGAAAAGCTGAGTGAGAAGAGGTATTTGGTAAAAGAGTTCAAAACAGGAAGCTGTTTTCTTGTGGGTCATTCCAGGGCAAATCAGACGAGTGATTTGACCTTACCCCTTCAGAATTATATAATTTTTGCTATCCACAGTTTTAAGTACTTGCTCATCCTGAAGATAATTGACTTCTTCAAAATTGTTCCATGTCAGGTGTTTTTATATCAAAGAATTACGCTCTCTTTATCTGATTCCTTGAAGCGGTCAATCATCTTCATGAAGTGACTGTGAAGTAAGCTTTTGAAAAGTATATCCATTATAACAATAGTACTTAGGTAAGCCCAATAATTTGTAGATTATTTGAGGCGCTGGATGCGAAAAGAGCACTTCTCGATTGCGGTGTTTCAGAATCTCAGTTGCTAAGATTAATTAGGAAGTGATTAAACTTGGAGAAGATTTTAATTGGTGATTTTTTCCAGAATTCTTTCCATAAGAAATCGTAGAATGATAAGGAATATTAAGTAAAATTTTTAGTGAAATGGATACATTCCCTTTACTTACAATGAATGAAATATTAGAGGAGACTCTAAAACACTGCAACCAAGAAGTGGCCTTTTCGCACCCAGTGCCTCAATTTTGTGTGAAAGTAAAGTTGGACTAGATTTCTACAAGCCAATGTTAGCTTTTTAAGTCAACAGTAACTGTTGTTTGGGGTATTTTTTTAGTAGAGAGTTATTTTCTACAAAAATTGCAGGGAAAATGAGGGAAGAACAAAGGGAATCTAAAAGTTGAAAATAGTAGAAACCCTGCTAGTCACAGAAACTATGAATCTTACCAGTTTTTAATATGAATTTTTTTATTGCAGCATATGGAAAAGAAAGAGGAAGGAGAGGACGCTATCAGAGGTATCAATGGCCGCATGCTCCATGGCTCAACAATCAAGGTCGAGGCTGCAACCTCTCGCAAGGGACCCAACACCCCAACAACAAAAATCTTTGTTGGTAATCTCTCTGACAACACGAAAGCCCCAGAAGTACGCGCTCTGTTTGAGCCTTATGGAACAGTAGTAGAATGTGATATTGTCCGAAACTTTGGCTTCGTTGTAAGTATAATACTACCAACCATTTTCTAGACTAGACTAGTGGCTTGAGGAGAGCTTTGACTGCTAAATCAAGATCAGATTAGATTCCTGATCAGAGATGCAGCTAAGTGAGTAGGTTATTTAGGTGAAAGAGCCTTAAAAATCTTGACAGGCACATAGAAAGTCTTTAGAATCCTCTCCTTGGCATGCAAACTGCATAGTTTTTGACAAGCTTTTTTCAAATTCCACTTTAAGTAATGATGTCTGTTGCCAGCAATCAAGTTTGCCCAGATAAAGCTCAAGAAAACCAAACTTAATTCAATTAACAATCTTGCAAACTTTCCTTACCTACATATGATTACAATTGATTTAGTCCTCACGTCTTTGCAAAATGAAGAAAAAAAAACACTAAGAAGTGGCCCGAAACTGTATGTAACAAGTTGGAGAACTCAGTTTCGTACTGGTGCGCATTAGAGTTCAAAAAATTAATTTTGACTCTAAGTAATTTTTTTAATTTTTGGAACTCCTTGGCTTTGATTTCCCCGCGAAATGGTGTGGACCCAGCACCATTTCTCCACCTTGTTACGTTTTTGGAAAATAAAGTCATGACGAGCAATTATGTACTTAAAAACGATTGTAATCACACAAGGAGAAGAAATCTGCTAGATTTTTTGTTTATGTTGGTAAGATTTTCCCTCAAGCCTTTATTTGCAAACTTCGTTGCCAGTAACAAAGAAAAACTGATTTAATGTCCGAATGTCAATATCGAGATTTTAGCACCACCACTTACTGTAGCTAGTGCAAATAAGTTTACTGCAAATCAAGCAGGAAATTTCTGACAATTGACTGAGCTAGACTGAAGCCGTTCCGAAGCCGAAATATACAAATCAACATTTTTTTAACTAAATCTGCAGCATTGTGTTTCTTACACAATTTCACATAAGGGAAAGTACTTGAATCTCAGTGATCATCATCTGTTGGCTCAACATCATTTGAATTTTGCAAGTTGATGGTCCAAGTGAAAACATATGTTTTTACCTCTGCAGTGTTATGAGTCTTTGCTTGTGTTCTGTTTTTTTTTTTACAAGAAAACTATCTGTCAGATTTAATTGAAATATCACTTGAATTTTTTTTGTTCTTTCTGTGAAAATCACAGCAAATAAGGAAACATTTTAACTAGTTTTCCTTGCGAAAGATGAAACTTAATTGGAGGATTTTGAAAGTTGCAATTAAAGTAACACTTTTTTCTTATCTAGCCTCTGATGTGCTGTGCATGTCATTGCCTTTGGCAGCAATTATTGAAAATGAAAATAATTTGAATCACTAAATACAAAAAGGGCACATGTCCAGAAAACCAAATTGTTCAGGAGACACAAGAAACTGTTTATTTTGTGGTAGATATTTTTTGGAAAGTCGTTATGTTTAAGAAAACCGGCGCGGGGCGAAGCGGAGCGGCGGTTTTTTTTAAACATGACGACTTTCCAAAAAATATCTACAATGAAATAAACAGTTTTTTGTGTCTCCTGAACAATTTGGTTTTCTGGACATGTGCCCTTTTTGTATTTAGTGATTCATTTGTGGCACTGGAAAGTCCTTGTATTTTCTGTTTAAAGTCCTTGAAAACTTCAGAAGTCCCAATTTGTTTTTAATTTAGCTGCGTAAGCCCTGCTTCAGCTGATTATCTAACTTATTTTCCCATTAATTTGCAGCATATTGATGCCCACGATCTCGACAAAATGTTGAAAGAATTAAACGATCTAGAAGTGGATGGCTCGCAAATTAAAGTCCAAGTATCAACAAGTCGAGTTCGCCAGCGACCAGGCATGGGAGACCCAGAACGCTGTTACAGATGCGGTCGTGACGGACACTGGTCCAAGGAGTGCCCCAAGGGAGTCCGTGGAGGACCGATGGACCGCTACAGCGGCAGGTTGAGCGACCCCCGAGGAATGTTTGGACGTGACCCATACCCACCCCCACCACCTCCACAGTTCTTAAGAGACCGCATGATTTCTCTTGGACCCAAAGTAAGTTCATCTCTGAGCAAACTTAACTCATTAATAAAGTTTGATTCGAACAACACCATTTTAATATTAGTTTTGAAATATTAGTTTTGAAGTATAACCAAGGTGATGTAATGATCGTTTTTTATTAATTTACTTAGGACCTTTCAGCATTTCGCCATCTTCCGAGTACAGTCATTAATGCATAAATATATCATAGTTATTACACTTTCGTCCTAAACTTAATAACACACATCAAGGCACATTATACAAATCAATAATCATTGATCATAAATCAATAATCATTTGATTTGTATAATGTGCCTTGATGTGTGTTATTAAGTTTAGGACGAACGTGTAATAACTGTGATATATTTATGTATTAATGACTGTACTCTGAAGATGGCGAAATGCTGAAAGGTCCTTAGTAAATTAATAAAAAACGATCATTAAATCACCTTGGTTATATTCCAAAACTAATATAAACTTAACTCAGCGATTCAAGTTTGAGTCTTGAGTTTCCGAAAAGTCCTGAAATAGTACTGATTTTTTAAGGGCCGTCGGGAAGTACTGAAAAACCATGGAAATTCCTTAAGAAGGTCCAGAATTTTTTTAATTTTTTGTCATTTTTGTCACAATTTCAAATTTTTGAATTGTTTCGAATTTCGTCAAACGGAGGCACTGAAAAAGTACGGAATTTTTCTGTTGGAGGAGGTACTAAATTTCTTGAGAATGTACTGAAAAAGTACTGTGCAAGTACTTATTTTTGACCAGCCTGTTTTAGTAGACACCCCGATGAGTCTTCTTCAAATCTTAAGTTTTTCCTGTTTCATTCAATCCTTATTTTTGTCTCTGAACCATCACTACCTTTATGGAATTCAAAAAGTTTCTCTGAAGAAGAGCAATATTACCGCTTTGGAAATTCTTAGTCTCCATTAGTTGGGCAACTACCGAGTTGAATTTTTTTTCCCTCTCTTTTTTAGGCAAACTCTAACAGAAGTTGGACAGGTCGATTGGGGAGGAGGGGGGAATTTAACCTGTAAAATCTTGACAATTTGAAGTTTAAGACCAACAATAATACCAAGATTTTTCTTCAGGTCTTGTATGTTCAAAAAGTTCCTGGCTGTAATTATGAAACAAAGCTTTTTCCAAATTTCAGTCTCAATGTTGAGACTGAAAAAAATTTAAATACTATATCCGGCCCAGTGGCCCCGTTCTTTTGTAAAATTCATCTTGGCCCAACTCAATCCCCAACCTGATATTTTTGCATTTGTCTGCAACTTCTCTTTTGAACAGGAGGACTTCATTATTGCCAAGCAACAGACCCGATTTTACAACCCTAGTTTTAGCACACCAAGTGCAGGGTTGCCAGTCAGGGAACACCGGGAAATGAAAGGGAAGTTTAAAAAGTCAGAGAAAACCTGGAAATGTCATGGAAAAATTGTCAAGTCATTGTAATTTCTGTACTAGAATGGGTTTCTCAACAACAAATTTTGCCTGATGACTATTTTTTTAAGCATCTGACATATCCTCAATTGTCAGGACATGGACTAAAATGTGACAGAGAAATCAGGGAAATGTCAGGGAATTTCATCCTCTAAATTCTGTGGCAACCCTACAAGTGTGCTAACACTGCCCTGCTGAGAAAGAACAAATTTCAAAGGAAAACACACATTAATTATCTGTAGTTTTATTTTAAAAAATTTTTATGCTCAACAAAATTAAGCAGAAATAAAAACGGATTGGTTCATGGGTGGGAAACATAATTAAAATTTGGACCTGTCCTTGAAATACCATGTATTTAAGTCAATGCTATACCTAGTGGATTTTCTCTATAAGCTTCTTCTTCATAAGCATTCTCTCTATCCACAACAGGTTGGCATGAGCAAAATCAAAGAAAAATTTCAGGGCGTCAAGTTTACAAGTAGAGAGACCACTATGTAGAACTGAGGAGCAAAAAGACTGATCGAATGTCACATCAACCTGAAAAGCATCAATCAACAGTTGGTCCATTGGTTTGCACATTGATTTCTGAATGGTGCCGTTTTCTGTTGTGACTTTTTTCCAGTCTTTTTTTCTCTCCAGCTCCACCATTTCTTATCACTATGAGAACCCTTGTGTGCAAGACCAATCTACACAGGTCAGTCATTGTATAGCTTTTTTGAAATCCACTCTCCCGCCCGGCCCTAACTCGCAGCACTCAATACTACGTCACTGCGCAGTAGAGTACCAAAACTCGTCTTCGGGAATGACTGACCTGTGTGGATTGGTCTTGCTTGTGTGCTTCAATTAAAACATGTTTTTCTAATTCTTAAATTTGATCTTTCAGGATATCTATGACCGTTACTACGACAGACTCGACCGCGACAGGCTAGACCGTGATCGCTATGAACGTCCAATCAGCCAAAGCCCGTACGACGACTTCGAGAGGAGACTCCCCCCTCTGCGAGACCTTGGTCCCATCCGAGGCCGTGACTTCCCTCCCCCACCTCCCCTACCATCCCGCAGCCGAGAGTCCTTCTCATCTCTGGTCAGCTCCCGCTCGTCATCGTTGCGTGACTCGTACGGTGATATCTTCAGCCGCAGATCTCCTCCATCCTCAAGCATGTCTTCCAGATACAGGTTAGTTCATTTCACTCCTTGATCAAACTTAAATTCTTGTCTTGCGTTTGTTTTTTACTGTGTAAATATAGGTTGCGCAGCTGAAGCGTTTTTAGTATTAAACTATTCTCCTGTGATACAGTAGAAGCCTTCTTCGGTCGAGTGCTCAGAAATTTGTTTAAACAGAAGCTCAGTATCCGGCACCAAAATTATTTTTTTTCGTGTGAGTCTCAGCTTGATCTAGGGTTCAGTGCTCTTAGTTGCACTCAGAATTGCGAATAAAGAAGAATAATCTTCAATGCAAAATTGCTATTTCTGCAAATTAAATTATTGATTCTTGAAGAAAAGAGGTCCATATGTTTCTGTCATTTGCAGTGGAATAATGCAACAATTTTTCGTTTTACGTCTTCAAATTTTTTTTGTAGCTAATCATCGGGAAATTTACATCATTTTGCTCGGGGAAAATCTGGTAAATTCAGTTAATCCCCATCATCATCCCCCCCCACCCAGGTCTCTACATACCTTGCAAAACTTTCGAAAGACGCAATAAACTTGCCTTAATTGACTTGTTCTAACTCTGCTGGCCAAAAAGAGAGCTAATTAAGTCACATTGGCCATCAGAAATGAATTCACAACTCTGTTATTCATTAGAATTACTGTATCAAGATTTTCTAACCGTCCTCCAAAAATCCGATTTAGCCGGATAGTATGTTTCTCGGATTATCGTCTCAGTTGGATGTGCCAGATTTTCCCCCACTTCAAGGCGGTCTGACGTGAAAGGCTTCTCCTGTATTTACTGTACTTAGAATTTCGTTTGGGTGCACCGAGACAGAAAACATTCTGACGTGTTTCCATTGATATTTTTAAAAATGAATGAACCACATGTATGACATCAAGATCATAATTCTCTCAATCTTGAATAGGTACAACTTCAACTCCATTTTTCTATCTTAATTCTTCTAAAGTAATTAGGGAGCTGGAAATTTACAAATTTAACTGTGTATGTTCAGTGAAAAACTTAACACTTATTAGGGGTATGGAAGCCTCTTATGTGCCTTTCTGGAATATAAGTGGACAGTTTATCATCCGCGTGAACTATCAGTTTTGCTTATTGTCGTCGGGTTTCTGGAGGATGCTGTTCGATTTCGTCACCCAATATTTAGTCTGAAACTTAGGCCAGTATATTTTTAAATAAAGTCCAATCGCTAGGAAAGAGTTCTGGAATTTTTCTGAAGGATTATAGTAGATGCCCTGTATTTTCGACCTAAAACTAGATCTTCCCCCAGAACTTTTTTCTGTGTCTGTTGTTTCAATTCTGGATTGATGTTTTATTCCCAGCAGTTCCAGAGGAATGTATGATGACTATACCAGAGATACCTATGACAGTCACAGGTAAGACATTTGTCTGCCTTAATTTTTTGGCTTTGTTTTTTTCGCTTCCTCGGTTTTCTCTTCTCGTGCCTCTGAGGGTAGTGAAATATATGTTCGCAAAGCTATTGCAACTAGCAGTGCTGCAGGAAATGATATCGGAAGTAGAATTAGCAGCCTAATCCTCAATGAGCAGAATTGAACAGGGGATTTTCTGTGTATGAGCCCACTTATTCTCCTTCCGTGATGATGCACCAGACACCACCCCCTCCCCTTCAAAGACTCCTTGGAAAGGATGTTAAGTTCTTCAAGTGGATTAGGGCTGTTTTGAAAAGTCGTGAAGCAGAGAAGTGCAACAGAGTAACAAGAAACTAAGTAGGAAATTTTGTAGTGAGAGCATCTAAAACTATAATACACGCGACAGTTCAAAGGCATTGTCACAGGAATTTATAAAGAAAATAAGAAAATTTAAGTAGGTCATAAGTGACAAAAAATCATTTGCCTTTTTTCCTTAGTATTATATTGAGGCAGTTGCGGTGACACACTGATTCCTTCCTTGAGCTGCCTATTATTCAGCTCATTTAAGCATTAAATAGAATCCCCAGCACACTCCTCCTTTTTCCAATTTAAACGTCCAATGAATCAGTTTAGCTCATCAGGAGAATCATTCCTGAAAAATCGTCTCCCAGTTTAAAGGTTGAGAAAAGCATCAAACACCTCAATATTCCTGTCGAATTTGTTGATAAATCATGCTCGGTTTATTGTTTAAAACCGCCAAATACGGGTTTGAATCGCGCGCTTGTGTCTTCGACCTGTTTTTGGAGAATGACGTGAATACGAACAGCATCAAATAGAACGAATTTATCCACAAAGGTAGTTCAGACAAAAAGCCCAGAGGTCCAAGTCTTTAAATAGACTGAATATTACTTTTCTAAAATCCCTTTGTACAAGGATCCTCTTTGCAAACTGGCGTTCACACTAAGTTAATTTTAGCCAATTCCCAAATCGTAGTTCTTTTTCCCTTCATTCTCTTTTCCCTAATCGTTGTTATTTTGTTTTGGAGTTACAACCAGCCCCCTGTACGCACTCTACCATTGAAAAATCGTCTGTTAGTAAGACTTCTAAATCTGTCAGCTACAGCACCTAGTGAAAACCAATTTTTTTTTATCTCATTTTTGAATGCCTTTTTTCTCAAAGAGGCAATGAAATAAAAAGTGAAGTAATTAATTGCTATCAGTGAGAGATCAGTTGTAAACTGATCTTCGATTTATTAATGACAAAGTATTATGAATGCTCAGCATGAATTCACATCATAGGCTATGTTTTTTGGTCAGATTAGAGCTATCAGAGATTGCCAGAATGATGTGGCCATCAAGTCAATCTTTTAAGAAAAAAAAAATTGGCTGAACTGACTCATTATGTTAAGTCGTAACAGCTTTTGGGTTTCACAGCTTTTCCAACTGCAACGAGTGGCCAGCTCCCTATTACTCCCTTGAAAATACATCCGGGTTGCTTGGGTTGTTCCTGTACTCGGTCGTAGTCAACTGGGAATGAGACGTGTTTTTTAAGTAGTTCTAAGGACCTCTCAGAATGTGGGTCTCAAAATAAGTGTACGCCTTCCCCTGAGCTCCCCATAATTGCCTTTAAAATCAGTACCACATATTCCATAACCATACATGGATTATTAAAAGCTGTCAAGATCTTCAGAATATCAAGTTTTCAGTAAACTCCGAATTCCCAGTTGGCTATGGTATCAGTCAGATTGTTGTCATTCACACAAATGATCTTACTCTCTAAAAGCACTTGACGTAGCCTATCAAGTCCTTGTGACAGAGGACACCCCACAATTTTTCTCTCCCTTACTCTCTTTCTCTCTCTCTTTGAAATAAAAAGATTGAGAGTCAATTCTAACCTCACCAGGGTAAAAGCTGTCAAATTATTTTCTTCTCCTCCCTTTGAGAAATTTCAGATAAAAAAAATCAACCTTTCTAGTCTTTGTCTGTAACTCATAAGAAACCCAAGCCTCTCTAGAATAAAGTTAACATTGGAGAGATCAAACTAAATTTTTAAAACTAGACATTGTATTAACTTTTCATGGAACTTCATCAATCACTTTTTTTACTCAATATGTGAACTAAGAACATAGTCTCTTCCTCTTTGCATTTTTTCCCTCACCATGACTTAAAATGTGTATTTCTAGTCATCTCCCAGCGCATTTTAAATCCTGATCAATTCATTGCTTTTATTTTTGGGAGACAATGAAACTATGTAATAGATCTATTGTAATATTTTTGAGCATTGACCTTTTGAGAATAGTGTAAGAAAATGGTTTTATTTCATTTAAGAGCATTTTGCTTCTTGAGCCTATTTTCATCTTGCGAAATAATTCATGAAATAAGTCTGTTAAAAAGGTGCTTTATGAATCTTCATCTCTTTTTCTTCAATTATATACTAGTTTAATTGGACTTATTTTTGCAAGTGGAAACTACTATTTCTGACTTAACCATAAAAGCACTTATCTGCATAAGGAAACTACTAGCATATATGTTGTTTCTTTAATTAGCCAGATAGTGTAGCTCCTTATTGCAAAATGAAGTCCAATTTCTCTTGCCATTAACTCATACTCGATCTAATCCCTGGGAAAAACCGATAGCATGATGAGGAATACCCTCGTGTGTCCTGGTTTTATTAGTCGTGTCCTCTATGTTGTGTTGTGTGATGAAAGATTTCTCAATGTTTTTCGCATCAACGGATATGTAGTTTCATGGTTTTACCATTATCTTGGCTGTTCTTCTCAAGTTTGGACAAATTCAGTGGGAGTATAGCGTATCCTCGAATTTCACTGCAAAACACAAGTATGGCCCCCTTCCATTTAAACAGTGAAATCCTCAATCAATAAGATAGTAAATTCCAGTAACCAGTGATGAAGCCCTGTATGTGTAGAAGTTTCCTCCTGTCGCCTAGAAGTCTAGCGGTTGATTGCGCTTTGCGATTTCTAATTTTCAAGAAAATTGATGTAGAATATAGATTTTTCTCAGGTGCTGCTATATACAAAGTGGGATCTGCAGCCTGTAAAATAGAATGCGAAAACAATTTCTAAGTAGGACTATTGTTGAAAAACCACTTTCCCATTCTATTTCTCCCCTTAAGTAGCCTTTTTGTTTTTGTTTGAATTTTTTGAAAGATTAATTTTTATTTCTTAGTGCTTTAATGGTTTTACTATCCAAAATCGTAAAAGGTTTTTTCATTTATTAATTTTTTTAAAATTAAAACTGCATGTTAGTGGAATAGACATCTCCGTCCTGTGTACATCTGATAATTCCTAAATTTAGGTAATTGATTCTAATGAAAGTCATTGATTTACTTTGAAATATTACTCACAAATGCACGCAAGAAGGAACCTCCATGTGGGAACCTTGAGTAGTTTTATAGTTAAATTTATGCCTAAATGAAGATCTCAAGATGTCTTCATTGTCTTTTGATATAATCCTCAAGAATCGTATTCTCATCCAAAATTTCCGAATGAACAGAGGAAATTAACGGAGGAGTCTCTCTTCAAGTTTAAAACACGCTCTCAGTGATCGGTATTAACGTTGTCCGTCCAGGGCGTTTCTCTGGCTTTTACGTACCGTACTCTCGACTTCGTTTGCCGTGATCGGACGCTCAGACTTATCCGTGTTTTCAAACCTCCGTAAACCTGAAATTATTTTTACGGTTATCATATTTTTGTCATTATACTGTGTCTGTCCAATGTGAGCCTTCTCACCGATTTACAAATCAGGGTTGCCATCTTGTCCAAGATAGAAGTTGTTTTTCCTCCAAGAAAAATGTAAAAAAACCGGTTTCGATGTCATTTTTAACCATTCAGGTCCAAGGGACTCTCTTGCACTGAGGCAAATTTCCTAGGAAAGCAATTTTTTTTATAATAAGTTGATAAGTTAACCTGGAGTATAGGAAACATTTGAGTATCTCTATAAATATGTTACAAGCTGTCCAATTCAATTTAGTGCTCACAGAGGGTATAAACTTGTATCATCTTAAATTTTTAACCCTCAATAGGGCAGATTGAAAATTTAAGTAAGCTCCAAATAACGTTTGTTTGAGCCTCAAACTCGAAAAGCTGCTATGAGACAGTTTCATTCGACATTTCTGGGTCATTTCGATGCCCAACTTTTTGTTTAACTGTCCTCTGAGCCGCGGTACCAATGTCTCAGTTTTTAGGTTTTTAGCCTAGAGGTCCCTTTTCCTGTAGATGGTTATGTTTGGCCCATGGAGTCCTTTATTTCCCGGAGTAAATATTTATGGTTTAATTTTATAACTGGTTTTTTGTTCAACGTCAGTTCGTAGTACGGTGAGACCCCGGTTTATCTGATTGCAGATCGACGGATTGATTTTCTAGTCCCTTCAAGGGCCTCAATCTAATTCGAATGAACAGATATCGCGATTTAACGAATCAATATGTGAGTCCTGTGAAATCGGATAAATCGAGGTTGCACTGTAGGTTACTGCTGTTTGAAAAACCCTGCCCCCTTATGGTCGGTCGCAGGAGCAACCCTGATTTGTTCTTCGCGTCCTCTCTTCATTCTCTGATTTTAACTAATTGTTTTAAATTGTGTTTTTATAGAGTTGGTCTGCGTGGACCTTCGCCGCCGCGCCGATACGCTCCTTACTAAGCCGTTCGGTCGTGGTCGAGTCGTGTGCATCGTGCGCTAATTAACAGAACGGGACGCAACCTCTTCGTTTTCAGCCACAAGAAACTCGACTGCTTACCTACTCATCGTCCGGTTTCAAAGTTCAATCATGCAATCTATACAGAAAGTTACGCGCTTCCTGTATTTGAACTCTCTTCAATATATTTTCGATTTAACTCAGATTTCTTAATTTTTCAGTTTTATTTTATGTAATTTCTCATGTTAGTTAGAGAAGAGCGGAACGTTCATATAAGGTTTCAGCGTTGCAGTTCGCGATAGCTTTTTCCATTACTTAACCTCTTGATAAGTTACGAACAGTTTCGCCTTAGATTCTCACGCAGATTTATGCAAAACAGCATTGTTAGGCTGAAAGGTTTGGTTTTTTCTTCCTCAAAGATTCCTTGTAAATGTTCGTGTTGGAAATTATTTTATATTTGACAACCTAATTGACAACCTAATTTGTGCGTAAGTTAGTTTAAGTATCTCTCTCTTAACTTCCCCTTCCCCCCTTATCACTTCTCCTATCCTCCCTTCCCGTCAGATAATTAATTTATTATTCCTCCTCGTGGCATCTTTAACCTGAGATTGGTTTAAATTTGTTTTAAAAGACTCAACTTAAGTTATTTTCCTAAATCTTTATCACGATCACGAATCGTAAATTATCATAATCCTCATATTTTAAACAAGAAATTTGTGCATAAGAACCACGAAATGCCACGTCTGCTTCTTTGTTTTTCTTTTTTTATATTATTACTTAAGGTCAGTCGTGAGCCTTTGTAAGGCTGATCGTTATTTTCAAGGAAGTTTCAATTTTTCTTGTCAAACAGTACTGACTCAATCATTGGCTTTAACTGTCTTACATATTTTTGACCTCATCTTGTCTTATATCCTTGATCTGTCCTTCCTCTCCTTCCTCAAGAATTTCGTTTTCCTTCACAAAATTATTGGATCAGTCATGTAGATATGTAGAAAAGATAGATAGGCGTCATGGATGTAGGTTTCAGGTAGTTGAGTTCCTGTGATTTAATGAAAAGACAAGTTTGTAATTGAGAAAACGTTATGTAACCCTGTCATACTCCATTTTTCAAAGAAAGGGAAAGAAATTCGTACACTCTCCATTCAGACTTTTTTGTCAGTTACGAAATAACCATTTAAAATCCAGTTTTTATTTTGCTTTTTTTATTTTTCCAGTAGTGTATCCCTGTTTGTCTTTGTGTCTTTTTCTTGCTAACTGAGGGTTTAAGAGGATTCAAACAGAATCCTCCCCTTAGCTCTGTATGTTGTATTCGTGGTAACAAAGAATAAATAGAACAATATTTCCAAATAAATATTTGATAACAGGATCCCTTTTTTTCGTTTTTTTTTTTATTTTTATTGACTCCTCATCTCAGATCCATGCAGTTTTTCTCCTATGACTTGAAAGGCGCATGTAATATCATATTCTTTATTTTTGTATTTATTCATTTATTGGTTTTGATCTTGAAGTATCTCTTGATGCGGTAATTTTTCAAAATATTGGACGGAGTAGTTAAAATAGACTGAGAAAAAAGTATGCTTTATTTTCTCCTTCAATTTAATTAATGCAAAATAATCTTTTTAAAACTCATAAGGATTTGGAACAATGAAAGGTCATTTATCATGAAATTAAATTGCGGGTTTCACACCTCTAGTTCCATGTGAAATAACCTGCATCTAATTTGTTGTTGTCAGGTATGTCTCCAATAGCAGAATAGGGTTTTTAATTTTGGTAAAGATCGCTGAAAATAAAACCACTTAACTTTCGAAAAGGTTAGAGAGGTAAACCTGTGTCTTTATCCTAGCTGATCTTGCAATTCATTTAATTTTTATCAAAATTTGTTGGTCTTAAGTCAGTTGAAAAATGATAGGATAAATATCTGTGAATTTCCTTGGCACAAATTTCAGTGACTGATCTTCTTTCAACCCCTGACTTCATAGGTTTCCTGTCATAAACGCTGGTGCCTTCCATAAAAAAAGAAGTCCTAGGGTCTCTCTGATCGTCTGTTACTAAATTTTTCAGCTCTTAAGACCTATCACAATGTCTAATCACTGGAAAGCTACCCTCCGCAATCTATAAATCTTTCCTTAAAGCTAATCGAGAGACATTGAGCGCTTAAATGAAGCTTAATTTGAGAATATCCCTCTTTGACCTTGGAATAAAATTCTTGAATCCGTAGCGTCCTGTTAAGATTCTTGGGTATTGTTTTGATCAGAAGTAGAATATTCGACCTCAGTTTCTCATTCACCTCCGATCAAGATCTTCCAATACTCGTTTTGCACGTTTCATTAACTTCAGACACGATAACAACAATCTATCAGCAGAAAAGTTCAGTCAGCTCTGCTGATGTCAATCACGGTATGATGGGTTGTTTTTAGTTAGGCAACGAAGAATTGAAGTCCGGAACTCATCAGCAGTCGACCGTATTTTTTTAGCTCGTAGATCGCATACTGATTCGGTGCGCTAGCCGTTTCTAGAACCGTTCGATCGTGAGCCGAAAACACCGAAATCCGCCAACGTCTTAGCCGCCGCTTCTGAAAAAATCCGGATTATCATCGGAACTCAACCGGATTCATGTTAAGAAGTTACGTGTTGCCGACGGTCGTCGAAACGGAAAGCGTGAAAACGGAGATAAGGTAAATTAAGCCCATTATTTTTCATCCTCGTCTTACTCTGTAAGTCAACATCCAATGCGTTTGTTCGCCCTTTTTCTCTACCTCAGAGAATTTACGGTGGATCAAGTTCGTGCATTGACTGTCGAGGGTAAGCATTTTTAAAGTAGCCATAATACCCTAAGATGGCTTTTTTTTTCTTGTCACTTCATCACAGGTAATTTCCCCGCAAGTATTCGATTTTTTTACCAATCAGGATTTGCATTTCAGCCATCCAAATTATATCAATTTTTCCAACTTAGAAAGTTTCAATCTGTAACCGGGGTTTTTTCATGGTCACAAGACATTTACTTCTTTTGTTTTTTGACTTGTCTTGTATTTTGTTTCATAACTTTATCAGGTATCATGTTTATCGCTCTAACTTTTAGCTGTCTTTCATTTTAAAAATATTCCAGTCAACTCTCAAAATCCTGGTTTTCATTTTTAATTCATAGGGATAAGTTTAAAAATAAATTTTTTATTGGTGTTCTGTTGGAGGCACAGTTTTTCCATGCAATTTTTGTCACTTGCTCTTCACTTTATCTTCACTGGTTCAAGCACTGTTTGATAATCAAAGTGGAACTTGCACATTCACTGAGCATTGAACAAACTGAATTAATTAACTGAGGTAGTTAGTTTGGTCATGGTATTTTATTTTTTAAAATGAAAACCTCGAAAAGGTCCTCGGATTCTAATTTCAATTTCTGTTTCCCCCACATATTCACCAATACAAAATCATGAAGATGCATCCGATTGTTTGAATAATTGGCCATTTCAAATTAGCTTTTTTGAATTTTTTTTTTATAATTAGTGGATCAGATTAATCATTTACATTTTTAAAGTGCTATTTTAGCTACTTGAATGGGTGGTTCTAAAGGCTTTCTTTGACTCATTTAGTGCAATTTTTATTTTATGTTTGTAAACAGCTAAGTGTTCCACTTTGATTATCTTACTCCTCTGGAAATGTATCTTGCTTCATATCATCATAAAGCTGATGTGTTAGATGTTACTCACAGAGTTTATTGTTAGAGTGACATGGGTGTAAGTGTATTGGGATTTTGTGGCATTGTAACAATTAGTATTTTTTCATGTCAATATTTCACTCGAAGTTTCCTGAAATTACTCACTTTTTAATTTTTTACTATCACTTCCCAAGTTTATGGCAAATGTTTTGGTATTCCAGAAAGAAAAGGTTGTCTTAAAGGTTTTCTGTTTGTTGAAAAAAGGACACTCTATTTTGCTGAGAATTGTCTGCAATCTGAGTTGCCAGGCAATTCCTGAAAATGCAAGATCTTTTTGAGTTTTTAAGCAAAGAAAATGACTTTTCAAGCTGAATTCTGTGTTGTAAAACCAATGCAATTGTCTACTTTATGGTGAGAGTCTACCTCTATGTCCTGTCAAACTCTCCACGCACAGATACAGAGCAAATACATTAGCAATGTTGCCAATTAGTTTGAAGTGAGAGAAGAGGCGGAGAGTTAGACTGGATTTATAGGTGACTCTCACCCTTATGTAGGGGATCCCCTCTTAGAGAGCTGTTTTAAGCTCTGGATTCCCCCCCCCCCCTCCAGAGAAGATAAGGGAATTATCATGTTTCTTGCAAAATTTTACATGATAAAAATCTTGTTTTATGCACATTCCTGCAGCATGCAAGAGCTCCATTATCTAAAACAAAATGCTGGATGGTCTGAAATTTGAAAGACTTAAAAATTTTCACTATACTGATCATTTTACCTTGCATTTATTGATGATAGAACCACTACCATTGCGAATAACTCGTGGTAACGGAGAAAGGAGGATGAGATGCTATCTGTTGATGATCCCCTTTTGGAGCATGTTATCTTCATGTCCTCTCTATCGGTCAGACCTAGATAACTTCTGATTGAGAGCCCCCATTGTCCTCCATATGTTGCCTGATTTGTCCTAGTCTCAAATGCATCGGGTCTGTAGATAATTTTGTTGCCTCTCACTGAGAAATAAGTACTTAATTGCGATTAATTAAACCCAATCAAACCCTTTTCAGTACTGTATTGCTTATCATCATAATCGAAATAAGCATGTAAAATGAAATTTAAAATTTTGCTTGCAGCTGTGCCAACTTTCACTGTACCTACAATATACCATAGGTGGAAAAATGTAATATACGGAATCGAATTTCAAAGAGTAGAATAAAAATTCTGCAACTGATTGGCTGTGGGCACGTAAATTATTGGCTTATTGAAATTTTTTCAGGCTGATCTGTGCTGCCTAGTACTAGACCTCTTTGCTATTGTCATTGGATTCGTTTTTATCGACGTACATGTTAAAATCGTGAGCATCATCTCGTCTTTACAAGCCTTCTGCACCCAGATAACCGGTTTATCCAAAGAACTGTGGGGGAAGAACAAGGACTAATGCTGTGGATGTCAAACATACGGTAAGTGTATCATAATTATCTAATTTCCTATGACTGAGTTATCTTAAGGACACTAGGATACAAGTATCTCCATGTGAGGAACCTGGGCCCCTTTTTCTAAAGTTTCTTTCCATCAGTCCCAGTATAGGATTTCCTGGGTGGTATTTTCCAGAGAATTTGCAGCTTGAATCAGTTACCCCAGAAAAACTTAATCGGACAATGTAGTTGCACCTAGCAAGTACACTTTTGCAATCTAAGGAACAACTGGGATTGTTTCAGTTCCCATCTCCGTGTTCTTCTGATGTATGTGTCTAACTTTATTTTGGGATGTACCATATTGCTTTGAAAACACCATGCTTTTCACAGTTGGAAATTGAGTTACACCCCTTCATCAAAGGGGCAACTTTTTCCAGCTCCTTACGTAAATTTCCAGTCTTATTGTCAGACCTTCTCCCTCCCTAAGGACTCACGGTAATTCCCTGCCTGACAAGTTCTTGAAAAGTCAGAGGAAACTTGAGGTAGACAGGTAGGAATGTCCGACTCTGGAAAGACAAAACTTTGCTGTGGAACCTTAACATTTTTCTCTCAAGGCATTGTTTGTTTGTTTTTTTTTATTTTCAAAAGACATGGCACCTACTTTTTTTTGTAAAAAATATGTTTATGAGAGAGAGAGAGAGAGAAAAAAAAATTTAGGTAAATGGACATAGAGAATTTTTGTTCAAAAACTGGCAGGTCAGAAAATTTTAAAATTCAGTAAAAATGGTTTCACTGTTGATAAATGGCTCCTCAGTATGTCTCCCAAGAGCTCATATACGTCAAAAATTGTACAGAAATCAAATTTAATATTTCTGTGTTAGGTGACTCTTCAGTTTTTTATTTGCTATCTTTCCAAATTACAGTCAGTCTGATAGCTCAAGCTCATCTTCATTTTAGGAATGCGGCAAAATATCACTCTGTACTCAGGAAAAATCACAAGGTGTAGTCTCTTCTTTTTCTAATGATTGTGCTTAGAAGTTTGTCTTTTTTCTAGTGGGGAGGGGGAGGAGTGTCTCATCCCTGAGAACTGATTAGAAGCCACAAACTTTGAAAGTTAGTCCAGATTTTTGCACACAGCTTTTAAATTGTATCCTTCGTAGATGTAAAATCCCCCCCCCCTCTTCTTCCTTATTTTGCCCAATGTTTCTATTTAAATCTTCAACTTTGAAGACCGTTTGCTGACAATAATGGTCGGATACCCTCCACCACCCCCCCCCTCCTTTGCAAGATTTTGATCCTCCCACCAATTAAATGTCATCGACAGACTCGCACATCAATTTTCTGATCTCCCGGCACAGGTTTGGTGTATCAATATTTGTCTGTAGTCCGTGTTTGCACAAGGTGTTCCAAGGTTTTTCATGGTCGACCCAGTAACTCTGCTTTTCCACGCAAATCCAGTACCGCTTTTCATATAGATCAAATTTGAGTTTTTCATCACCGTAAAAATCATTGATTAGGAAGCATCTGCCTGTTCAGTTTCATGTCCTTGAAGTTTCTGATACAGTCACCCTCCTGAACATCTTGAAGTGTAGTTTATGATGTCAGATGAATTGACATCCCTGTGTTTCTTTGTGAAAGTTTTCTCGACAATTATACCTCGTATCGTTGAGTTTGCCAGTATATTTTCTTAGCATTGCTGTCTTCAAGAAGGTCTCATTGTTTCTTACCGCCTTGACTGTCTTCCTAACAGGGTCTATCATGGCAAGGATTTGCATTGCCCTAACTTTCTTATTAATTTTTCTTTCCTAACCTGAAGAAATATCTATAACTGTATATCTGCAATCAGAGAATTTGCTAATGAAGTTCAGATAGGGTAAAGGCAAAACTTTACAAGTTGGCCCAAGCTTGCTGCCTTTGAAATGTCAATACAGAGTCTTTAGAAATTTTAAAAAAAAAAAAAAAAAAAAAAAAACGGGAAATTTAATCAAGGTGAAAAGATCATGGAAAACTTTGAAAATCAGGGGAAAAATTCATGAAACTTGGTGGTATTTTAGAAACTTACAGAAGTAATAAGGCACTGACTTCAAGTGCCAGCTACCTAACTGATTTAAGTTCTGTATTTCGTTTATTCCATTCTTGGATACCTAACTGATTTAAGTTCTGTATTTTGTGTTTTCCATTTCTGAAAATATAAGAAAAAAAAACACAAGGAATTCTGAAAGTGAACCCTTGTAAATATCAGAATTTTAAGAGAAAGAAAGAAAGAAAAAACCTCTATCGGCATATTAAAGTTCGAAACCCTTTTTGTAGCTACGGAATCTGTTTCATATTAGTTACTTAAATCTACTCACTTAAAATTAAGAAATTTCTTTGTGTTTGATATATGCTACTCTTTACAATGCACTCATAGTAGTTTGTACTACTGCAGCATTAAATGCCCTGTTCAGAAAAAAAAGAAAAAAAAGCAACAATTTTGTAATTACCCTCAGAAAATATCCTACAGGTGAAAAATGATTTGTTCCCATGTGACTAAGTGAATGAGATAGAAGAACAAAGCTCAAACTACTCCCCACATTTGACCAGTGCACGATTGTGAGGGTGAAAGGAAGCCTGGGTCTAATTATCTGGTGATAAAACAAAGTTTACTGTTGACACAAGTGAGTGGAACACCTGTTCTGCTGGCTGAAAATTGTCATTGACTTGCCTCTTCCTCTCTCCACTGGAAAACATGTTGGATTTCGCGGCACCTTTCGTAAGTTTCTCCTTTGTGCCCTTGTTTTTTGTTTTTGTTTGTTGCGCACTTCTGGCAGTGAAGTTCTCAGCCATGAAAAACTTTTTTTTTTAGAATGTTGAGTCTTTCCCTGAAGCGGCTCAAGTATCAACCTGATGCATTTTGAATTCACTATGAATGAGCCAATTGCATGATTTATCAGGAAAATTTACATATATTAGCATTTAAAACACCTAACGGTATTTTTATGAGGTACGCTTGGTGGATGTTACTTTTTTCCAGGTAACTCCCCCCCCCCTCCCCAACCACCTTTCTCTTGAAGATCATAGGAAAATTCAATAAGTCTAACCATAACAGGGTTGCCAATTGGCTTAATTTCAGAATTAAGTGAAATAAACTTTTCATATTCTTAATTTGTGATTTTTGTTAGAATTCTGTTATCTTCGTGCAGTTTCTACTTTTCAAAAATGCAAGCATGGTAAGTTGCAGGATGAGTTTATTGGTCTCGTACAAAACTGTTTACTCATTAAAGTTTTGATTCCACATAATGAGTATTTTATCTCTCATTTCAGGTAATAATGTGGCGATGCTTCGAGTATTGCTGCCCGTGTTTTGCCTCAAAACCTTACGATGAGCAAAATGTGAAGTCAGGCCTTTTACCAAACATCACCGCTGCCTCACATGATTCAGATCTGTACACAGTTCACAAAATTTCAAGGTAAACAATGCATGATAATTCGTTCAATAATCATTAGAAACAAAGTAATAGTTTAGAAACACTTTCCTGAAAAGACTGCCTGAGAAAAATTAACTTAAAACTTGAAGATTTCTCAGACACATTTGCTTATTAATTTACCCTCATGCACACTAATATGTGAAACATAGAATGGGTTCGACGATGGAACAACAAATTTGCCTCAGAACTATTTCAAATATGTATTTTTAACCATCTGGTATATCTTTAATTGTCAGGGAATTTTACCATAATTTTACCTTAAGAGAAATCAGGGAATTCAATTTTCTAAATTTTGTCGCAACCCAATTGTAGCACTTCTGCTAATCTTTGTTGTAGTTAATTTTTCTTTTAGTTTTTTTCTGCTCAAGATCAAATTTCTGTATGAATTCTGTTTCTTTACAGTTTTGGAAGAGACACATCTCAAGATGCCCATTCAGCCACAAGCTCAGTATGCGATGAAACAGAGTTGCAGTCAGCGCAGATTGCTTCTTTAGGCATCAGCAAACTTAAATCAGGTATGAACGGAAGGCTACTGTTTTACAGTTACGTTGTATGAACTAAGATTGCTGACTTTGAAATGTAAACATCGGGAGGTTTTTTTTGTTATCCTGAAAATTTAACTTTCGAGGCACTGAAAGATGCCAGATATATACACGTGCACACATTTATGTACTCATACATGTGAGCTTATGCTCAAATGGCTAGTTTTCAGCAATGAAGAACACTGCGTTTTGGGAACGGAGGATTCCACTTGTTAATTGGTCGGCTTTACTTTCTTTGGGGAGCCATGTAGATTTGTTGCACTTAGTTCCTGTCTGTGATTCAGTTGAGCTCTTTTTCCACTTTGGCAGTCACAAGGTCTTTTACAGGAATGTAACTCGGCCTTTCTTTAGTAAAGTTATCTGATAAAACCAATAAGTTCCAAAGATCGTTTCGGAGGAGAGGAAAAACTAACCAAAATTTGACCAGTTGCAAGCCAGCAGTCTTAGAAAGATGATGCTTAAAGCTTAATTCAGCTGATCACCAAATGCAATTTCCCCCACCTGGCTGCATCATCAGAGCTTGCCTCTAACATTGTTTCAAACAGGTCCCATTTTTAGCATTTTTAAGATGGTTTCTTCTCCATTTAGAGCTGAAAAAAAGGTTTCACTGACCCTTTAATAGGAAGGTACCACCTGTTAAAATATACAAAATAAATTACTATTTTGTGATCAAATACCTCCTCCCCAAATACTAGAATGAGTTGAAATGAAAACCAAATTTTCATGCATGGTTGCCATCTCCTCATTGTGGCGCTCACATCAAGATAACAATTTCTCAGCTCTAGACAAAAGGGTAGCATCATCAATGGTTGTAGACACTGCTAAACACCACTGAATGGACAAGACAAGTTCAGTGCGGTATGTCTGCTTACTAATGTGCTGAAATCAATTTTCCTCCCTTTTTTCACATGATTTTTTCCTGTTCCTGAAAGGTGGCGGAGAAGGGGACACGGACGGCGATACCCCTCCAGCCAAACAGAAAGGAAAGTGGGGCAAGGCTGTCACCAAACTCCATGGACGGGTCAATCGTAAACCGAATAAGAATCAACCTGCTTCCTTGGCCAACATTAGTATGATGATGGTCCCGCCCATGATAGCTTCCACACCAGACCTTGTAAGTTTTATTTTATTTATTTATTTTTTTTTTTCTAAAAAACAACTCGCCACCTCAGTACATTTCTAAGCTGACCTGGTTTACAATAGACTACCAAAAAAGATGAAACTTTCAGCAGCATGCGACTTGCTACCTGGTTAAATTTCCTCTCCAAACACATTGAACTTAACAGGGTTTACAACAGTCTGGAAAACCAGATAAATCAGGGAGTGTCAGGGAAATGGCGATGATCAGGAGAATTTCTGACACATCTAATTCTCTAATTCAAATGAAAGTCAGCTTATTTTTAAGAAAAAAAGATCGATGGAAATTCGTTTCCAAGGTCAGAAAAAGTCAGGAAATTAGAAAATTTTGGAATCAGGGAATTTGAAGACGAAGAAATTATGGCAACCCTGATTAAAAAAGAACAAGGCAAAATCCACTTGCAAGTGAAAAATTATAGTTCGAAGATAAAATTAGAACTCAATTTTCTGTAGATCTCTTTTGATTAATTTCACACCGATAATATCAGTGATAAGTACCCCCTCTCTCATTTCACTACATGTGGATTAAAATATCATTTCTTTCTTCAGGCAATAACTTGCGAAAAAGATGACCTGAACTCTCCAAATGGACAGCCAAATCCTCCAAACTGTGTTGATGACCTAGGCTTACTGCTTTCCCCTGTAACGACAGCATGGTTCCGGTCTCAAAGCTTTCAGGTAAGTCAAATTTTTTCATTGTAATCGATGCTAACCGTGCTTTTGTGGAATTAAAAGGAAAGAAGTCTCTCAATTCATGGATGTTCTGTTTTCGATGTTGAGTCCTAAGATTGATGGTGAGCCCAAGCTTTTTCAGATCGATTCATTTTTATAGATTTCAAGGGGGAGATATTCACTTATCGTATGTTATGAAAGGATTAAGTAAACGCATGATTCGGAGAAAGTAGCACCTCTATAAAAATTAGGCCAAGACGGAGAAGAAATATTAGCTTTATGTGATCCTAACAATAGCAATTGAGCCTTTTTCATACCTCTACTAATATTGACTACTAAATTTCTGAAGTTAAATCAAGAGTGTGGATATTTTAAATAATTTCTCTTTGAACTAATTTTTTTAGAGCGTTTGCAACCCTTCAGAAGAAAACGCTGAATCTGATGACAACGTCGATAAAGAAAAGAGTCAAATAGCCAAGCAATACGGGCTGGACGCATCCTTGTATAACTGCTCTCAATTGTCCAAGTCCAGTGAAGCTATCAATCGAGCATGGAAGTCTATGGGTGATATTCCAACGCACGAGCGGTTCATCGAGTTAGCATATGGAACAGTGTGCTTCACAGCCCAGTTTAGAGACAAGAAGTAAGCACTTTTTTTCTAGATCAAAAATCTTGCACCCATTAACAAATTGCACGGTCCTTATCTGGCATCAAATTTAGGCTTTTCAATCCTCCATAGTTAATTTTGCCGCATTTTCTGTCTTGAATTTGAATAGAATTTTCCTCCACAAATTCGAGAAAAGTGAAAGACTTATTGAATCTTTTGCCTGGGGATTCAGGACTACTATTCCTCAACTTGCAGATGGTACTCTTATCTTATCATAGCAAACGTAAGCTCTTTCTAAGGGAACTTTCGTTTCACAAAATGCATATTGACTGAGGACCAGGCACTACTCCTTATCTTGCCTCTCTCCAATTTGCGGGAGTGCCCCTTATGTATGTAAATTGAAAATACTGCATTTATTTCTCTTATTCTATTTTTCTCAATGAATGTATCTAGTGACAGGAAACATGGTTCCGCCAAAACAAATATTCCTCTTCCTGATACAGCAACAATGTTTCTCTGTTTTTTTGTGAAACCTAAAACTTATGGTAGGAGGAAATTTATTGGCTGAATACAATTTTTTTATTTTTGAAGTGTTCCTACAAATATGTGAACATGAATTGTCCGTAATGGTAAAAAGTGATGGAAGAAACATCAGTATTTAGCATGTGAGACAGGTGACTCAGCAGAAGGACGCAGGAATGCTGAAAAATTCCACATTTTTATCACAGTTATTCTGCCGATTGCTGTAGTGTATGAAGAATTTGCAAATCTAACCTCAAAATTACAAACATGGCAAAGTTTTCTCTTCGTCCTGTAAAACTGTCAGTTTGCAGAGGGCAGTATTGTTCTGTAGCCATCGATACGCTCTATACCTCCCCCCAGAATGGTGTGGACCTTTCTGCTGCCAGGGAGTTTTTAAACTGCAGTTTCTCCTGGATTCAACATAAAATTTGTGTAGAAGTCTGATTTGCTCTGTAATCCTGTATTGTTTTTTAATGCAAGAATTTTTGGCTTTGTTTTCACCTTCTGTTTTTTTTTTTTTTTTCAGATTTGTCATTCATATCATTAAATTAGTGGGTCTAGCGCCGAAAGGAAAAGCTCTCCTGGAGTATCCAACTGTTATTAAATTAACAATTCTTCCTCTAGAAAAACAGGCAAAGCAGAGTAAAACACTTCCTGCAAGCTCTAATCCTGAAGTGAACCAAGATTTCAGCTTTCACGCCCGGGACATCAGCAACAAAATTTTGAGGTATGTTTTTACCACCTCTCTTTTTGATCTCTTTGATTGCCTATCACGGATGTGTCAGCCTTATTAGAGTTTTCCTAATATACTTTCGTAAGGGTAAGAATTTACTAAATACATAGTAAATCCGTAAAAGTAGAGCTGTGCACGGTTAAAAATGAGCATTCAGATTAATTAGATTCTTTTCGTCAATCCTATCTTCCCAGCCTGTAAGGAAAAAAAAGCTCTTTTCATCATCAATCAGATGTTCAATCATTTTTGCCAGATATTGCGTGTAAAATGCTAATAAATTAGACTGCATTTTGCAAATCGGTACTAAAATCTTTGGCTCAGTTAAAACTCTAAACTACTTATTTGTACCATTCGTTCCCAATTGCGAAATCTAGTCCAATCCACCTTTGGGCTTTAGGCCCTGTCTTCCTGAGATGGGCTCCCCAAAAGTCTTATTTTAAAAAGCTCACAGTACTCAGGAGGCCACAAGAAACATCATATCAAATAATATGAAAATTCAACTGGTTCCAAATTTTCAGGTACTCAACATGCACCTAGTCCTTTCATGAACTACAAGTTGTCAAAAAATCAAGAGTTACCCGAAAAATTCTATTTTCTGATTTCTGTTTCATGCAATAGTTTTATCGTCAAAGTTAAGAGATTCTTTAAAAACAACTTCTGCATATTAAATTTTGCATCTGTCGCTTAATTTTGATTTTAATCCGTCAACAGGATATCAGTGTTCGATGTGGAGAGGCAAGGAAAGTACAGTGCAGTAGGCCATGCTTTATTCTACTTAGAGGATGTCAAGTCTGTGAAGAAAATTCAATCCTACGAGATGAAACTTTTTCGACAATCTCTTGTAAGTTATTTTCTGTAGTTCAATGTCATTGTATCTGAATAAAAGGACGTGAATGGTTGTGTTCTGAGGGATGACTTTCAGTTATGCCTGAAATTTGAATCGCCCTGTGAATTCTTTTAGTGTCTGCATCACTTGAAAACTTGCTTCTAAGCATGGCTACCAAAAACTACAGCAAAGTTCTTACTGGTAATCGCGGCTTTGCTTGCTGTGGGTGCTCATATACTAAATCAGTGGTAGCTCCTGCACCTTATCTCTACGGGACGTTTCACGAGATTTTTCCCAGGTTAAAATCGCAAGAATGAAACTTCTGGGCCTTTTTCCCGTTAACAACAAAATTTCTTCTTCTTTTTACGTCCTTCCTGAGACTCCTCAATGACTCTTAGTTGGCACTGTGATTAATATTGACTAACTCAATAATTTTCCAAACTTTGCAAGTGAGATTTTTCCCTGGGACAAATCCCATGAAACATCCCGTAGAGACAAGGCCTATGGTTAGTGTTACCTGAGTGCCTACAAGGCTGGGCAAAGTAGATAAGGTAAGGGTAGAAATCTTAGACACAAAGTGCAGGGCACCTGCAGGATTTAACTGAAAAAGCTGGAATCTTTTCCAGCTTTTCCCATAATTCCTCATGTTGTGAATTATTTTGATTTTTTGAGAAAAGTCATGGAAAATTATCTCTTTAATCAAAGAAAAAGAGAGCTTTAAGGTCAGCTTGAAACTCGGGTCGCAAAATTTTTCTTTTTTCATCCTTCTTGGTACTTAGATCGATGGAAAAAGGTACACAGTTTTTTCCAGAGGTGCAAAATATGCTCAAAAATGTGAAAAGGCAATTTAAAATATTGAAGGAGAGGCGATGTTTAAGGGTCAGAGGTAAAAAATCAAAGGAAACGAGACAAAAAAGCTCCTCTTTTTTGAAATTACAGGGAAGTTTTGTTGAAAGTCAACATGAAAGATATGGAAAGCCTGCGGGCCGGCACTTGAAAACAAGGAAGCCTTAAAGATTCTGCACCCCTAGTTTTTTCAACTGATAGAACACCCCTCTTATTTTTTGATCATCTTTTCCATCCCTCAATCAAGTCTTTAAATCAGTCAATGTTTTTGTTATTTTTTACAGCCGAACGTCATTCCTGGATGTCTATTTGTAAGCTTGGAGTACAGCAGCAGCTCCAAATCATTGAACGTCTTCGTAGAGCAAGCAAGCAAACTGGAAGCAACTTTGGCCGCTGGTAAGTCCGCCTTCTAGCTATACCTTAGTCATAGTGAAGGCCTTCAGCAGAAAGGGTGAATGAGTATTTCAACAGCCTGATAGTTGAAAATTTATCCGGCTTTGCCAGCAATACTAGACAAGACATAGTCCCATCTAATTCGTTGATCTCCAAAGCTTTTTTGTTCTGACATAAATATTAACAATCAGGCCACAGTTGAGAAATGTGGAAATGAGGAGACGAATTTGTAGAGAATACAAAGTAGATAGTGTTAACAGGTCTGAAATGAAGACTTGTCAAGGAGTTTTATCAGATCAGGAAATCTGATGAAAAATTGGAAATTAGAAAATATGAAAAATTGAAATCTGAAGAAATCATCAATGCTGTCCAGATGATCAAACTGAGTCTCAGTCCAGTTTTTTGTCTTGTTTACTGGAGAGAGCTGTAAGTGCATTTTTGTATGAGCCATGATTAGAGGTGTCGTCAGCTAAGTTGACGGTTGTTTACTTTCGGCTTGCAGGCATTTTCACTTCACTACTATCCACATGAAAACATCTGACTCTCACAGAAGCAAGAACACAAGCTTAGATAAGTTTTTTAATACTTTCATTTTTAGCCAAATAGAAATCACAACCACCAAAAAGTCGCAAATCATAACTTATAAGTAGTTTTTTTACGATACGACCATGAGACTGATGTTTTCAGTGTGGATAGTAGCGAACGCCACTTTGTTCAGAGGCCCAAATTCGTTGTTGGCGCTTGCAAACCGAAAGTAAACAACCATCAACTTAGCTGACGACACCTCTAGCACATGCTCTTATTGCGTTTCAAGGCTCCTCCTAGACCACACTTCCGGCTCTCTCCCATAACATAGCAGTTTGAAGTTTATCGCTCTGAGTATCACTCGGATTAGTGAATAGAGGAATAATTATCAATGATGAATTGTATTTCCAGCGCATATGGAATGACCAACACCTGAAATAGAAGGTCCACATGTTTCTGTCATTTCCAGTGAAGTAAGCGCATGAAATTTTCAGCCTAGGAGCTATGCATGCAAATTGCCAAAGCCCTCAGTCAAGGGATTTTGGTGAAGTAGGTAGGGGAAAAGTTGGAGATTTTTCTCTCACTGATGGTGAGTCTGTTAACACCCTGTTTTAGCTTCCTTTAGTCTAAAGTACCGATGTTTCAATTAACCCTCTCTCTATTTACGATTGTCTTTCTCCTGCAGTCTTACTTATTTTTCATTTGCATATTTTTTTCCAGGGAAGTGCCGTCTGTATGTCAAACTGTTATTTTTGCAAGGAAACAAGAGAATGAAGGAGTTGGAGTCACCTCCTGTACTGATGCAAAACTTGGAAGCCAAACTAAATTATACGGACTCGATTAAAATTGATGAAAATCACATCAAAGATAGCTCTTTAGTAATCGCTCTCAAGTACAAAGGAATGTTCCACGACAAAAATGTTGGGAGAGTTATTTTTGGCCCTTACTTTTACTCAGAATTCGGCCACAAGTTGACGCCTTGGGGCAGGCTTTTTCTTAAAAATGAACAAATTAAATATTCTTTTCGTATGTATCTATAATAAAGTTATTTATCAAATATATATTTTAAATTTTTTAAAAATATTTGTTGTTTCTCTCCCCAGGAAAAAAAAGAAATCCCCTCTAAGATTAAGTGAGCCTTAAAGTGAAAAGAGCAACTGGATTGCATTTTGCAAAAAGGAACTAAGAACATTCCAATGTTGCTAAGATCCTGCAATTTTTTTTTACATTGCAAACATAAACTGATTAGCTAGACAAGTTTTATCCATACGCCCAATAAACTATAAATTCAAGATGGAAGCTACCGTCATATCTTTTTTCATGATTTCAGTAATTTTATTGCAAACATGTAAGTTCCACAATCCTAACAACAATGGAATGTTCTTGATTCCTTTTTGCAAAATGCAATCCACATCACTCTTTTCTACTGTTTGCCTCACCCCGCTCACTACCATCTCTGGTATAATTAACTCTTTAATTATCTCCTAAACTGTTTGTCATAGAGCAAAACGAACAAATTTCTCAGCTCCTCAGTACTTCTGGGACTACTCTAGAACCCCCTTCCCCCCTAGGGTTTGCATTCTGCAAAAAGGAACCAGCGCTATTACAATGTTTTCAAAATTGTGCGACTTCTTTTCTTTTAAAAATACGTAAGACATGTACGGTATTAAAGTTTACGCATTTATTTTAATTCAAAATTAATAACTTTATGGTGGGAAGCAAAAGCTATTTGCTATTCTGGGACATTTTTTAGATAAACATGAAGAAGCTACATTTTAACAACATTGTAATCGCGCTGGTTCCGTTTTGCTGAATGTGATCCATAGGGTCGGGGGCCTTCTAGGCTCAATTTAAATTCTCAAAATTTTGCTGCTGGTCAATTTTCCATCATGATGAAAATGGATGGGTTTCCAAATCAGAAAAATGCCATTATTTTCTTAACAGTCAGTCGTAGAGACAAACGAACATAATTTACCAGCCCCCCTGAGAATCTGGAGCTACTTTTGAGTTCTCTTCAGGCCTATGGGGTCGGGGGCTTTCTAGGCTCAATTTAAATTTTGAAAATTTTGGCTCTGCTAGATTTTTCATCATGATGAAATTGGACGGTTTTTTAAACAGAAAAATATGAATATCTCCTGAACCATTGGTCACAGGGCAAAATACAAGATGGATAGAAAATGGTGGTTGCATTTGTACCCTCTGATCGTTACACGATCATGGGTACATCCTGATTGCTTGGCAAAGCATGTACCCCAGCCTTTAAAAAGGCGGCTCAACTCGAAATGCAACCACCTTTCTTCATGCACCTTGAGCAAAATGGACAGGATGTTCCAGCTTTGGGATTCTTTTGCAGTTCCCCGCAGGTTTATGGGATTGGGGGCCCTCAGGCTCTATTTTAATTTTCGAAATTTAGGTGCTGGTCGGTTTTCCATTAAGATGAAAATGGACGGACTTCCAACATAAAAAAATGTGAATGTCTCGGCCTTCAATGCACCACCAGGCCCAGGCAATGCTTCAACTGAATCGTTATGCGAATTGCAATTCCCACAACAGGAACCAGCTGGACCAAGAAACCAAAATGGAATTTCTATGTTCCTATGATTCGGCAACTTTATAACCTTGCGAATTTAACCCACCCAAGTTCTATCTTTTCCACTAATAATCTTGTAAATTCAATTCAACAGTTGCCATTTTATATTTCCAGTTGTTCTTGACGCATGATTTCATGGTAAAGAGTGTGAGTTACAAAAGCCTAGCAAAACTGGCATGCTCTTGGTTCCTTTTATAGCAAAATGCTAACCGCATAACTTACTTCTTCACCAAAATGAAGTAAGTTAGCTCATGCACTCACTATCAGTTATTAGTGAGGACAGATTCCTACCGCCCTCAAGTTGCACACTTGTCCAATTTTTCATTCTGTCCTACGGCTGAATTTTCTAAATTGAAGCCTGAATGTGCAATTTGCGTAGGCGCATCATTCCTTCTTTTCAAAATCTCCCTTTTAACAGATTAGAACTCCAGAGGGGAGGGGCAAGTGTCTCTAACAATGTTTAACCAAAAATAAAATCTTTAAATTTCAGGCAAAATATTTGATGTTGCGGAAAGTTGTGAAAGATATTGATGCAGGGTACAAAGTTATTTTGCACTTGGTAACTCCCGATTTTTAACTGCTAAACCCTGTTTTCATAATTTTTTTAGCTCCTAATGTTAGTCCTGAATTTTGACGGACGTATCTTAGCAAAAATAGCTCAATTGAAGAATCCGATCGGTCAGCTGACTTTTCTCAGTTCCTGATTATAAGATCGCTTTATCCTCAAATCCTGATGGCAGACACCCCTGTGATAAATACTCATCAGAGATAAAATGAATATAAAGTTAAATGAAATGCAAATGGTAAATGCTTTGTAATGTTCTTCACAGCGATGTTACAAATCAAGCCCCTAAAAATAAGTCTAATGTTTCTCACAGCTTTAGGAATCATGGAATGTTTAATGGAAGGAACCCCACACAAGCTCAATAACTCCCAGTAAATTTTGATAATACTGATATAGATTGATATGGATTAATTATTAGCACAGAGCTCAAATATTAGCTCATTCTAATGAGTAAAAGCCGGAAAATGTTTCTTGACCTCATTAAAATTCTCTGAAAAACCAGGCGGCAATACTAAAGGCCTTCCTCTTGGACCAAATAAGTTGACTGGCAAGTTGATAAAGAATGAAAACTCTCAGACATCAATAGTGAGAATCAACTGTATAAGTGAATTTTGGTGAGTGAGTGTATCTTGATTCAATAGCACGAGAAAAGTAAGATGAGAAAATTAAACTTATTTTTATGCCTCAAGGGAAACTTGTTCTGTTATGACATATGATTTCTTCCTAGAACACTCAATCCCAAAAATTCACAGTCTGTACAAAGAGATGTTGAAAGAAACAAGAGAGAGTGTAAAAAAAGAAAAAGTCAATTTATTATACAAAAGTATAACCAATAACAGTCTAGGGTTTCTTGGCCGCAGCGGCAGCAGCAGCCATTTCTTCTTCGCGAAGACGGTCCTTCTTGAGAGGCCCAATGAAGGCCTTCTTGTCGGCGGTTGTCTGGAAGCGACCGAAACCAATCTTTGAGGAGGTATCGATGAACTTGAGGGTGATCTTCTCCATTGGTTCGCTCCTGTGCTTGCGAGACAATGACTGGAAAACAAAGAGGATACCATTAAAGATGATGTTGATGACAAGAAGAATCGCTTGCTTAGAACTAATTAATTCTGTGACGGGCAGCGTGCATATAAAATGAGAATTTACAGTGAAGGGGAGCTGTTAACTCAGATGATCACATTTATAATCAGTATTCATTGGCCTGGACACCGAAAAATGAGATATCATCATTGAAAACGTCCATTTGAAATTGACTAGGCAGATTACATAGAATAATTCAATAATTTCTCCAACAAAGGATTTTAATTTCTTCCTTTTGTATGGAATGCACGAGTAATAAAAGTGTGTAGAACAATGCAAGGTCGTCATATATCATAATCTTTGAATTCCTAAAGTTCTCTAACTCTCTGGCTTTTCTCAAGACTCAAAAACTTTCCATTCCCCTAACTTGCCCCAATTAGTAAAAAAATGAGGGTTTTTTATCGATAATTCCTTAGCGTTGGCTGATAATCCATGATTTGAGATAAATCTTTCAACATCTTCCACACGTTTCTAAAACTTCTAACAATATTTCACAAGAAATTGCACGGTTTCATTCTTTAAGGAATTTGACTTCCCTGCTTCGATAAAGATTTTCATAGATCTGATAAATTCCGAATAATTGCAAGTCGGATGGGAGTTGAGCCTCAGGCCTATCATAGTGAAAACATCATAGAGATCAAATTCGCTCAAAAAGTTCATCCTTGGCTCAAACTCTCATGGACAAATACAAATTGTGTCTGTTGAAAAGAGGAAGAAAGGTAAGAATACAGAGGGAAACAGAAATTCCGTGGCTTACCTTACGAAGAGCTAGAGGTCGTTTGATGGCTCCAGGAACTCCACCTTTCACCATTACGAAATCTTGGTTGACCTCACCGTAGTGGGGGAAACCTCCCATTGGAGTGATGGTCTTCTCCGTTAGATCGTAGTCTGTTGAGGCATTGTTCTTGACGACCTGCAAAAAAAAATGAAGGAAGTTAAATCCTGCAAACTGAATTTCCCGAAGACATATGAGCCATATGCATTCTAATTAGTATCACTGTATCAGTCACTATGAAACTGCAGTACAATCTATCAATACAGCAGAAACGAGGTGAAGAATTGATTTAACAGCAAAAAAACGCTTTACAAGACAAATAGATCAATGTAAAGAGCTGGGTGCTGTATTAGTTGTAATATTTATTGAATTATAATACTAACAAAACAATGCACCCCTTCAAACGTCGAAGAAAGGAACACTGAAGGGAAAAATGGCGAAGGATTGGAGGGCAATTGTGAAAAAAGCTTTTCACTCGTCATGAATCAGTAGTTTCATCCATGAAGGTACACTAGAAATCAGCATGCATTGCCATTCTTTCAGAAAATGAATCTGTGCTTAATTTCCTGGAGTTCTGGACATGACAAGTTTTATTCTGAATTTTTCAATTCTCTAGCGTTTCCTGATGTTTCATTATTATGTCTCGATTGTGATAGCTTCTCTTTTAATCTGATGATCCAAAGGTTCAATTTCGTCAATAGATCATTCAAAATGTGGTACACTATGGCCGCTCAATTGTAGTGACACCTCTGAATAAAGGAAGAAATTCCCAGGTTCTGAAGTAGATCCTTGAAGGCTATTCATTCCCTGATGAGACACAGCATTTCATTTCCAGCTCTAGACACCAGTGGCATTGCGTGCTTTACAATATATCGATTGATCTGCCACTTAAACCTATAGAATAGGTTCCATAAACAGGATGTTCGTAACGAATACCTAATAATCGATTCTTCACCATGGCTTCTAATGAGGAAATATCGAAAATCAATCATTTACACCTTACCACTGCATGAGACCATATTGTGAATTCATATCATAGTAATAAACATTGGAGGGTTAAGGATAATCTCACCTTTCCATCAACTGTGTGGACACCCTTGCCCAATCGGTAGATCTTCCTGTTGATTTGGGTACGATGATGGTAACCCTTTTGACCAGCACGGGCGACAGTGAACTGGACACGACTCGGATGCCATGCTCCAATACAAGCGACTTTACGCAGACCCTTGTGCGTCTTCCTGGGGAGTTTCTTCGTATGCCAACGGGATGTCACACCTGAAAAGGAGGAGAAAATAATTTGAAATATAAAAACCTCGATTGCTAGAAAGTCACCGATTCGGCAGAAAATTGATGGCTGCTTCAGTAAGAACTTATTACTGAGAAATATTTATCATCAACGGAACGTCATTTGAAGAATGATTGACATGATCATCAGAAGGAAGGCAGCAACGATGAATTCTGCATTTGCATATCAGATTGCACACATCGCATGTTTTCATCATAAGAACAAGTCAATCACTGAGAAACTATTTGTGGCTAAAGCCAATGAAAAAGTCTGCTTTGCACTCATTCAGACTTCTTAAGCTGATAGAATCTTTTCAAGTTTCATGTTGCATTTCAGCCCGCCCTAGTCATATCGTCACGAAGTCGATAAAGACTGTCAGTAACAGTTGTACACTTAACTAAATCATCATGAATGCAACATTCAGTTACTGATAAAAAAAAAAAAAAAAAAAAGCTCAATATACATTAGATTGTTACTTCAGTCAAACCAATGACTAAGGAAGCAGTCTACTCAAGTACTAAATTCATGACTACAATTGGACTGCATTTTGCAATTTGGAACTATAAATTCTCGCTCATGTGCAAAACACTTATGTGACTAGGGAAACCAATGGCGCATACGTTCTTTTTAAACCGGGCCGTAATTTATAGTTCCTAATTGCAAAATGCAGTCCAATTCAGCTTCTGATCAACCAGGAAATAATAAGAAATGAGAAGCAAGAGAAATAGGTGAGGGAGCAACTCTTAACTTTATCAATTATTTTGAACCAAGAGGATTATAAAGAAAATAAATGCTTAAAAATCATCATAAAAGCAAAAAAATGTGTGAGAACATAATCAGACATCTCAGTCCGCCCTAGTTTGACTTCAAAACAACAGTTCAGATTCAACCGTAAACTTATGATCAACTAGAATCATCATAGATGTCATACACTACATTTCTCACATCAAGAGCTAAGTTAGGTAAGTTTCCTAAATGATGGAATTCATAGTATATAATATATGAAATTTCAAAGAAGACATCCGGAGTATCTCTTACCTTTGAATCCTTTACCCTTGGTTACACCAATAACGTCAATCACTTCATCTTGCCCGAAAACCTGGGCAACAGGGTAAGGCTTCTCAAGAAGATCGTAAGCCCATTCAACTTTCTCATGGATTGAGTTTCCTCCGTTGACCTGGATCTCCATGATGTGACCCTTCTTCTGCCTCTTTTTCAAGAGCTTCATCTGTGGATTAGAAAACGAATTAAGTGAGGATAAAAGGATCAAATCAAGGGATAAAGCAGACAAATATGGTTAAAATTGCACAAAAGGCTAACTGTAACCGACGTGGTATTTCCCCCATGTCACCGTTCAATGAACTACAGAGCGAAATGGGATACGCCTTTCCTCTGCACACAACCCGAAGGCAGGGCTGAGTTGATATACGATGTTATGGCCAACACTGCTTTGGAGAAGCAATGCTATCACCATTAAGAGCCTTGGCAGCCATCCCGAAGGACAGCCACGGACTCAATCATCGAAATGAGATAACTCAAATTGTCAGCAGTTTTTCCGTTCGACATTACTAACAAGAGATCTCTGATGAGAGTGAGAACACTACAAGCCAGATCAATGGCTGCAAAATAGGAGTGTTCAAAATGAATTATAACTTTAAAAAAACTGATGTGATACATAGTATCAACGATAGGTTCACAGCTTTCACAGGTTCTGGTTGGTGCAACTGCTAGCTATTAAAAAAAAAACCAATAGCCAACAGAAACAAGACAGGCAGCAACTACAAATCCTCCCAAGTCTTTGAAACACATGGATTGGAAGGTAGTGAAGGTGACAAGCCACATTCCAGAAAAATGCTGTTCCGAGTCTGATAGAAAATAATCCTTCAGACATGCATTTAAAATACAACGTAGAATGAATAACACATATTTTGGAACTATCATCATTCCATCACTACAAATGAAAGGTATAAAACATTAATTCAATTGAGGGCTAGGGTGAACTGTAACCGACGTGGTATTTCCCTCTTGTCACTGCTCAATGAGCTAAAGAGCGAAATGGGATACGCCTTTCCTCTGCACACTACTCGAGAGTAGGGCTGAGTTGCTATACGACATTTTGGCCGACACTGCTACAGAAAAACAATGCCATCACCAATAAGAGCCTCGCAGCCGTTCCGAAGGACAGCCGCTAGCTCAATTGTCGATTTGCTATTGAAACAAATGTTCAGTGGTAAAATTAATGCGACACTGTAAAATATCACTGTATTTGGTGAAAGAAACTCATTTAAAATCAAAGATGATGGAGCGCTGAGACTGAGAAGGTTGAAGACTGTAACTGACGTGGTATTTCCCTCTTGTCACTGTTCAATGAACTAAAGAGCGAAATGGGATACGCCTTTCCTCTGCACACAACCCGAAGGTAGGGCTGAGTTATTCTTTGATGTTATGGCCAACACTATTATGGAACAGTAGTGTTATCACCATTAAAAGAACTTGCAGCTATCCCGAGGGACGGCCGCAGTCTCAAACCATCAATGAATTTTTCTACCTGCAGCATCGTAGAATGACACTTCTGAGTTATTTCACTGAAACTGAAAAACAAAAGGGTTCACAATTAACAAGATAGTTACCTGTGTGTGAGCAATGACTCGGACGACCTGGCATCTGCTCCCGATCCTCCACAAGTCTTTGCGGATTTCTTCACGACCTTGCTTGCTCAACCACTTCTTGGGCGCTTTGGTGAAGGCCTTCTTCTTTGAGCGACACCTGGATTAACAAGCAACAAAATAGGGAGGGTCTCATCTTAGAAAGAGCGGAGACACGCTGCCCTACGTTCATTCTGCACGCAGAGTATCGCCATTAAGCAACACTATGAGCATGCTTCATAAACTCAAAAGTAACTCTCTTCATAATGAGCGGAGAGTGACACACATGAGAAAACATCAGCAAGGAAGAATTAGTCCATGAAATGTTAAATCAGTGGATACAAAAAAAAAAAAAAAAAAAAAATTTGGCGTTGATAACAGCATTTGTCAGCAGCCATGACATCTAAGGCAACTCAGAGCTGAGCAGAAGTAACAGAGGAATTAAGATAAATAAGAACTGAGTTAGAGTTTAAATTTCTTTGCATTTGCTACTTGGTTTTGGCAAAATGAAGTCAAATTTAAAATGAAAGAGACTCTAATGTCATCATAATACAAATAATTAGGAACTGAAAGGAACTACACATTGGTAACCAATAGGAATTACAGTGCTACTGACTGATAATATTTCCACATTGGGACAAGAGTTTCAGTAAGGATTCCATGTTCCTCATCAGAGAGATTGAAGCTTTGTACAACAATAAGTAAGTTAAGACCTTAAGGAAAATCGTCAGGACGAAATTTACTTCTCTATGCACGAGCTCAATATTAAGATCTAGCAACTTTAAGAGAGCGTACATACTTGGTCACATGTGACCATTTTCTGTGTAACGATACTGAGAAATCGATGGGGATCCAAGACGATGTGTAAACAACTTACCAGTTCTTGTACAGACGACGCTTGAAGTCTTCAGCAAGATGTTCAGCCCACACAGTTTTGTACGCCCTCAAACCACTTGGAGTCATGATGTAACCTATGATACCAACGATGAACATTGGGGGAGTTTCTATGATGGTCACAGCTTCTAAAATTTCTTTCTTGTGTAATTCTGAAAAGAGAACAGTAAAGTTACTAATATATCTATCTCAAACTGAATTACAAAAGTAACTGAGAGGTTTAAAATAGATCTGTTCGCCCAAGTTTGAATACTGGGGATGAATTCCTAGTAAAAATTAAAAAGTTAAGCACCTTGTAAGAGATACTTAACTGATGTGACAGATGAATTTCTAGTTTAGTGATGTTTAATGGTCATCCTGTAAAATCATCAATTGTTGGTGCAGTTGGAACTTACTGATCACTGACAATGGACGCTATTAAGTAGTGGCAACATCATCATAGGGATTCGCTTTTATATCAAATTGGATCCTAACGATAACACAGGCAAAACCTCTTTCAATGCTACCAATGCGAAAAAATGAATAAATATTGCTTTTCTGTGACACTAATAGTGTCTAAGACTCTCTTGTTGATGGTGTCAACACAAAAGATGAGCGCATGAAGCATTTCATTTAATTTCGGTGTCGTAGAACTTGGCGTGACTTTAGGGCTACGGATGCCATGAAGCCAAAGCAGATTTCTACTTTGCTGTAACAGTCTGGAAACGGTACGCAGAATACAAAGCATCAGCGAACAGCTGTAGACTGTAGACTCAGAGGTTTACTTTGTGAAGACTTGTGTTTCGCATTACAACATCTAAACTTATTTAAATTAGGGCTAGGATGCAAGTTCAGAAACTTCAATCCTCACATTTGATAGTGATAGTGTTCGAAGTTAGATTCATAAGCTTCACGAGAGCAAAATAAACAAGTTCTCACAATGGTTCCTGTTCCTACAGTCACAACAAATTAAGTTGGGTACCGAGTATTGAGAGAACTAAGGGCTGTATCATACACGGCGTGACTTAAAAAGCATGATAGAGCTAAAAAGCCATAGCGAAGTGCTGAATTAATGTTGCAGCTAGGAAACGGCAGACTGATAAGAATTCATCAGAATGCAGCTGATGCTGCAATGTACAAGTTACAAAATATGATCTCAGGAGTCATGAAGGGGCGTGACTACATGAGGTAGAAATAAGATACATTTTGCTATGAGAAACCACTACATCCTGCAGTTTAGGAGGCGACATATGTACACTCATTCCTAACAGATGATTTAAGGAATGCACCAAAGATGTTGGTTTGTTGCCAGTTGCCAGAATCTTAAGTCCAAGATAAATGAAACATTTTGTCTCCAGAGTATGAATTGGACGATCAAATTCCGAAACGGAGAGGAAAATGAGAACAATAAAGCAAGAATTCAAGTGAATAGTGGGGTGATGGTGCGGTATGATTCATTCATTGAAATAGGGTGACATTTCATGGTATGGATACTTACTTGAACCAGGTCTGTCTGCTTCTCGTACGATGTGAGTCATACCGGCTTTGTATCCTAAGAAAGCTGTAAGATGGCATGGCCTTTCTTTCAAGAAATCCTTGGGGAAAGCCTTTACCTTACCACGATGACGCTTGCACCTCTTACGGGGGTAGAACGACATGGACCCATGCCGGGGTGCATGGTATTTTCTGTGAGACTGAAACAAACACACAAGACAAAGCCATTACTAATTTACTCTGATAAATATGAGTCGAGTGTTCAGCAGAGATTCACTCCTGAATTCCGAAGGCAGGACATACAAAAAATCCTGCCGAATTTCCATCGCAAACTGTCTGGTGCGCAGTCGGGAGCATCGATGTTCCCTTTCTGCAGACTCTAGGCACTCCGCACCCGGATTTTCTGTCAGTCCTCGCCTCAGGCAGAGATTCAGCCCCTGAGCTCTGAAGGAAGGGCTGACAAAAACTCCTGCGGACCAAGACGGAATCTTTTAAAGTGAAACGTCCCTTTATGTAAAAGAAAAATCTGCACAATTGCTCTTCTTTTACTTATAGGGTACGGAATTCAAAGTAAAACGACCGTAGGCGTAAGGAATACAAAAAATACTATAACAGGAAATTTCAAAATTACTCTTTGGGGCCGTCCATAAATTACGAAAGGCAATTTTTCCGATTTTTATGACCCCCCCTCTTCTATCGTTTAAATGCATAATTTAATAAAAAAAAATGGTGTTGAAACAAATCGGTATTGTTTTAAACATTACTAATCGCTGGTAGGAGATCATGAAAAATAACAAGTTGTATTGAAAAAATAACAGTTTTTAAATTCAAAAAGTTCAGAAAAATTCCATTTTAACCAAAAAACAATAAACGTCTAAAAAACGAAATTTGGACTAGTAAGTCTTTAAATTAACGAAATTTGGAAGAAACAAAATTTTTGCGTTTGGCTTACGTATAGGCATAGGTAAGGCACCTCTGGACCCCCTCCCGGCTCCCTGTAAGTGCATTCGGTACGTAATTTGCGGACGGCCCCTTTGTAAAGGCATACTTACATTTACTTGTTTATACTGCCCACTAATGTTACATTTATTTCTGTCTTCGGAGTCTGCTTTTTCCTCTAAAAAAAATTATTGGACGGTCTACGTAAGATTAGGGCCCTACACCCTAGGTCCAGAGGTTTCTCTGCAAGAGAAGCCCTTTACAATTGCGTGCGCAAAAATGCACGCCTCACTCTTATTTTATGGAAAAAAAGTATTTCTTTACGGCCACTCGCGGCATTTATGACATAATGTGTAATATAATGACGTTAAAATATTAGCGCCCTGGGGCGCGAACCGTGAATTTCCCAGCCCGGAGGCAAACGCTTTACCGCTTGTTTACAGCGCAGAATACAATTATGCGGTATAATTGCTAATACATAAGTGCAATTGAAGTTCTCTCTTTCTCCACCAGAGCTGAGAGCATACACGCATCGGTGTCGGTGTCACGCTCCCGCTTACTGATGATCTGCGGCAGGATTTTCTGTAAGTCTAGCCTTCCGGGCCAAGAGTGAATCTCTGCTAAACTCAAACGCCGATAAATATTGGGCAGAGCGAAAGGAAGAGCTTCACAGCCTGTATTAGAGTACACGTCATGGCAGATAAAGAATAGTGGTCACGTTTTGTACCCTCTTGACGTTAAACAGCAGCGGGTACATTCTGATTGCATGGCAACGCATGTACCCTCTGCACATCACAGCCTTTATAATGACGGCTCAAGTCGAAATGCGACCACCTTCCTTTATCCGCCTTGAATAAACGCCTAATATGTCACATGGACACTATCACAGAAGATCACCAAATATTGGTCTAGCAATGAGAGTACATGCAAGAATCAAGATGGCGAGTCTTCAGTCATAGTCAGTGCAGGCATAAGCTTACTGGGCACCATCTTAAGGTAAAAGTGGATTAGGCTGGCCTAGGCTTGGGAAAATTTTAACTTAAGAGAATCTGAAGTGGATGCTGGGATAATTGACGTATAATACAAACTAAACCGCGCATTGGGAAATTTTGGCGCAACTTGAGTCCCTTCAGGCGAGACAATAGGCAACCCAGCAACACCCAGCAAGTGTACCGGCGATATGTACCGAGACAATGGAAATGCCAGTGCCGTTGCCCGCTAAGGGTACACTCAGTTCGTACATCCGGATGTATCAACTAAGCTGAAGGCGCGTCTTTACCCTGATTTGCCCTGCTAGCTATCTTACCTCCCCCGCCTAAGTCGGGCCTGGTGCGCAGTCTAGATTGTGTTACACGTCACAAGACAAGTCGTAACAAAGTAAGATCACTGGAAAGTGATATTAGATATAAATTATTAACTGGAGTTTTAAACAATAACCTTTGAAGTTAAGTAAATTAATTAATTTTATTAAGTTGATAAGATCGGCTGGGATCCAAGAGCTCTCTTACAAATGGACTACCTTCGGCAATTTGGAACTATAATTTCTAGCACAGTTAAAAACAACGTATGTGCTATTAGTTTCTCTATGCACTAAAGTGTTTAACCAGAAGAGCCAGAATTTACAGTTCCAAATTGCAAAATGCAGTCCAAATGTGATCGTGCCATATCCGTGAAACTCAGCGTGTGAGAGTAAGATCTCTAGAAGACTAGCACATGGCTGACTTAAGTATTGAAACTGCGATTAGCCTTCATGCTGGTAAGTAGGGTGGCTGCTGGCAAGTATAAGCATTAGAAATGATGTCAAAGATTGAATGGAGCCAACAACAGTAGCGGTCACCAGCGTTAGCGGAACTTTCTGAGGGCCTATTACCCTCGCTAGAAAGTAAGCCACGGAGCAGGTAGCTTAGGCTCAATTGCCTCACAAAGAAATTTGCCTTGGCTTACTTGATGAAATACTGAGCGGGAGAGAAAGATGCAATGCTTCACACACCAGCACTGTCGCCCGCCAGGACAGACCGCATGGTTCAAGAGGCTCAAGCCAACAGCTCATCAGCCTTAGCAGAGGCGTAAGAGAGCCAATCAACTAATTGGTAGAATGAAGCACGTGCACAAGCACGGGAGCCTCATTGAAGATGTTTAGTACGAGTACGAGTTGGATTTGACCATAGATAGAATATGGAGTAGGCCACTTCATCAAAAGCCTAATGGGTGCCATGAGGGTTGGAGGCCATAGTGAATTGCTGAGGGCAATTTTGAAAGTAAATAGAGAGCGAAAACAGTCGAGTGGCTGTAAAGTGAACGAGGCCAAAGTGATGGAAGCTATAACACCGGATTAAAAAGTAACAAGATGGAGAATTGAAAGTTTTAAGCGAGTTAAAGATAGACACGTGGAAGGCCTAAACCTAAGCTACCGCATCGACAGCATGTGAGCTGCGGTGAGAAAATTTACGTAAAAACAAATGTGAAAATGAAATGAGAGAAAGCACAAATGATAAGACTAACGCAAAGGTTGATTTTCGTAAAAACTCACCATTATGCACTAAAAGATGATTTACTTCACTCAATTCGCGAACATCCAGTGCCGCATGGACGTTCCTGCACGGGCGACACGAGAAGAATGAAAATGGCGGCGATGAAAGCGGAGCGCCAACAGCGAGCGCGGCGCGGACCAATCAGAGATCTCCGCGCAGTGAGTGGGGGTTCCAAATTTCATTCGCCAATGAGAGGCCTGCTTCTTCGCGGGCAAATTTAAAATAGCGCTCCTGCAAATCCTGTGCGCATTTTTTCCACCGAGCCACATGGTTTTAGTTTTACTAAAAATTGCATAGTTTAAACCTCTACAAATTCGCGGTCATTATTCGATCCTAATTCATGAGATAATATTGGATTGGTTGTGACTGGGGGGGGGGGGGGGGATTTTTAAACGTTGTTTAATTAAAACCGTGATCTCTCATAGTTATTCTTTAAAATGAGGTCTAAATTGAGCCTTACAAAGACGACGAAAAAATCTAAGCAAAGCCAATTTCGAGAATTTGACTCACTCTCTCTATTTCTCGATGAAAGAATTATAGATGAATTATAGGGTATCGTCATCACTGTGCTGCAATTTAGTCAAGCTATGATTTTCCAGACTGTTGGTTGAATATTGCTTTATCTTGTCCATCAGAAAATACCTACAAATATAAGGCGAAAACATTTTTCTCTGCTTCCTAAATCGGGGAAAATTACCTTTCAGCAGTTTCTGGCTAAGAACGTAGTAAGTACAGTTCAAATCACCCGGATTTTAGAACCTACTCGAGTATGTGGCATGAGATTGAATTAAAATCGTATCTTTGTCCATCATGCATATTCGAGTATGAAGTACAGGAGAAGTTCCTACACACAGTCTTCTTCTTCTTCATGTCTCTATCCCATTGAGTGTAGAAACTCGCAAGCCCTAATTTTCTGAATTGAGGGGGTTTGGAAGACAAGGCGCATAAGTGCAGTTTCTGAAAAAATTTAGATATTAGGTAATGATGCTAAGTTTAGCGAAACTAGTCTTAATGCATGTGCTGTGAAAAATTTGCTCCCAAATTCCAAAAAGTCAGTTTGAACTTTCTTTTCGCCATAAGGTTCCATGTAATTTCGTAACTTCATACATGTACCTACTTATTTCTCGAAATAGCGAAAACTGCACTTATGCACCTTGTCCTCCAAGCCCCTCAATTACAATCTAACCCTCCTCCTGAGGTAAAATTGATTTTCTTTTGACGATCGGTTTTCGTCTGATTTTCTACATCTCTTTTTACTTCTTTTTGTCGAGGAGGCAAGGTAATTTTCAATTCACGTGATTAAGAATGGAAGGCATCGGACTTCATAGAACATGTATCAATAGTATTGCTAAAACATATATTTTCTTACTTTAATTCCTCGAATCCAAACTATATGTGTGATAACTTTATTATTGAATTTTTTCAGGACTCATCAAAAAAGTTGAGGAAAAATCGTACATATAACTACACACCCAACAAATCGAACATGATCTGTATTTAATTTTGTATCATTGCTGGGAAACAAACCAAAATTTGTAAGAACCACGAACGCGCGTATGCCAATAATTGGCCCACATTAATCTGATAAAAAATACTTGAGAAGGTTAATTACAATTAGTATGAACAAGTATGAATTTAATTTTGTAGCCTAAAAATCCCAGTTTCGTAAAGTTTCAACCGACTCTAGTACATGGATCACATTTTGCAAAGGGACCACTATTTATCTGGCTCACTTTAGAAAAAACATAGGTACCTAAATGACGTATTGGTTTCCCTATACAGAAAGGTTCTTTTACAGAGGAGCCAGAGAATGTGGTTACTTACTGCAAAATGTAATCCAAATTTCATAAAACCTCTAGAAATATCATCGGTTAATAAACATTTTTTTTTTAAATTCATAATACTTCTTTAATTTCATGAAGTGGAACAAATCGAGAAATAGCGCACAGAATTTTTTTTTCTTTTTAAAAAAAAGAAATCATTCAATTTTACGGGACTTCTCATTCAATTACTTATCTCTGCAGGTATTGCCTGGTTTCATTAGACCAACTCTTTGTAGCAGAACCATAGAAGGAAAAGATAAAGATTATGTACGAAAGTTTTTTTTTTTTTTTTTTATATAATGCATGCATACGAAAGTGTTAAAAATGAACATTTTTTATGTAACCATTATATAAAAAAAAGTCATAATTTTCGTGAACTTTTCGCAAACATACTAAAAAATCTTCTAATTCACAAAAAGCTCACGAAAATTATGACCTTTTTTTTTATATAATAGTTTAAAAATTTTCACTTTTAACACTTTCGTATGCATGCGATATATAAAAAAAATAGTTTATACAAAAAAATTACCGTATATAGCTTTTATCATTTTTCATATATTATGGTCAGGTCTGAACTTTGATTTTTTTTTTCATAAAATTGTTACACGTTCTTTATATAAAACTACCATTTAGATAACAGATATGTTTTTTTTATACTTGTTTTAGAAAAACAAAAATTTGTTCTGCTACTATAATAGGGGAGGTTTTTAGCGGAAATTTGACAACCTCCGTCGGTATGAACTGCATTTCTTCGCGAGCGGCGCATGCACTGCGCGGTTTCCCCGTAGATCTCGTGCAGGTAATTCCCGTCCAACGTGGATATGAATGGGGATAGTTGGCAGCAACCCAACAATAGGGAGTCGCATTGAAGAAGAAGGGAAAACCGTGGAAGATCGCTTTCAAATACTCCGATACTCGGAATTTCGGCGGGATGGACCGGGCGTGAAAGATTCCAATTCAAAGAATTCAAAGGTCGATGAGATACTGCGGCACCAGACTTTCGTTTCGTACCTGCTTAAGATGGCTTAAGTGGATCGCATTTAGCATGGAAAAACCACCGCAATATTACAATGTTTTCAAAATTTTGCAACTTCTCATTTTCTTTTAAAATTACTCATTATATCGTCACCTTCGGCCAAAGTATCACAAGCGCAATGCGACGTTTAAAAATTTCCGCCGCCGTTATACTCTTTTACAGAGAAAGTGTTCACCGAAACTGTCCGAAAATTTTACTGAAAACTCTATGTGCTGCCGATAAAATTCAGTAAAACTTTTGGACAGATATTCAACCAACAATATTTCTCTGTAAAAAAATGAAAACGGCGGAAATTTGTAAACGTTGCATGGCGCTTGTGATACTTTGGCCGGAAAGGTGACGATATGTACGGTTACTTCAAGCAAAATTTGGTGAAATTTTTTAGAAAAATATGCAAGGATTCTCTGGTAATATTTAATAAAATATCTGCATAAATTATGAAATAGCACATTGTAGGTGCTTTGCGATATATCGATTGATTTAACCTATGGAAAAAGATCGTAAATAGAGAGCTCGCAACGAACGCCTTGATAATCGATTCTTTACCAAAGCTTGTAACGGAAAAATACCGATATTCGTTCATCACGCGATCACGCCTCGGCACTTAAGTAGCATTTTTCAATGTAAAAGTTGCAACAAGTTGAAACAATGTTGGTATTAGTTGCAACAAAATTGCATCTTTCGGTCGATAAGTGCCGATTTTCGGCGATCTAATCGGAAGACAAAGTTGCAACCTGCTGAGATTGCAAATTTCCTGAACCAAAGTTGTTTAAAATCTAAAGATAGGCGACCAGCAATACTTTGAAGTTGAGACAAGTTTCAACTTAATTGCAACTAATTCCAACAATGATAGCTCCTTCCGGAGAGAGAGTAGGCAATCTGCACATCAGTCTATTAGTTGCAAGAATCAAACGATTTTGTTGCTAGTTGTTGCAACCTCTGCTACTTGGGCACTGATCCGTTTTCGCACCGGCTACTGGCTCATGGTGCATCGAAGCCAAGAGCCGGTCATCGCCTTGCAGTGATTTTTCTTCTCTATACAAAGAAAATTCTGCAAAAACTTCAAGGAATGATGTCAATTTGTTCTCCTTTATAAAGATAACAAAGAGGCGGAGATTTTCAGACACCGCAAACGAGTTATGTGATTGCCGACTTACACTGTCGATATACGGTTTTAATTTTGTCCCATTGCACAATTTTAGGGTCGTTATTAGAAATATGAATGGTAGCGGTTTTCCTGTGACGCGATTCAATTTTTGTATTGATGTTTCTGCTACACTGCTACTCAATAAACTGTTAGCACTTCTGAGTTCAGAATTTTGGGACAATTCATTGATTAATTGCTAGTAGTGAAAAAGTAAAATTTTTTCAAATAAACCAACATTGAAAAGAAAAGGTATAGTGTTTTTTTTTTAAAAAAAAACAACTCATGAAGACTCATAAAATCGTTAGTTGACACTAAATAATTAAGGCTATTTCAGACAGTCATTTGAAAGGAGTAAACAGATGAAATTTGAAGAAAAATAATTTATGAAACATAAACAACAGATTATGCAATTTTATAGAGGTATACTGGTATTATAAGATTTGTAATAGTCGAGCATGAACAAAGGGATTGAAAGTATTCAACAGTACAAAATAAATAGGAGAAAACAAAAATATTTCGTAATAAAACGTTCTGAGCACAAAATTGGAAAATATAACTAGCAGTCAAGAAGAATCAGACTGAGTTCAGCAGAAGGACCCAACCGACATCAACCTGGGTCAGCGAAAGGTCTAATTTCATTTTTCCATGCAAATGTTTGTGAAAGCTAGACACATTTCAACCTTTATTTTCAAACTTCAGTTTTAGATGTGCATGGATTATTTGGAAAAAGAGACGAAATAAAGAGGAAAAAGAGAACGAGAGAGAAAAAAGAAAATAAATGGGGGAGAAGGAAAAAAGAGAAGAAAAAAAGGAAAAGAAGGGACATAAAAATAGGTGAGGAGAGCAGAAAAAAATAAAGGAAATGCACAGCTACTTAAGTTTAAAAGCGAAACTCTGCTCCATTTTTTCCTAAGTACGGTTGTTTCTTTCTGCTGAGCTACGCCCAAACATACATTCATTAATTTAAGGTTGTTTGCTAACACTACACTAAAACTAAGTACAAAAAGTATGGTTAACTAAGGTGTGTATACTATATTAAGGGCACAAATCCCTGCAGACTGAAATTTTCTAACTGAGGAGGAGCGTCATTATTGAAACATTTATACCAATTGTTGATTGCTGTGGTTCAGCCTGTGGATTACTGAGACGGGAGCATTACAATGAAAGAATAATTTGACTCGGTTTGGAGAAGTTAACAGACCAACTCACTCAACTTTGAAAAAAATGATATTTCTTGTGTCCTATTTGTCATGGTTTTCAGCACTCGCTTCCCCAATCACAGGTGTCTTTATATTTGAGGGTGGCTCCATCCATAAACCACTCTTAAAAATGACAAAATCGGACAAAAAGCCAGTTCAAGGTAAGAAGTAGGTCCCATTTGAATCCATGCAAAATGTGTTTAACTTCTGGTGAAGAAACGTATAGACCTAAAAGCTTGAAATTTTGCAGGTATGCAAGTATGATCATTGGATACAGCTGAAACTACAAATATGAAAATATGTTTGCAAGGGAGTTCTTTCTTGAAAATTGAAAACTTGAAATTTTTCTGAGCCATATTTCGCATAAAAAAGTTTTATGTCTACACTTACAACTCTACTTCCACTTATAGCCCTAATTTCAAAATTAAAAAAAAGTGTATTAAGATAGAACTTTTAGTTTCTAAAAAGACATGCAGAAGATGGTAAAAAACACTTTTTTTCAAATTCGAGAAAAAGGCGAGAGAGAGAAAAAAAGGCGAGAGAAAAAAAACAAAAGAAAACCAAAAACAAAAACATACCCAAATCAACCTTGCACGGAAGCTCGTCATTTTTGAAGAAGAATAATTAGAAGAGTGATTTACTGAAGTATAAAATGTTATGGATAATTTTGAAGCTGGGAGCCTCCTCTATAAACACAGTTAAAAAAATAAAAAAATAAATTTTATTATTTGGGACATACTTCTTACTTCAACAATGCCTGTCTTCTCATAGAAATTGATTCCATCCAAAAATGAGGGTAAAGTTGATAAATAACTTCCAAGAACCAATTTGTAAGTTATAAGTATGAGGCCCTCATACAAACCAGGCATCAAAAAGTATAGTTTTCCAGACAGAATTTAGTAGTCTAGAACTCCTCTCAACATACCTTCAAACGTCATTATTGTTACTATCTCCTCTTGATGACGTGAACGAATGATTATAAAATTAAGGTAGATTCACAAGAGAAAGAAAGCTTCCAGACCCCCTCCTCGACAATATTTAAATTATTCAACCTTTTTTGTTTCTTTTTCATAAAGGTACGTACATTTCATTGATCAAAAAAGTTAGCTTAAAATTCTTTTTAGAGAGATCTCTTGTCTACTGAGTTTCATACTGATTCAGTTCAAGAAGAGTGATTATCAAGCGTGCAGCAATGACCATCCTATCCATTTTTTACAGCCTTACTGAACAAACAATGAGAATTCAGAAACTTTAAGGAGTTTGGATGATTCAATTATTCAAAGTGGACCTGAGAACGTTGATTGTGAGTCAAAGACAAGAATTTTCGAGGAGCCTTCCCGAGTTAAAGCAAAATTTAAATTTATCACAGAAACAGAGAGTTCATTCCCACTTAGGGCGTTTCTCAGGAATAATAGCGTTTTCTACATTATCCAGGGTACTTGCAAGCAGCGCATCCTCATCATTTTCCCCGTTCAGATCTTCAAAATAATCGTCTATAGTTGGCTGAAGATTTGCCTGCAAATAAAAGATGATTCTCAAAGTTTTTTTACTTTCACAGAAATTCACTAAAAATATACTTATCTAATTTCGATGTGTGTCTTTCCTATAAATGTTTTTCAATAACAACTTAGAATGGTTTAGTCACTGGCACTGAAGCAAGTTAAACATTTAAAATAAACATTTTGATGGCTAAAATGCGACAACGTACCTCCATTGCAGTGTTTCAAAATCTCCACTCATAGTTTATTTTTTCAGAGACGAACAAGTCGAATTTGTAGCTTGAAAGGTACACAGAATATTCTACTAACAGGGATGACAAATTCAGGAAGTTTTCAAGAAATTACGTTGACTAGTTTTCCAAAGAAAAAATAAAGTTACTGAAATTTCATTCTGTAAAAAAAAAAATGTTTACTTCTCTTTCCAATAAGTGATAAAAAAAGGAGAAATAATTTTGCAGCCCACCGCCTCTGTTTTCTATGGGCCTGTCGCAAACTTTTGCTAGAGCAAAAATAAGAGTCGTTACTCATAGAAAGTGTCTTAAAAATCACGATGAGCGCATTGGCAAAGTCTGAAATGCACTCCTTACTTCACAATTTGCATAAGAAATTTGCGTTTATTCGAGCTACCCGCCTCAAAACGATACCACGGCACAGGTGAACATTTTGCTAGAGGAGTCATTCCATCCATCCCCTGCTCACGAGGATACTACGCAATATTCAACATAGCCGACACCAGTCCGCCAAAACACATGTGACGGGATGATGATTCTAACCACCTGATAACAATTGGCACGTTTACATTAACATTTTTCTTGCATTGTTAGATATCCGCCTTGATTGACCTCGTGCTCTCATCAACTTATGCGCAGAAGCGTCAGCCATGTTGAGCAGGGATTGAATGGGACGACTCCTTTAACGAAATATTCACCTGTGCCACCAAGTATCCTTTTTGAAGCAGGAATCATAAAAAAAAGCAAATTTCTTACGCAGACAGTGAAGGTAGAAGTGCATTTCAGAGTTTGCAGATGTGCTCAAATTGATTTTTGAGACATTATCTGTAAGGAACATCTCTCATTTTGGTTCTGGCAAAAGTTTGCAACAGGCCCATTAATTTCTTAACTTCAATGGATAAACCTACTCAATGAATAAGATGAACTAAGAGGCTTACCGATGATGCATTGACCGCCGTTGTATCTGCCGTGGAGAATGTGTCTTTGCTCAATCCTGCTTGATTGAGAATATTTAATTTTTTTTCCACCAGCGGCCACAGATAATCGTCCGCTGTGCCTTTAGCAATGAGATACTGCACAACAACACTGCTTTCTTGGCCGATACGATGGGCTCGATCTTCAGCTTGGCACAAAATCTGTGGGTTAAAATTTTGAATAAATTATAATAACTTGTTCAATTAGATAGAGGACTTAAACAGTCCGGTCCCCCTGTTGAAAATTTATCAAGAGAGATAAATAAGGTGAAAATAGTAAAAAATGGTAAAATGAAGAATTTGCTGAAAAATAAAAATGAGAGATGAGTTTTATTTTTGAATGAAAACCACTGAGTAAGCTTAGCACTATATGTAACATCCCCGATTCCTAAATTGAACAACTATTGGACGAGTTAAGACAGGATTTATGATCTGATCTGTTAAACTGCTCTGTTAAAATAAGCAATGATGATTTAAGACATTACACAGAAGTAAATTTCTGTCTTCTTGAATCTGTTTCTCCAAATTCTAAAATCGGAAAAATTGTAAAAAATACTCTCGCCTCAGCTTATTGAGGCAGCATAAAATTCTCTTGCGAAAATTTGCCATTCAGTTGTAACAGTGCAAGCAGGCAAAACATGTCAAATCAAAAAATCTAGATTTTAGGATAAAGTTGACGATTAAATTATATTTTTTTTTCTTTTAATAATTTATCTATTCAAATTTTTGATCTCATTCTGTATGTTCAAAACAAACAGCAACCTTCCACATTGTGTTAATTTTAAGACAGTTGCTATTTGTCACTTTTTGGCAAAGATCCCTAAAAAAAACTGGGAACTTTTTTTCAGATTCTTTCAGAGGGAAATTAGTCTCTGCATCCTTACAACAATAATAACATTCTAGCAGTCTTGCAATCAAGTCATGTCCATGCTGTGTTAGTGCATTTTTATCACCAAAAAAGAATTTCATCCATATCTAAAAGGTTCTCATTGGGAACTTCAAACTTCCTTCTTTCCTGAAAACTTAATTGGGTTTTTCTCACATCAATATTTTCCAGCTCTGGGCCTTCCATCCCTATTACCTCATTTAACCTCAAAGTTCTTACAATTAATTTTGCGCCTAAATTTTTGCACTTTTTTCATGCAAGGAGTGAAAAAAGCTTCCTTGCTATAAGCAGCACAGAGGCGATATCCTGTAAGAAATTTTTCTTAGAAGGACTTTGATTAGCATTTTGGACTTTGACCTGGATTTTAATGCTTAAAATCTGACTCACTGGAATGAAAAGTAGGTATGAAAAAGACAATAAAACACCTTGGGAAATACTTTGGCACTCAACTTGTTAAATGGTTGAATCGCAAATCCCCCATTCTTGCAGGAACTGTATCTCTACACAGCAGCTTGTTGCGAATCATAACAATTAGCATTTTACTGTCATTTGCAAAAAACATATAAAATAATTTGGAAACTTACACCTGGATTCCAAAAAAGTTCTGCAAATACAACTAGGTTTGCAGCTGTCAGCGTCAAACCTGTGCTAGCAGCTGTAATTGAGAGAACTGCAACCCGGAATTTATCGTCAAATTGAAACTGGTCACACACATCTTTCCTTTCGTCTGAGGAAACACCGCCATCAATGCGGATGTAGCTGCAAAGGATAAAATAGGAAGATTTTTCACTGGTCTTCAAGAGTTCCACAAAGAACAAGGAGAAGTAACTGCGCTAAAGTTGAAGCAGTACGCACTGTGCGATCAAATTAAAATCAATATTTATCTATTTGCCTTGAAATTAGTAAAAATTTCACTATTTTAAATGCAGATTTACAACTATTAAAGGTTCCAAAAAATTAATGAAAACTGAAAGATTTTACTTTGATACAACGTCCAGTTTTCCTTTTCTCAGATTTCTACACTGATCCATTTCAGCCGTTACCTAGCAGTATTTTCTAGTAGTTTTAAGTGACCATGCAGTAAGCATATTACATTCTCTTTTTGCCTTTTAGCTCTGAGAAGTAGCTGCAATTTCCCAGAGAAAGGGTAAAGTTAATGATATGTTTTGAAGATAGCACTGAGTAACTTTTGGTCATCTGAAACAGTACTCCTCAGAAATTTACATCTCTTTGAGGAATGATAAATCTCCTCTAAAATGCTTTATTGCTTCATTCATGTGACAGGAAATTAAATTGAGGAAAACCGTACACTCTCTTTTTTATGAATACATTACATCGAAGTGATTATTTTAAAATTCTTGCCGTAAAGAGCAGTTTTCAGTGTTGTGAAAAAAATAAGGGTAAATATGTGCTTCAGAAAAGCAAAAGACGGTTTATCTTTCATTTTTTTTTATTTTCTGCGTGTATGTGGAAGTTTTGAAAGTAAGTAACTTACTAAGTTTTCTTCTCTTCTAACAGTTCGCTGATTGCATCCAGCACATCTGTGTGATGGGCAAAAATCAGAAATTTGCTCCCTATCTCCAAAAGATCAGAAACATAATTCCTGAAATTACGAAACAAAATATTTAGCCAGTGGTTTCTGAAAAGTGGTTCTGAAAAGCCAGTGGTTTCTGTTTAAGGTGTTATCCCAAACAAAAATAAATAGGGAAGAGGTACCACAAATTATAATAAATACAAATTTTGCAGCTTTTTTCTTGCTTGAAAAATTTCAGCAATTATTTACATATTTGTGATTTTTTATTTTCTTTTACTTGTGTACTAGGACTGTCCCAAAAGGTCTGAGACTGGTGCTGTAGCTTCTGATCAGGGAGCAAAAAAGCTGGTTTTCATTGCGTTTGATGAAAAAACCAATTTTTGTCAAAGTTGCAAAGTTGTGAAAGTCAGAAATAAGAAAAAATTGACCCCTCACAGTTTTGAACAAAAGTTTTTTCCCCGGAAAAAGCTCTTCAAACACAATTTTCTGGACTTTACAGACTGAATAAACTTGGCATCACTGTTCATGTGTTGTCAAACTTTTTACATAACAATAGCAACAAGATTTGCATTGTCGCACAACATGCTGACTTGCACACAAAGTTCTGCCACTTGGATATTCGCAAGCGAAAGCTTTTTACTTTGCTTTTTACTTGAATTTGATGGAGTGTTTTGGTCATCATGAAAAACTGTTTCTTCCCTAGTTCTTCATCCTTTCCTACACAAAAACACAGAATCTTTGGGTGAAAAGCACTGAGCAAACCAAAATCACACCAAGTTACAACACCAGTCTCTGTAAGAGAGAAACTTTGAATAAAAGGTTAATTATCTTTAATCAAAGCCCCATTTAATAAATTTCTTAAAATTGAGAGAGAGTTATGATGAGAAATTCTCCTCTTAAACTTGTATTAGCTTTCTAGATGAGAGATAATTTGTATAAAGAAAATTGCATTCTTCCTAGATATTTTCAGGGACACTCGATTTAGCCAAAAAAAAAAAAAATTGTCTTAAAATTCCCAGAAAAAAAATACCGATTGTTCGGAAAATACCCGTAGTATTAGATGATATTTGGCAATTTTCTTACTTAGCACAGCAGTGCCTTAACTGAATCATATTAGCAGGAGGAAATCAACAGAATTAATATGTTGTAAAAATTGTGCATCTTTGTCTTTGTCTAAAAAATGCGTAGCATGGCAAATACTTTTAGTTTTCCTATTGAAAAATTGTTAATTTTAGGGGGGAAGCAATCAAGGAAATTTTATTACTGTACATATATTTATTGTCTTCTAAAACAAAGAAGAAGTTGCACGATTTTGGAAACGATGTAGTCACGTTGATTCTCTTCTGCTAAATGTAATCCGATTATTTATGAGCTGATCGTATCAAGATGAGTACATACTTAATTGCCGTTAATTTACATTTTCCAGTCTCCGAGAAATAGGTGAGTAGGCAGCTCCTTTTCTCACACCCTTTCAGATCTTCCGAACTCAACCTTTGAGAGAGGGCGTTCATTGCGGATGTGTCTTTCTTTACCATTTCTGAGGGGAGAAGCACTACTTTTCTGGAAATGGAGAATGAGAATAATTTTAGGACAAGATAGGAGACATTGCTTATCAGTACTATGACATTACTTCGCTTACACGGTGACGTATAGGCAAGGAAACTACAAGAACACATTTCTTGATTGCTTAATTTCAACATTTTCTCTCTCACTACATTTGTTTTTGGCTGAGTGTTACTGGAAATTCTTGTAAGAAATTTGCCAAGCATATTCTTGGGAGCGCAACGAATGATTACACAAAATTTTGTGTGTTAACGATTGTCAATGATTTTTCTAAAAAGTAAAATGAGACAGGAAAATGGCAACTTTATAAGTTGAGATCCATGGATGGTAACGTGATTTCACACTCCAGTATAACCTCGAGGGAGGAAATAAAGTAAACTAAGGAAATTGCCACCCCTTGCTTGTCCTCCTTCTATCTGGGAAAGTAAACATTTTTCATGTTTGATAAACAATATCATAAGATGCTACTGTTGTTCAAGATGCTTAAAAATGCAAAAAAAAAAAAAAAAAAAAAAAAAAAAAAAAAAAAAAAATTGATGCACGAATAAGTTTTTATTACTGTCACAATTGTTGCTTGAGCAAGCAGACTGCTTTGTAGATCTCGATGTAACCATTTTAGATACATCTCGCTCTGGAGGTAAATACATACCGAATCTTAGCTGGGAGTTGAGTAAGAACATCGGACTTCAATCGTCTAATTAGGAATTTTTCTCGTAAAACAAGATTTAACTCCTCCATATTCGAGCAGCCGCTGAAATCCCAACCGAATCTGCCTTGATGTCCATTGCAATATCTGACTCCAAAGTCTTTCCTAGAATCAAAGAAACATTTTAATAAAATCATTTGCTTTGAAGTATTTACATTAAATGAAATTTTACAGTTTCTCACTCCAGTTCAATCAACTTTTGGATGAAAATCACTAAATTTAACGTGACACGCTCAAACACATAGCAAACAAATTTTAAGAGAAGGGGGATCAAATGGTAAGCATCATTGAAAATCGCAGATAGTGATATTTTTTGAGGGGAAAAATTGTAGCTTGAGGAAGAGCGATCCAAACCTCCTGAACTTCATGATTTTTGAAGGATGCGAAAACTCGGTGTTTGAATAGATCTAATTTTTTTTATTTGCTGATCAATGATCTGAAATCATCAAAACATGATTCTATAACTAGCGCAACTGACATATTCTTTAAATACTGCACGAAGTTCTACTGTCTCATTTAATAACCGATAATATTTTTTGTTGATTCATTCTTTTCTGTTGTGAGGAGGGTATTTGTATCCTTGATTGCTCCTACAGACACAAATAGTGTGGACATACACTATACCAGGGGGCTGATTATTAAAACTGATGGATAAAGCAATAGACAAAGAAGATAAATGGAAAAATGAATGATCCTATAGGTTAAACTGGGTGGTCGTTGTGGACCAAAAAAATGATGGACTAACTATAGGGTCTCTCCTGGGTTGTCGTAGTCTATCACTTAGGTACCTTCTTTGCCCATTGTAAACATCCATTTCCACAGATAGGATCTCTCCATTTTCTCTATGTTTTCTTTGCCTATCGATTCCAATACTCAGCCCGTAGAAATGGAAAGGTGAATTACCGCAAATCAAGTATTTAAGAAAACTATTTTAATCCTGGAAGCATTGGCTTATGATCTTCTTTTTTTCAATAGAAATTCATTCAGTTTTTTTTTTTTTTTGCACCTAAATACTTTTTCCTCGTCTAGAGCCTGAGATACTGTACCAAAAAATGGAAATAAAAATAAATACAACAAAATAACTCACATGCCGACCCATTTGGGCGATATCGCCCGCAACTGGTTGTACAACTCCATCGGCCTGGACAATGCAGGTGTCCCACTCAGTAAAATACATCTTTTAGCATTTTCTATTAACTTTGAACCAGATTTGGCCCTGGCACTCTTGGCGTTTTTCAGTAAATGACTCTCATCCTAGAAGCAAATCAGAAGGTTTAAAATAAAAAAAAGTGCTGGATAAACAAGAGGGTTAGCTTCAGAACAGGACAGAAACAGGCATGTTTTCAGTTTTCAGAGAAGCTAATATTGTAATTCTAGATAAGTTAGGAGCGAAAACTATTTTTACACTATTGTACCAAACTACAAAGGAACTAACTTTGCACAAAAACTATCTAAACGCTCATAACCTATTCTTTAGGATGTTAGAGATGGCTGTAGGTCAAAAATTCAATCAAAGATGTTTTGATCTCACTTGACTAAGATTGTATTTCTGAGGGTCTTTTTCCCTGGGACATTTAAAATACTTACAGATGACTAAAAACCGAAACCACACATCCCCAGGGTGGTGTTTTAAAATTTCCGCTCCAATTTCATTGGAACAGGCCGACTTTATGGTCTGAAATTTATATAGAATATTCTACTGACAGAAAGAAAAAATTGAGGCAATTTTCAATGAATTACATTGAATAATTTTGCAAAGAAAAAATAGAGAATGACATAAAGTCTGCACGTTACCAACAGAGATGCGTGGTTTTGCATTTTGGCCATTGATGTGCAAATAAAAAATTTACCATTATAATGACTCCAAATTTATAAGACAAGAGTAGAGCTTCCATTCTGCTCATGAGATCGTAGGAAATAATAACAACTAGAGGGTTTATAACTTCATCCTTACTACTAGTGAATACATGAATTCTGACTGTTGGGACTTTGGGTAGATGAGTGATTATTTCTTGCTCCCATTGGTACCTGAAAGAGTAATTTAAAAAGAAAATAAAAGAAAAATGTTTAAGAAAAATTTTAGGGGCACGATATTTGCAGAAATAAGTTTAAACAATGCAATACTTAAATCTATTTATACTTGTTCAAAGCTCAAGAATATTCTCTTAGAAGAATTTAAAGGGAGAGAACTTATTTAGTCACTCTGTCATTAGAGATATCTCTGATCAAAGGCTGAACTCGGTTCCCTCGACATTTAAGAATAGTTCTTCCCCCTGATTTTCCTTTTGTTCTCAACTTTTCAGAATATTGATTTTTAAAATAAATTGTTTGTAATTTATAAAATAATTAATTAATTTGAGATCAATTAGGATTTTTACTGTCCGTTTATTAGGTCGAAATTCTTCTGTTTGACTGTGATCTCTGGAAGGAGGTCTTGCCTGGCAGCCTTTTCTAAATTTAATCGGCAGGGAAAGAGGAACAATTACTCCCTGTCACTAACTAAAAAAACTACCAAGTTTTGGAAAATCATATTGCTTTTTAAGTCCCTTTTCTTCATTACAAGTAAGCTTGAAATTCTAAGTTTCAATTTATCATAGAAAAGGAACTGTCACAGGCAGCAGGCGTTTTTTACTTACCTGTCTGCACTTTCACAAAATTTTGCAAGAACAACAATAACCTTTACTAAAACTACAAAGCTCAAAAAAAGCTCTTAAATTTGAGGCGATACTGATTGAGATAAACTGACACCTATGAGAGAGTTCACGTCTAAATTCAGTTAATCTTTGATGATGATACTCAAGATGCTGCGAAGCAGACATTAGTTAATATAATGATTATATGTAGTCTCTATATATTAATTTTAATCCATGAGTTAGAGTCCAACGACCCATCTATTAAAGTTACCTTAAGTCCTGGAAATACTATTAACTATGTACCACTATCGTAAAAACACTTGATACTTAGTAGTTGTGTTCTGACTAAAAGTTAAAAAAAAAGAAGAAATAGGGCTAAATACATTGACAAGGTTGCCACTTTGGGTGATAACTTCCAAGTTTCAAGGTTATTTTCACTCCTCTGGTCATAGTAACTTTCCTGTGGTAGTATCAGACTTCATCTGTGCATGAAACTACAAAATTTCACATGGGAATAGATGGCTTCAACAAAAATCCCTGCTGCAGGCAACGATTCCATTAGTAGGCAAAATATTCTGAAAACTTGGGCATGCTTTCAGTGACAAGAAGTGTGAATTTAAGTTTCTCTACCTCATACTAGATGGACAGACGATGAGGAGAGGCCAATCAGAATGGTAATAATCGGCAATACCCAGAGCTTGAATGGTCTTACCGAGACCCATATCATCAGCAATTATACATCTTCCTTGCTTGGAAATTCCAAACCTGTAATTAGATTAGATTGTCACAAGAATATTACAGTCAAAAACAACGAAATTGAAATCTTGATGAAAATAAAATTGACTTTAAAAATATTAAACTTTTTTATACCCAGCACCAGTTTTCATGGCAGCTCACAAGGAAAAGTCTGGAGAAAATAAATATGTTGGTAGTATTGCTTTCAGAAGTGTTTTACTAACATTGTGAGAAACACACACACACACACACCTATACTTGCACTCTAACACAGAAAACCTTCCAAAAGTGTCATGCCATGCTTAATGGATGATCTTTTTATGTTCGTGGTATCAAAACATAGTTTTGAATAAAATCTAGCCAAAGATTGAATCTAGTTTGTTAGACAATAAAAATTATTGGATTAACAATTGTCACAACCTCTTTTGACAAAATAATTAAAGGAATGGACCACTAGACAAGGTATAAATTTAAGCATTCTGATATATTTTCTCTTCAAAATTTCACTGAGAACATATTCGAATACGAAAATTACAAAAACTAACTCCTAATCAAGATATTATTATTTTTAAATGGCATCGATATAAAAAAAAAAAAAGTGATAATAAATAAAAAATGAAAGTTTACTTACTTCACACCATCTCGCTGGAAAGCATATAATGAGTCAAGAAGTTTCGGTTCGATACGAGACAGATCTATGTTCATTTCTGAGTATTTCTTTTCTGGATTGCGAAATATCTGGACCAAAAATGGAATTTCGAGAAATTAGAGGCAGTACGTAAACTCATTTTGAAACTAAAAGGGATCTCTTCAAAATCAAAGAATGCCAATAAGTGCGAGCCGATATAATAAAAATTTAACACCGTAGAGACTTGTAGCTACAAGAATATTTTGGAAGCATCAGTTTTTCAAAGATTCCATCTGATAATAAAGAAATAAAAAATATTGCAAACGTTAAAATTTTGCTACAAATTTCTGAGAGTAATGTTAAGTGCTCAGCAATTTTGTCAGTAAATGATCTTCCGTCAAAAATAAAGTAACTCTTCAAATATGTGGACCCTGTATTATTCTTCAGAGAAGCAAGAAAGCTCCTACTCAGAGAGGCCTTCTGTAGTGATGATGAATTCCTGGGGGAAAATTATATAAACCATAATTACTAACAATATAAACTATTAATAATTAAAATGCTTTAATGGGTCATTATCACCCACTACTTTTAATTCATTTTCTGAAAATACGGAGTGAATTAAGCTCCTGGAAATAATTTTTCCAGTTTATTTTAAACTCAAAATGGCGAAAAATCCGTGTTTTACAAGTGCTGAAAATGGGACATGTTTGAAATAATATTTTTGGCAGGCACTGATGACGTAGCCAGGTAGGGGAAATGGCGTTTGCTGATTGGCTCAACTCATATTCAAACATGGCCTTGCTGCGTCAACTCAACTAAGTATCAGCTTTTGATTCTCCGTTTATCCTTTTACTTAGAGATGATTTCTTGGATTTTTCAAAGAACTTTTTGGGTTTTTTACAAAATTTTACACAAGAGAAACTGTACTACAATGCTACTAAAGTTCCTTGCCACTGATTAATAATAGCTTAGATTGCTTAAGTAGGAAAATATTATTAGAGGCATTGAATTTATTACCCGTAGGACATAATTCGGTATTGCACCAATGGTAACATCAGGTTTAAATTTGTCAAGACCTTTTCGGAAACATTCATATTGTGACAAGGGAAAACTCCATACGGTATTTTTGACATCTGAAAATTAGATGGAAACAAATGTTATACTAAGTGGTGCACTGACAGATTAAATGCAAGATAGTGCATTGAACCTCGTTTAGCAGTTGCTGCTGACTAATGTATTTGCTAAAAATCAGTTCTCCGGCTTCTCCGATTGATTAACAGATAAGTTCTTTGAGAATTAGCTATTTGACATTGTTTGTCCAATGATGAGCTATTTTATCTAACTTTGCAGACTAGGATAGGAATTAATCACTCAAGTCACTATATTTAGGTTTGATTTTCTGGTTCTGTTCTACTATTATTTCTTCTTTGTTCCTCTAATATGCTAAAATGTCTTCTTAGAATATTGATAGTTTTCAGAGCTATTCTAACAGGGGATCATCTCCGCTAAAAATAAGAGATAATAGTCAGTCAATTAAAGCTTTCAATGTTTTTCCGAGTGAATTTCATAGCTCTGGAGCTCTTACACCTAGCTTTGATATCACATTATTTGTAGGCCTCCTATGGTGTAGTGGTTGTAGCGCTAGCTCTGTGATCAGGAGGTCCCGGGTTCGATTCCCGGCCAGGCAACCCGAGTTTGATGGTCTCAAACAATGGTTGCCTGGGACTGGTTGTAGGGACGGAGGATGGACAGGACTAAACGCAAGGATTAGCACTCATAGGCTATTGGAAGTACCTAGTAAAAAAAAATTATTAAGTGCAACATTTAAATCATACCTAAAAATGATGAAAATACTTGCCATAATTTTTCCCAGGGATAGATTTAAAATAATCGATAAGGTCGGATTTGTACCCGACCTTCACACTGAATCGGTCTGGTGCTGATAACCAGCAAGTGCCAGTGATCGTTCTGGGGGAGCTCACTGCAGAGGGCCAATTTGTCTGACTTTTATCACTATTGGTTCTTTCGTTGGAGAAAGCATTTTTACTTGAAGTAGCGTTGGTCTGAGAGCTTTGAGATGAGGTAAACCAAGTCTTTGGATTCTTGTAGTCTCTGGAATTGTTTGCCGATGATACTGGAGACTTGACGTCAGGCCTGGTAGGGTTGTTATTGACACTGTGATTCAGGGGAGAGAATATACCCTTGCTTGGGCCTCCACTGGCTGGGCTGGGTCTGACTGAAGTGCTGCTATGAGGGATATTAACACCTGCTGCTTTCAATCTATTCAGAGCTTTCAGACGATTCTCTTCAATTCGTTTCTTCTGCTCCTCTGTTAAAGATGACATGTCTGCCTATAGGCCAAAACAAACAAAGGTTGCAATTAAAAGCACGACTAGTTAAAGCGCTACAAGTTCTGAATATGCGCAAGTATGGATGTGCTCTCTTCCCATGCGCATGCAGGATGGACCAAGATTCAAGCGGAGTGTCAAAGAGTTTATTCCAACTCCAAGCTACGTTAAAAATTACGGATGATCCACGAAAAAATTGCTACTTACTTATTCATAAAAGTTGGGGATATAAAGTAACATATCATGTAATTCATTGACGGAGCGTTGTTAGTTGGTGTTGGATGAATACCTTTCCCAATTTTCAAATTGCGCGTCAAAACCATTGACGTATAATACAATCGTACACCGCGTATTGGGCCCGACTTTGGGCGGGGAAGGTAAGACAGCTAGGGGGGTAAAGACGCGCCTTCAGCCTAGTTGATACCGCCGGATATACGAGCTAAGTGTACCCGTATCAGGCAACGGCACTGGCAAGACTGGCATTTCCACGAATTCCACCATTGTCTCGCCGGTACACTTGCTGTGTGTTGCTGGGTTGCCTATCGTCTCGCTTGAATTTCGTAATGCGCGGTCTAGATTGTATTATACGTCAATGGTCAAAACAAAAACAATGTGGAGGTCCAATCCGGAGTCTCAACAGTCACCGTTTTATTTTGAGGTTATGGCAAGTACATTCCAAGATTTTTAAGTAATTTTACTGTAATTTTACTACTTTTACTTTAATCAGCCGGGAATCGTTTCAGTCGTGTATTGTGAACTGCCAAAAGTTTCAGAATGAATTGTGACAATCAAGAATCGTTTTCACCCCAGTTATAGATTTACCTCACTCGAGCCTCACTTTGTTCAATATCGTCGCACTAATAAAATGTCTTGCACAGTTAAACTGAAAAATATGAATCGACTCACACCACTGTTACTTTCTAAGAAAAGCCCATCAATTTGGTTTGATCGTGGCCTAAAAATTTCTGCAGTCTTCGGCAGTCAATTGAGTGATGAATTTCCAATCAAATGGACGCGTCCAGAGAAGTTAAAATTCTACGATCCAAGGGTGACCGGTGATTTAAAACCTCTGCCTCCACTACCTTTGGACAAATTGCCCAAAGCTTATGAAGATCTCGAAGAAATGAAAGAGTAAGTTACCATTTAAGTTGTGAAAGAAGGCCATAGCATGTGGTAAATAGCCCTGTGAGTACGAAATGTGACTCCCTGTGCTGTTGACCCTCTCTGTTTACGAGTATTATTACGAAACTTCAAAGTAATCACAAAATTGCTTAATACACCTCAGGATTAGGTTCAGAGTGAAGTTGTTAACATGAATTTATTGTAACTAGATTTAAATCAAATTTTAATTTTTTTAAAATTTTTTTTTGTAATTAAAGCATTTTAAATGAATTTTCTCCCAGTCAGAAACACTCAGAGCTGGTAAGTACAGCAGTCCAAATTCGTAAAATTAATTGATTTTGGTATTTTTTTTATTAGAAAATCTTTACTGCTTATCAAAGGGAACAGAAGTAGTGGCCTCTCTGTTTCCTCTGCCAATGCTTAGGGGTGTTAAAACACCGCAGAATTTGTCAGGTATCCAGAGTTGCTCTAAAATGGATCGGAGTAAAGGGCTTTATTTATCTCAACCACTGAGGTTTGCCATGAACTGCCTTACTTTTTTATCCTGTGCCTGAATTGTTGACTTTTTATTGAACAGCTTTGATCGATAGATAGCATTGATAAGATAGGGATTTAACGGCCAGGATCATTGGATAACGATTCAACAATTGAGCCGCTGGTCCAGTGCAATCAATATGTTCCTGGAATGTGTGGATTCCTCATCTGAGGTGATCGTCGAGTGGTTATGTGCAATCCGAATCTGAACTGTCGATAATCCAATCCATCTTGCTCCATTGATCATAAGGAAAATCCTAGGGAACATGTCTTGCTCATGATCTCTCAGCCATGCTGAGGTTGACAAGTAAGCTAAATAGATCCGCAGTAGGTCACAGTATCATGTGTCTGCGCACAGACTGGATGGTATCAAGTGATCATTTGCCTGATAAAGAACTGCCAGCATAAAGTTGCCATTCATTCGATACTCAAAGGAAGGTTCTTTTTTTTAACCAATTCCAATTAGCCTATCGGCTAATCCCACGCTTATAACCCCAGCCCCAGGTGACCATTGCCTGAGACCATCAAACTCAGATCACCTGGCCGGGAATCGAACCTGGGACCTCTTGGTCATAAGGCCAGCGCTACATCGATTCGATCTGTCTGGTACCTGGGTTTAATAAATACAATCCAACATCCCTATTAAGAAAGAAATTGGGCGGATTAAGTTGTTTCCTCTATCATTCCCATCAACCTCTTGAGGCTATTAGGTAGAATTGTTACAAATTCATTTTGAGGGCTAAAGTGCTGAACGAAGCATCTCCATCGCAATGTTTCAAAATTTCTGCTCCTATTTTATTTTTTCAAAGAGAAACAAGCCAACTTTCTAGCTTGAGATCTATGAAGAATACTTGCCACCAGAGAAGAAAAATTGAGGAACTTTTCAAGAAAATACGTGACAAAATTTCCTAAGAAAAAATGAACTGTGACAGAAAGTCTGCTACTTACGTCCCAAACAAAATACAAGGTTTTGCACTTTAGCCATTGGCATGGCATAAGCTGGAAATATCCTTGTAAAATGTAGCCCAAAAGCTAGAAAGATCCTCTAAAACTTAATGCTGAAACAGCCGTTAGTTTTCTCTCTAAGAAATGAAGTGAAAGCGAGGTAAGAAAACACTACTGCTGCTTTGAGGTCGATTTCCTGTATCCTAAGATATTAACATGTCTTTTTATTCTCTCCTTCCAGTGCTCATCCTTTGGTGAAACTAGTATTTTCTTGTGGGCATCAAGGTAGAAGAGTTGCTGCAGCAGAGGTGAAAGAAGAGATGCTGAACTCAGTCAAAGCTCATGAATTTGACACAACATCAATGGAGGCTAAAAGTAAGTTTCAATTTATGTTTGATATCCAAGTGCAAGCATATTGACCCTGAAACTGCGGAAACGCACATTGAGTGCTCAGGAACATTACTTTCTTACTGACAATGGAAATGTTGCATGTGTGTGGAATTTGCGATTTGACAATTGATTCTTATGCAAAAGTTCGCAAGAAACACGATGGTGCCACTGGTTTTCTCGGAAATCAACTCCCAAGCTCAAAAAAAGCTCTCAAGTCGAGGCCAAAAATGGAGGGGATATCCCACGCTATCCTGAGAGTCCACCTCTACGTCAAGACAAACTCTCCATGCTCAGACAGAGAGCAAATACATTAGCAGGGTTGCCGTGTTTTCAGTTTTAGAGTCCCCAAATAAAGTGGCAGCTCTGTCAATGTATTTGCTCCCTATCTTTGCATGGAGAGTTTGTCTTGATGTAGACATGGACTCTCAGGATAGCATGGGTTATTCCCTCCATTACAGCCTCAACTTTGAGAGCGTTTTTTGTGCTTGGGAGTTAATTGCAGAGAAAATCAGTCGGACCATCGTGTTTCTTGTGAATTTTTAAATAAGAACCAATAGTCAAATCGCAAATTCCTCGCACATGCAACATCTCCATTTTGACGAAAATGAGTTAGCGACTTTTCCGCATTCTTCAGTAAGATATATGCAACCTGATGTTCTTAGCTTTTTCCAACTCCTCATGAGAGTGCTGTAAAGAAGCTGAAGTGTATGAAAAAATTGGAAATCTAACCATAAAATTACTAAAATGGGGAAGTATCCTCTTTGTCCTGCAAAATCGTCAGGTTGCAGGTAAGCGGTATTGTTCCTCAGCCATCAATATCTCGTTCGCAGTGTTTCAAAATTTCTGATCCTAGGTATTTTCTCTAGCAGAGGAAACTGAGCCAACACTGTTGCTTGAAATGCTCAGTGAATATTTATCATTCAGAAAAAAAATCAGGGAAGTTTTTGAAAAATGGCACGAAGTACTTTTCATTTAAAAAATACATCATGACAGGAAGTGTGCATCATCGCAAACCAAGATATCGACGGTGAAACTACCAAACCACGTATCTCGTTTGCGGTGTTTAAAAATCTAAGCTCGCATTTTATTTTTTTGAAGTAGACCAAATCAATATCATTCCTTGAAATTTTCACAGAATTTTCTTCGCAAGATGAGGAAAAATCACAAAAATTTTCAAGACTGGACGTTAAGTAGTTTTTCATTTAAAAAATAAAGTATGACAGGAAGTCTACGACGTCGCAAACCGAGATACGTGGTTTGGTAGTTTCACCGTCGATATGTGCTTTTGCTGTTTCATTGTCGATAAAGAAAGCTAAAGTAGAAGAATCAAGATATCTCCAGTCCCAGTCCTAGAGCATTATGCATATCGATGGCTAAAACGCAAAACCATGCATCTCCATTGCTCTGTTTCTAGATTTCCGCTCCTTTTTTAGTTTTTTGAAGAGAAGCAAGCCAATTTAGTAGCTTGAAATTTTTACAGGATCTTCTGTTAACAGAGAAGAAAAGTCAAGGAAGTTTTCAAGAAATTATGTCGTCCAGTTTTCCATAGAAAAAATAAAGTATGACAGGAAGTCTTGAAAATGGAATTCTTGAAGTCTTGAAATTGGAAATTGTACAAATGGAAATATGTGGTTTCGCACTTTGGCCATTGATATTTCAAATCATATCAGTTTCCAAAATAACCACCTCCCAGTGTTTAAAACAAGATCGAGACCAACATGTCAATACAAAATTTGTGTAAGTTTTCTTTAAATAAATAAAACACAATTGGAAATTTTAAAACATTGCAATGAAGGTACACATTTTCCAACTTTAGCCATCAATATATCATATGGCCCTCCTGTTGTGATTGAAAATTGTGGTATCTCCTTTCATTCTGCAGTCATTAAAATTTCACGCACTTAACATTTCCCAAACCAATCCCATTCTGAAGAAGATTTCCTCAAAGCATCACCTGAGCATTTACTAATCTTCAGCAATTCCTGTTCTCTTTTCAGTTGCTCGATTGACGTTCGCTATTCGCAACATTCAAGATCACTTGTACAAATATGGCAACAACCCTATAGTGAGAAAAGTTGGTAATCATGCCATTAACAAAAGGAAAGAATACCTTTGCAAGCTAAGGGAATATGATTATAAAAAGTTTGAGTGGCTGTTAGAAAAATTAGATCTCGAATTCAAACCTCATCCCTTGTAAGTATTTGCCACTATAGTTGTCATCATCTTTAGTTGCATTAGTCATTAGTGGGTGAGCGGTGTAACAATTCTGCAGAGTATCTGACAGTTGATCTCCATATATAACGTCATGAAAGAACCAAAAAGCTCCCTGTAAAGTTTAAAGAGGACTTTTAAAGGAAAAAAAAACCTGATCAAAATCTGAGCAACCAGAGACCTGCTGCTATGATGACATAACTAAGCCATGTTTTCGGCTGGGCTTCAGCCAATCAGCGAATCCGGATTCTCTAGCTTACCTACGTCATAATAGACTGCCAAATATATCGTTCTAAATGGGTCCGTAGTTTGGCGATGTCAAAATCTATATTCTCCATTATTGTAGGTAAGTTAAAAAATCCAACAAAATTACTGAGAGCTCAACTTATTCAGCACTTTAAGAAAGTAAGGTCTACCAAAAGTCAACTGACAAAATGAAGACCTGCTTTTTAGGCAAGATTTGAACACATAAGTACATGATTTTTTTTTGGGTTTTTTTTTTTTTTTTTTTTTTTTTTTGTCAATTTACAGTTTTGCTAGAAAATTGACCAAGTTAATGCCTTTTGTTCACAAACAGAGCCTGAGATGACATTTTTTCAGTCCGTTTCGGTAGTTTCGACTATCCGACCTTTTCATTATCCGTTGCCATTTAACAGAAAGGAACCAAGCCACATCAGCCATTGCCAATTTTATCTGGGCAATTTAATTTTTATGAGGAAACGTTTGTGCAGATACCTTTGAAGATGTTAAGGAATTTGCTTTGTACTATGGAGAAAATTCACTGAAATTTGCATGAAAATCCGCACAACTGTTTTCATGTAAAAAATTAAATTTGGCAATAGCTGATGTGGCTTGGTTCCATTCTGTTTAACGCGGTCCAAATGACTGTATTTTTCAAAATTGATCCTCAAGTGGGTGGAAATGGTCCTCGATGGGATAGGTTTTTTGTTTGATTTTTCTTTGTTTGTTAATGCTTTGCATGAATGATCTGATGTTCAGTGCCAATGCTAATGATTTTCTAACTAATACTTATATTTCTTGCAGGGATGAATTGAGGGAAGGAGGGACAGGATACATCAGGATTGAAAGGAAAGAATCAATTAGAAAGTTGACAACTTTGCATTGCGAAGATATCCTGAAGAAAAAGTGGCTCGACTACGAAGAGCAATTGGAAAATGAAAAGCGAGACTTCCTTAAGAGGAAAGTGGACACACTGAAATGGGCCCGGCAGGAGCAGATAGATTGTAAAATGGAGCCAACCATCAGTGAAGAAGATATAAAGAATGCCGAGATTCAACTGGAGGAGTTCCTGAAGGAATGGTATGCAAAAGAAGCGCTAAAACCTGTTCCCAAAGTTCGAAAGTAGGCTATTGTAAATCATTGGCACCAAGCTGCACGTTTTTGTTACTTATTTTCTAAGTTTTTATTGAAAGAATTAAACATGTATCTTTTGAATTTACAATACTATCTTTTTATTTTAACCTTCAATTAAATTGAAGTAAAAGTATCGGGAACAACTTACACTGAGCGACTTTTTATGAAGTACAAGGATTAAAAAAGAACCAATATGATGTATATACATTTTAACCATGATTATTTAAGGTATTAATTCTTGCCAAAGTTTTTCAAACCGCTAGGGTTCATCTTCAGGGCAAAAATTTACGAACAAAAAACCAAACAAACACAAAACAAATACTTCGGCATGAATTAATACCTTAAATAAAAATTGTTAAAATGTCTAACATATTGGTTCTTTTTTAATCCTTGCATTTAGTTATGCTACTCGAACCATTATGTTTTTTCTTATGAAGTAGGCTGTGCTAAAAATTAGGGTTTCAGTTCCTTTCTCCTTGTTTCTATCACATAGGTCTGTACTCCTATGTATGACATTATGCAGTCCTTAATTCCCTTCTAAAAATATAAAATCATCTAAAAAAAAACTACTATACCTTGCTAATTTGGATTGCATTTGACAGGAGAGAACCGGCTCGATTATCGTGTTTTCAAAATTTTACAACTTGTTCTCCCCTTTGAAAAGTACCGAATACGAGTAGGTACAGTAATAAAATGAGCTCGATTATTTTCCTATAAAATTGAAAAATTTTCAGTAGGAAGACAAAAAACTATTTGCTATTCTGCAAAATGTTTTAGATGAAGATATCTCACAATTGTTACACCACTATAAACAGGCTTGTTCCCATATCCTAAAAGCAATCCATTTATCGTCGCGACCAAAAGCTCACAAAAATGCCAAGAAATGAGAAACAAAAAAATAAAATCTACAAGTGAGGTGCTCTGAGTGATACCTTCTTTTTCAAAGGAAAAATAATGAAATGCATTGGCAAAACCTATTATATTGTTATGGTATTAATGGAATTTGAATTATGGTTTAAAATTAAAGTAGAGTGAGAAAAAACCTTTGGAAGCATGGCATAGGACAGAGGTAGATTTCCTGTTACCAGTCACATGAGTGACCCCCGTTCCTTTTGGAGACTGATGTAATTTACGAATATGTAGTTTATGAATAAAAAGTTGCAGTAATTTGAATTTCAGTGAATTGAATGATTAATACTTGAAGAAAAAAGGTTCACTTGTTTTTCTCACTCGCGATGAAACCAATGCCAAAAATTGTTTATTTTTAGTTCTACACATACAAATAATTGTTGAGAAAAGTCATGGGATTTTTATCATTTTTGTTCGGGAAAACCTGGAAAATTTAAGGAATCCTCTTCCAATTGTGTTGACACTGAGTATAAAGTTATCTTGTTTTATCATCTGTTGTGTGACTAACAATACAATAAATTGCAAGAAAACATTAGCGAAGAGATTTTACTCATGAAGATGTTGACAAAAATGGATCTAATTTCAGTATGTTTCTGAAATACATTAATTTTCTTGATAAAAATTCACTATTGAACCTTCAATCAGAAAAGTCACCCCTCATTTTTTTAATGATAATTATTGGTTCCTTTGAGAGTTACAATTGAATTATTTTATCCTCCGCAAAATTTTATGACGAACTATCATACTTGAACTTTTTCCAAGCAAAAATTCTTACGACTAAATCTGCTGCAGTTTACTTGAGCAAAATGTCCTGAATTTATAGTTTCAACCAAGTTGGGTAAATAATTATCGGGGTATTGATGTTAGTTACTTTAAAATTTCATGTGCATACATAAAAGCCGTTTTCACAGCGCTCTTTGGTGCTCTGCGACACTCAGCTGCCAAAGTGCCCTATCATCCCAAAGGCGAAATTTCATGTATCAGTCTTAAAAAAAAAAGAAAAAAAAATCGTGATACAAAGATGTTATGCCCTTGGTTCAGGGAATTTTGTTTCCCAGGATCTCTTTTACATAGTAAGTTGGTAGATTTTTTTTTTTTTTTAAAGCCAATATGTCTCTTGTGACCTTCAGACGTCAACTTTTCTTGCACCATCACTAAAATTAAATAGGAGTTACAGCCTTAAGTTTAGAGTAAGAAGTTCATAGATGATGCAAGGCACCACAAACTCATCAAACCAAATTTTTTATTAGCATAGTGATCTGAGTCTGAATATGTACAAGAGTATGAAAAAGAATTTCCTAGACAGAAGAGGAAAAACAGTCCGAGAATTTTCGGTACTCGCTAATTTTGGGAGAACTTAATAATATCCTTAAAATGAGAGAAATTTTCGGAATATCTCGGGCAAAATACTTTCATCTTTGACAGCACTTAAAAGTGATTGAAAAGAATCGACAATTGAGTCTAACAGTTCAATACCTTCAATACCTCTTCCAGAAACACCTTCCCTCACTCTCTCTTAAAACATTAAATGTTTCGAATTTTTTCCTTCTTTAGAGAGTACATTTTAGATCTAAAAGGTTATTTTAGTGGATAAAATGAGGAGTATAATTATTTTTATCAAATGGCAAGGACAGAAAAAATATTTTAGAAAAAAAGGAGATGGCTGAATATGGAACAAACAAATTCATTTGTCCTCAAGTGCCTGTCTAACCTTCCGAGTGACTTAGGATTTTATATCCCTCTCTGAGAGCATGACTAACTAAATCCGACTTTTTTCTTGATTTCTAACCAATTCGGCTCAGCTATTGTCATTGCTTTTGTAGCACCTTCGGACAGAATTTTATGAATGTATTCAGGCGAGTTTTGCAACCTTTCTATTTCTTCTCGTATGGGACTTAATTTTTCTATTAGAACGTCCGCAAGCGAATCTTTTAGTCTGCAACAGATTTCGACAAATACTAAATTAAAAGACAAGATACAAGAACAAAAATAGGAAAAAACACACACACAGATAAAAAGTGCCTTATTTCAGATAGGCGGAGGCATAGAAAAAAATGTGAAACTGAATCGAAAAAATATTGGAAAAGTTGGAAAACTTGTATGCAGAAACAACTCAACAAAGACAGAATTCTTCTTAAGGTGATTCGTCAAGCTGAAGTGACGTGGTCGAACTGGCATGCAATGCATCGCGTCAATTAGGTCAAAAGTCTCAGCAGATTTTGAATTTTTAGCAAAAAAAGAAGGACAATAACCCCTGTGCATGAGCCTAAAGAATCACTCTAAACACAGAAATCGGCAAAATTAAGAAGAATGAAGGCAGAATAGTGTTTGGAAAAAAACCTCACATTCGATTCAGCTATCGATTTCTGTATCGAATGTGAGGTTTTTTTCCAAACACTATTCTGCTTTCATTTCTTTGAATTTTGCCAATTTTTGGGTTTGGAATGATTCTTTAGGCTCATGTGCAGGGGCTGTTGTCCTTTTTTTGTTAAAAATTCAAAATATGCCAAGATTTTCTACCTAATCGATGCAATATATCGCAGATCAGTTCTACCACGTCACTTGAGCTTGACGAATCACCTTAAAAATTACATCAATTTTGGAGAATTTAACATATAAATCAGATGCATAGTTTGGAATATCCTAATTTTGAGTATTATATACTTTCAAACTCCTCAATAAATAAACAGATCTTTAATACAGCCTCCTTCACAAACTTGTTGATTTGGGTTTCATTGAGGCTCTATAATAAATCGTACAAAAAGATCCTTGCTAAAAATATTATGATAATAATAAGGAAGAAGAGAGAAAAAATTCTTACACCAAAGTGTCTTTGTTCGCAAAATTATCACAGGTTTCTTGAATTGAAAGGCCAGTGCAAGATGAGTGGATCTGAATCATATTTGACACTCCAGGTCTTGTGGCAGGCTCATAAAATATTTCAGAAGTGCAATCTGTGACAGCTTTGCGACACTTTTTTCGTATTTCATCAGGTGAATCTGTGATGTCTATTTTACTCTTTGGATCAGGACTAGATTTTGCCATTTTTTTGGCTGGATCACGGAGGCTTTTTATGCTACTGCCCAGACCTGGAACATAGGATCAATCATCGAAATGAGTTGATATGTTGATGAGTAACATGGCAATTGAGATGATTACTTTGGCAAGGAAAAAATTTCAAAATCATGGACGCAGAATCCAACACACTTTTTCAATAGACTGAGTATCGACATTCAGGTATAGGCCAGGTATAGGGGAATAATGGTGCATTAAAGCCGTTGTATGCTTGTGGAGGATCATCCACTCACAGTCGATCAAATTACTATTCGTTTGCTACTCACACTCAAATTGTTCCGAGTACTTCACCAGATCGGGTAAACCATGGCTGAAGCTCTAAATTTTATGCCAAGACTTTGAACTCATTTTTTTTTTCGGAAGTTGCCTAGCGCATGAAAAGTAGATAAGTTTGGAGGAATGGAGGGTGAAGGAGATCCATGATTTCTCTGCAAGGCGTGAAGCAAATTTATGAGACAATAGCTTGATAGAAAACTGGGAGTATGAGCGTTTTACAGCCAAATTCACACAGTTCAACTTTCGACAAAAGTGGACGAAGCGTCCAATGGAAAGTTGAATATAACAAAATTAGATTCAACTGCTGTTTCCAAGTGATATTGTCACACGGAATTCTGGTACCTCTGTCAGCTTCCAGTTTGCAAAGATACAGCTTCAACTAAAGTTGATTGTTTCAGTTTCAACTTTCCGTTCAAATTTTCATCCGCAAGCTGTGTTCTCATGTCAGTATAACTTGATCCAACTTTTTATTTGACAAAAGAGGAAGAAAAGTTGAATGAAAATTTGAACCATATGAATTAGGCTTAACACTGATTTGACTTCAGCTATGCTCTTGAGGAAAGAAAATAGGTAAACTTATTTTAAAATCCACCCTAGTTAATGCATAAGTTGTGAGCAGTTCTGTGAACTATAGTTATTGAAGAGCTAATTTTTTTTCTTGTTGTTTTTCTCAAATTTTCTCATTAATTAAGTAACATATCTAATTTTACGCAGACAATGGATTTGTTGCGCGTGTAAGAAATTTGCGATTTGACTATTGCTTCTTATTTAAAAGTTCATAAGAAACACAATGGTCCTACTGATTTTCTCTGCAATTAACTCCAAAGCACAAAAAACGCTCTCAAAGTTGAGGCTGTAATGGAGGGGATATCCCATGCTATCCTGAGAGTCCATGTCTACATCAAGACAAACTCTCCATGCAAAGATAGGGAGCAAATACATTGACAGAGCGGTCACTTTATTTGGGGACTCTAGAACTGAAAACATGGCATTCCTGCTAATGTATTTGCTCCTTATCTTTGTATGGAGTTTGTCTTGATGTAGAGGTGGACTCTCAGGATAGCGTGGGATATCCCCCCCATTTTGGCTTCGACTTGAGAGCTTTTTTTGAGCTTGGGAGTTGATTTCAGAGAAAACCAGTGGCACCATCGTGTTTCTTGCGAACTTTTGAATAAGAATCAATAGTCAAATCGCAAATTCCTCACACATGCAACATCTCCATTGGTCATCAAATTCCAATTATCTAAAGATTAGATATTAAAAATTACTTTACCTTCAATCATCAAGGCTTGGGGCCGAGGAAAAGTGTTCCCATATTTTTTGTTGAAGTGATTGACTAGGTGACAGGCTAAATTAATGTTTTGAAGTTGGTCGTTACCTACAGGCACATGAGTTGCTCTGAACAACAAAAGAAAGAAATGAAAGACAATGAACTCGATGGATTATATCTCTAGTTGAGGGCCACAGAAACTTCATTGCGTTTCCACTAATTGGAAAAATCAGGGGAAAATAAAGCAACAACTCAATTGCTTGTAGCGTAGTTTGCAAATTTAAAAACTTTCTATCTTGGGCCTGGTGTTAATATCATAAACAAATTTTTTACAAAATTAAACTACTTGGGCGCTGAGTGTTTCGAGAATTCAAATAACTTGATTTTTCCAAAATTGTTAGTCATATTTCTTGGGCTCTGCACTACCGATATTGAATGTAAATGTCGCAGGCAAATAGTCAAATTATTGGATGCCGAGGCAGACCGTCAAATTCTGATATTTCATGAAGTTTAGTGCATTTTTCTTGGAAAACTCTCGAATTGTCAACGTTTAGAAAGTAGAATTTATCAAAAAAGCAAAATTTCTTTGTATTTTTCTTGCCAAATGGCCTAAATATATTTTAACTACTTACCTATCAAAATATGAAAAATTCTGTATTTTATGGCAAGCTATAGATTTTTAGATAAATGTTGGTTCAGAACTAAAGATTAACACAGACATGGTTACATTTCACACTCACTTGTACAAGAGAATGTCAGCAGCTTGAAGCGTAGGATAGGCGAACAGCCCTGCAGGAATTTCTTGGAGGGCCTCTGTTTTTTCCTTGAAGTGAGGTAGCTGAGCTAATCTAGACATAGTTGAATTGCAAATGAATATCCAACCAAGCATAGCATGGTATGGTACCTAAAAAAAAATTTGGAGATTGATAGCAATGTGGAAAAATACATTATTACAAACAACATGACAAGCAGAAAGGGACAAAGATCATATGAAATTTTGTTTTTGTTGATAATTTTTCGCAAGGAATTCAACAGGTTTTATATTTATACAGTTTAAAACAAAAGAAAGACAACAGACGAATTTCAACTAAAGGTTGAATGAATCTTCAACGGAGATAAGTAAATTTGTGTTCTTCCTTTCTGTATCGATGGCCGAAGCGCCAAAGAACGTACCTCCATTTGGGACCTTGCAGACTTTCTGTTATACTTTATTTTTTTCTTTGGAAAACTAGACAGCGTATTTTCATCAAAACTACCTTCATCTTTCTTTTCTGTCAGTGAAATATTCTGTATCAATTTCAACCTAGGAAGTTGGCTTGTTTCTCTGTGAAAAAATAAAAAGGCAGCAGAAATTTTGCAACATGACAATGGAGATACTTGATTTCAAACTTAGGCTATCGAAGTGTTTTTCGATTTTTTTATTCTGTAACAAAGGAGAATTACCTTCTATTTTTAGAGTAGTGAGATTTAAATGACCGGGGCAAACCAATAATGTTTCAAATTTTCATTGCTAGCTAACTAAGAGTAGGTATCTACTGAGACTGACACGTCATAATCTAAAATTCTTGTTTTTTCATTAATTTTTCTTTACTTTTCTTTTATTCTCAGAAAAAGTTATCTTTTCTGAGGTTCCTAGAAATCCTTGCTTTCATTGCCTTATTCTTACTTTTCCTAACTTGACACAAATTTAGAACTCTAACAAGAACAGATATAATCACAAAAGATAATGAAATTTGGATCAGGAAGAAGGACATGCATCTGAGGAAATAAATTGAGTCTAACTGAAAATTTACAGAAATGTCATAAAATATGTGTAAAAATTGTATGACTCCAAGACTTTTTCTCCAAGTTTATAGAAAAAATGTTTAATTTCTGTGCTTAAAAATAAAATATCCGTAAGCATTCTGTACATCTATACTGACTTTTCCAAGTCTGCGCTCTTATAGTGTGGCCATGCATTCTTAATTTATGTATATTTTTTCCGAGCAGTGGTGCAGTGAACACCCTGCAACCGTTTTTTTCATTTAATACAGCAGCTCTCAATTGTCACAGCAGCTTTTGAAGTTTTGAAAAGATAGGTAACATTTGAGCAACTTAGAAATTTCTCAAGATAAGGGGTGAAAAGCTGCACAAGAATCTAAAATAAATATGTTGAAGTAGAAGAAAAACTTATGAGTGAAAATTTTCAAAATTTAAAATCGTTAATTATGAAATGATGCAAGTGAGTTCCTATTCGTTCTAGACATATTTAACAAAAATATTTTGTTATGTTTGGTGATGCAGAGTAAGTAATGCTTGAAAGATTTTAAAAATTATTTTGAACGGGTGAAAGGGAATACTTTCTGACCTGAGACTGCTGAAACAGAATGCTTTTTGATGGATCAATACCACATGCGATTAATGTGGAAGCCATTTTGAGGATGCTTTCTTTCAGTTCTTCTGGTTTCTGGAAAATGAAAAATTAATTTTTGACCATTACAGACAATGTAGTCTCCACCAAATAGAGACACCAATGAAATTGGTGTTGAATGAAAACATGGAATATCCAACATAGTTCCTTAAAAAGTGAAGAGAGCCAAGAAAAATGAAGTCTCAGAAATTAAAGGTACACATTTCTGGGAAAGCTCCTTACCGCCATCAAACAGATTTTAAGAGGTAGAAATCGTTCAAGAATCCTAAGTTTCTAATTTGTGAATGTAAGACCTTTAACAATTTGCATCAAATGTGTGTTATTCAAACACAGAACAGATATCCAATAGAATTGATACGCAAAAGTTGCAACTGCACATTCTTTGGTTTTATCTTCATTCCTTAATTTTTCAAACATTTTCAAAAATTGACACTGCTATATTAGGTACATTTTAGATATGAGGGCCACTGTTCTTTGACAGGTAAAAGGACTAAATTGATCTTGATTTCTTGCGCCGTGACATCTTACCTTAGGAACCGTTATTGCATGAAGATCGACGATACAGTAAATCCCGTTTTTGCCTTCATTTTGAAATTCAACCCATTTCTTCACAGCTCCAAAATAGTTTCCAATGTGTAAAGTACCAGTTGGCTGGACTCCTGAGAAGATCAAGTCTTTCCACTTTTTACTCTGGGGAGAAAAAGATAACATTAGTGGGTGATTTCACGATGACAGGAATAATCATGTTACCATGGATTATGAACAACATAGAGCAAGACGATTACGGTATATAATGTAGGATATATTGAAAAGAATGATGACCCTAGACTTGTTCATACAAAAAACTTGACTAGTTACCGTTATATTTAGACCGAAAAACTCTGGTCGGTAACGCTTTGCCAACTGTGGGTTTGAAGAAGATGAGTAATTTTTTGTTCAAGAGTTGATGCTACTACACTTTTAGGAGCATTTCCTTGCATAAATTTATAGAGATCACACCCATAGAGATTGAATAAGGCGTTTTTCAGCTATTTTCCAAGTTATGAGCGAAATCTGAAATCTCATCTGTCCTCAGAGTTCGAAACAAATTTTGGCGGTCTCACAACTTAGTTAAAGACACCTTTGATAATGCTTATGAACGGGTGGAGCGAGCCCACCAAAATTTTTCATAGGGAGAAAGGAACTTACTTAAGTCTTAGCAAGATGATATTTACTTGATATTAGAGGTGTCGTCAGCTAAGTTGACGGTTGTTTACTTTTGATTTGCAAGCGCCAACGATAAATTAGGGCCTCTGAACAAAGCCTACTATCCACATTGAAAACATCAGTTTCATGATCGTATCGTAGAAAAACTACTTATCATTTATGATTTGCGACTTTTTTATGGCTGTGATTTCTGTGTGGCTAAAAATTAGAGTGTTACAGGGTTTGAAAGTATTAAAAAATTTATCTAAGCTTGTGTTCTTGCTTCTGAGAGAGTCTGATGTTTTTATGTGGATAGTAGTGACGCAAAAACCCCTGCAAACCGAAAGTAAACAACCGTCAACTTAGCTGTCGACACCTCTAATGGGATGTTTAGGGGAATCTGACAAGCCCTATCCATTGAGAAGGAGCTCAAATGATTTATGGTAAGCTTTGCTGCACTCATCGTACCTTTTAAAACAAATGGACTTACTTCCTCCGATGAATAAAATCTCCGTAGTTCTCTAAAATGAAACTCAGTTGAGCAGGAGGAAACCCAGCGAGGAGTTCTACGAAGGACTGACATCATGATTAGGAGCCAACTGTAGAGTGCTCAGTGTGTAAATGACACCAAATAGCCACCTGAGATGATAGTAAACTGGTGCTAGAGACAAACTGGTACACGTTATCATAACTTCATACTGTTGATTATTGACTGAAGATTTATTGACTGGAAACAGACAAAAAATAAAAAATACATTTTATGACATAACCTCAAATCTTGCATGCTCTTTCAAACATAAACATTGATGTTCGGTGCTTGGTGGCAAGGCAACAACGGCGCGCTTTTTAATTTTTGGCGCGTATTTTTGAAATTGCGCGCACGTGTTAGAAGTTGCGACGCGATAATGAGGCACGTTTTATTAAAAAAAAGAAGAAGAAGAAAAAAAAAGAACTCGCAAAGCACAGTTCAATAATTTGGCACCTTGACATTTGGATGATAATTCTAAAAGCCCCAATAACTGCAGCTAAGGATCCTGGAATAATTTTGTGAGAGCTGCTAAAGCTTGCTATTTCCACATGAGCACATTGTGCTCTCAGATTCAGATTTACTTTGAAGTAAGTCGGCAATCACATATCTCAGTTTGCGACGTAGAAGACTTCCTGTCATACTTTAGTTTTTAAACGGAAAACTACTCAACGGCAATTCTATAAAACTGCCGTGATTTTTCTTCTCTGTGCGAAGAAAATTCTGCAAAAACTTCAAGAAATGATGTCAATTTGTTCTCCTTAAAAAAAATAACATGGAGGCGGAGATTTTCAGACACTGCAAACGATTTATGTGCGATTGCCAACTTACACCGTCGATATGTATGTCTCGGATAATTAATTATTCGTGCAGCCCTCAGGTAGGATTGTTGCCTATGCGGTGAAATTGAGGGCGAACTTCAGATGGATGATGCCTATCAATAAGTTAGTTCATTGTTAATCGGTTCAATATAAGCTTATGGAGCGAATGAAACTGTGAGTTTGAACAGATACCGACGGTGTAAGTCCGCAATCACATATCTCGTTTGAGGTGTCTGAAAATCTCCGCCTCCATGTTATTTTTTTAAAGGAGAACAAATTGACATCGTTCCTTGAAGACCATTAATATTGTTACCGATAGAGAGTTGTATTTTATGGTATTTTTATGGGAGATTCTCGATAAGCTTTTCACACCAAAGGTCGCTTAAATTGTACGAAAACCTTCCTGAGCAAGCTTATTTATGTGTGTGATTCATTTTTTAATTATTCTCCATTTTGTATTAATATCTCAATCGAACTACAGAAACGCAACGGTCGCTGCACTACGTTCGGTTAAAAAAAAAAGAATATGAAAAGAAAAAAGAGAAGAAGAATTCCTAAGCACAAACCAATTGCCCAGGAGAGAAAAAATTTCCTCTACATTGAGTAGTTGTTTCCGGGAGAAATGTTTTCTCTCCCGAGCAACTATAGTTTATGCCTGGCGGGAGAGGATAGTGTATCCGTTTCTGAGCACTAACTAGTTGCTCAGAAGAAGAAACGTTTCTCTCCTTTGCACCGACTAGTTGCGTAGGAGAGAAAAAATGTCTGTTCTTTGCACCGATTAGTTGCTTAGGAGAGAATTAATTTCTCTCCTTTGCACTTACTAGTTGCTCAGGAGAGAAGACATTTCTCTGCTTCGCACCAGGTGTTTAGGGGAGATAGGTTTCCTCTTCTAATCGTGGACTAGTTGCACCTCGTACCCAGGTTCCTACCAAGGAGCCCCTTCCAAAGCACAAACTAGTTGCACGCACAACATAAACTAATTTTGCTCGTGCTATTACCGGTACGTTTGTTACCTATGCAGAAAAATTGAAGGCGAATTTTCATGCGGCGAAATTGAAGAGGATATTCAAATGGACGATATCCACTAAGAAAGAGAATCTAACATCGTTCATTCATTGGCTTAGTCGGCACACGTAGTGTAATAATTATGTTTTCGATTATCTTACTATTCGTGCTCCCCGATGGATTTGATACTTATATTTTTTCCACAATTTTTTCTCTTCTCTTTTTCCCAATCTTTATTCTTTCTTCTCATTTACCGCCCTTTTAGTGATGGCGACTGGCGCAGCCGATCCCCACGCGCCACCCCTAATCTGCCTAGGAAAAACGCCGTATGAACCGCTGGACGTTGCCAAAGAGCCTCGCCAAGTTTAGCCCCTTTTTTTTATACCCGAGTTGGTCAACCGGACAGCGCTCAATTGAAAGCCTATGGTAAGGCAAACTTCCAGGAAAAGTTTCAACTTGAAGTGACCCCTGGTTTAGGCTGTACAGCGTTGCCAATTTTCCAGTTTCATGTGCTAAAATCAAGGATATTGGACTATTAGTCCGGTGCATAAGTAGACTATTATACCCAAGTTAGTCAACGGGACAGGGCTCCAACGAAAGCTTATGGTAAGGCAAACTTCCAGGAAAAGTTTCAACTTGAAGTGAAACCTCGTTTAGGCTGTACAGCGTTGCCAATTTTCCATTTTTATGCGCTAAACTCACGAAATACTAGATCATCATGGTTCAACAGACTATTATACCCGAGTTGGTCAACGAGACAAGGCTCAAACGAAAGCTTATGGTAAGGCAAACTTCCAGGAAAAGTTTCAACTTGAAGTGAAACCTCGTTTAGGCTGTACAGCGTCGCCAATTTTCCAATTTTATGCGCTAAACCCACAAAATACTGAATCATCATGGTTCAACAGACTATTATACCCGAGTTGGTCAACG